GTAACACATTGGGGCTCGTCTCTTGGGTGTAACATATTGGGGCTCGTCTCTTGGGTGTAACATATTGGGGCTCGTCTCTGGGTGTAACATACTGGGGCTCGTCTCTTGGGTGTAACATATTGGGGCTCGTCTCTTGGGTGTAACATATTGGGGCTCGTCTCTTGGGTGTAACATATTGGGGCTCGTCTCTGGGGTGTAATATACTGGGGCTCGTCTCTTGGGTGTAACATATTGGGGCTCGTCTCTGGGGTGTAACATACTGGGGCTCGTCTCTTGGGTGTAACATACTGGGGCTCGTCTCTTGGGTGTAGCATGTTGGGGCTCGTCTCTTGGGTGTAACATATTGGGGCTCGTCTCTGGGTGTAACATATTGGGGCTTGTCGCTTGGGTGTAACATATTGGGGCTCGTCTCTTGGGTGTAACATACTGGGGCTCGTCTCTTGGGTGTAACATGTTGAGGCTCGTCTCTTGGGTGTAACATGTTGAGGCTCGTCTCTTGGGTGTAACATATTGGGGCTGGTCTCTTGGGTGTAACATACTGGGGCTCGTCTCTTGGGTGTAACATACTGGGGCTCGTCTCTTGGGTGTAACATATTGGGGCTCGTCTCCGGGGTGTAACACATTGGGGCTCGTCTCTTGGGTGTAACATATTGGGGCTCGTCTCTGGGGTGTAACATATTGGGGCTCGTCTCTGGGGTGTAACATATTGGGGCTCGTCTCTTGGGTGTAACATATTGGGGCTCGTCTCTTGGGTGTAACATATTGGGGCTCGTCTCTTGGGTGTAACATATTGGGGCTCGTCTCTGGGGTGTAACATATTGGGGCTCGTCTCTTGGGTGTAACATATTGGGGCTCGTCTCTTGGGTGTAACATATTGGGGCTCGTCTCTTGGGTGTAACATATTGGGGCTCGTCTCTTGGGTGTAACATATTAGGGCTCGTCTCTTGGGTGTAACATGTTGGGGCTCGTCTCTTGGGTGTAACATACTGGGGCTCGTCTCTTGGGTGTAACATATTGGGGCTCGTCTCTTGGGTGTAACATATTGGGGCTCGTCTCTTGGGTGTAACATATTGGGGCTCGTCTCTTGGGTGTAACATATTGGGGCTCGTCTCTTGGGTGTAACATATTGGGGCTCGTCTCTTGGGTGTAACATATTGGGGCTCGTCTCTTGGGTGTAACATATTGGGGCTCGTCTCTTGGGTGTAACATATTTGGGGCTCGTCTCTTGGGTGTAACATATTGGGGCTCGTCTCTTGGGTGTAACATATTGGGGCTCGTCTCTTGGGTGTAACATATTGGGGCTCGTCTCTTGGGTGTAACATATTGGGGCTCGTCTCTTGGGTGTAACATATTGGGGCTCGTCTCTTGGGTGTAACATATTGGGGCTCGTCTTTGGGTGTAACATATTGGGGCTCGTCTCTTGGGTGTAACATACTGGGGCTCGTCTCTTGGGTGTAATATACTGGGGCTCGTCTCTTGGGTGTAACATATTGGGGCTCGTCTCTTGGGTGTAATATACTGGGGCTCGTCTCTTGGGTGTAACATATTGGGGCTCGTCTCTTGGGTGTAACATATTGGGGCTCGTCTCTTGGGTGTAACATATTGGGGCTCGTCTCTTGGGTGTAACATATTGGGGCTCGTCTCTTGGGTGTAACATATTGGGGCTCGTCTCTTGGGTGTAACATATTAGGGCTCGTCTCTTGGTGTAAGATATTAGGGCTCGTCTCTTGGGTGTAACATATTGGGGCTCGTCTCTTGGGTGTAACATATTGGGGCTCGTCTCTTGGGTGTAACATATTAGGGCTCGTCTCTTGGGTGTAAGATATTAGGGCTCGTCTCTTGGGTGTAAGATATTGGGGCTGGTCTCTTGGGTGTAACATATTGGGGCTCGTCTCTTGGGTGTAACATGTTGAGGCTCGTCTCTTGGGTGTAACATGTTGAGGCTCGTCTCTTGGGTGTAACATATTGGGGCTCGTCTCTGGGGTGTAACACATTGGGGCTCGTCTCTTGGGTGTAACATATTGGGGCTCGTCTCTGGGGTGTAGCATATTGGGGCTCGTCTCTGGGGTGTAACATACTGGGGCTCGTCTCTTGGGTGTAACATATTGGGGCTCGTCTCTGGGGTGTAACATATTGGGGCTCGTCTCTTGGGTGTAACATACTGGGGCTCGTCTCTTGGGTGTAACATATTGGGGCTTGTCTCTTGGGTGTAACATATTGGGGCTCGTCTCTTGGGTGTAACATATTGGGGCTCGTCTCTTGGGTGTAACATGTTGGGGCTCGTCTCTGGGGTGTAACATACTGGGGGCTCGTCTCTTGGGTGTAACATATTGGGGCTCGTCTCTGGGGTGTAACATGTTGGGGCTCGTCTCTTGGGTGTAACATATTGGGGCTCGTCTCTTGGGTGTAACATATTGGGGCTCGTCTCTTGGGTGTAACATATTGGGGCTCGTCTCTTGGGTGAAACATATTGGGGCTCGTCTCTTGGGTGTAACATGTTGGGGCTCGTCTCTTGGGTGTAACATATTGGGGCTCGTCTCTTGGGTGTAACATATTGGGGCTCGTCTCTTGGGTGTAACATATTGGGGCTCGTCTCTTGGGTGTAACATATTGGGGCTCGTCTCTTGGGTGTAACATGTTGGGGCTCGTCTCTTGGGTGTAACATATTGGGGCTCGTCTCTTGGGTGTAACATATTGGGGCTCGTCTCTTGGGTGTAACATACTGGGGCTCGTCTCTTGGGTGTAACATATTGGGGCTCGTCTCTTGGGGTGTAACATATTGGGGCTCGTCTCTTGGGTGTAACATATTGGGGCTCGTCTCTTGGGTGTAACATATTGGGGCTCGTCTCTTGGGTGTAACATGTTGGGGCTCGTCTCTTGGGTGTAACATATTGGGGCTCGTCTCTTGGGTGTAACATATTGGGGCTCGTCTCTTGGGTGTAACATACTGGGGCTCGTCTCTCGGGTGTAACATACTGGGGCTTGTCTCTTAGTTGATCTACAGGTTGTCATGGTTTAAGTTTATTTCCTGTTTTATTTTGAAATGTTTGGTTATTTTGGTTGTACTTCCTGTTGTCTGATTACCTGCCCCGCCCTCATCTGTCTCACCTGTGTCTCGTTAGTCTTGTATTTAGCCCTGTGTGTTCCGTCATTGTCATCCCTCGTCTGTTTTAGTTCTGTCCTTGTTCCCTGTGTTTTGGATTTGTTTTATCTTTTTATTAAATCCATTCTTTTTTGCAGTTTTGCATTTTGGGCCTCATTTGTTTTTCACCCACGTGACACAGGTACAGTTTTAACTTCTTCCCACTCATTTTCGAGCTGATTTTTGTTAAAAACCCCCCCCAAAAAAAACAGTTTATATATTGTGTTTTTTCTGTTCCGTTGTTGTTTTGCTGTTGTTCTTTGTTCTTGTCTGCCATGGCTTGAAATACTTTTTTTTTGTTTAGTTTGGGGTAAGTTTGTGTGAAAGGCATAGATTAAGGTATGTATGAAGGAGGTAAGGGGAGGTGGGGAATAAGAGGGTTTTATGTTGGAGGGGGGGGGGTGGGGGATGTGTGTGTTGGTTGGGAGAAGGGTTTAGGTTTGGTATGGGGTAGGTTGTGTATGAGGATGTGAGGAGTTTGAGGGAAGGGGGGATAGATTAAGGAGTATGTGAAATTGGGAAAGATAAAGATATATGTGGTAAAATTGTATAAGGGGTGGGGTTGGGTTTGGAAGGGGGGTGGGGGGAGAGAGTATGGTTTGGGGGTTGGGGGATGGGTGGGATGTTAGATAGGGAAGGTGATAATGGGAATAGTAGGGGGGGGTAAAGTGATATTGGTGGTTTTGTGGGGATTGTATTGAAAGGGAGGGGAAATAAATATAAGATGGAGGTAATATATGTGAGTAGGGGGGAGAGTTATTGTTTTTGTGGTGAGGAAAAAGAGTATGGATTTTTTGGAGGGGAAGAGGATGTTGGTAGGGTAGGAGGTATGGGATGGGGGGGGGGAATTGAAATTAGGTGTGGGGATTGTTGGGAATGAAGTGGTGAAGGGATGAGGGAAGATGGTATTGTTGGGTATGTTAGGGGGGAAGGGGTATGTTGTTGAAGGTTGGAAGGGAGGGGGGGTTTGGTGGGTTATTTGTGGTTTGGTTGTGAGATTTTGTTAGGTGGGGGTATGGAAGTTATAGGGTGGTTTGATTTGTGGTTGGTGTGTAGGGGGTGAAGGTTGTGGGTAAGGGGTGGAGGAGTTTGGGGTATGTGAGTTATTGGGATGAGTTGTGTAGTGGGTTGTGGTGTAGAGTGGGTGAAAAGTTAAGGTTGGGATTGGGTTGTGAGGGATAGTGAGTGGGTAGGGTTGGGGTTGGTAGGGGGGGGGGTGGGAGAGGTGGGGGGTTATGGGGGGGGGGTGGAGGGGGGTGGAGATTTGGAATATGGGGGTGTTATTTGGTTAGGGTTGGAGAGGGGGGTGTTTTGGGAGTGTTTTGTGGGGGTGGTGTAGGGGGGTGGTTGGAGTGGGGTGGGGTTTTGGGATTTGGTGATTTGGGGGGGTGGGGGGGTGGGATATTGTTGTGATGGGGTGGGTGGTGTTGTGTAGGGTTGTTTGGTTGTGATTGAGTTATGGTGAAAAGGAATTGTGTGGGATGTGGGAGGGTGGAAATGTAGTGGTGGGATTGTATATTTGGGGATGGTGAAATTGTGTGGTGAGGGTTTGTGGGTTTGGGTGGGGTGGTGTAGGGGGGTGGGGTTGGGGGGGGTGGGTGGATTGGTGGGTGTGGGTGGTGGTGGGTGTGGGTGTTGGGGGGGTGGGGTGTATTTGGGGGGTGTGGGGGGGGGGGGTATGGGGTGTGGGAGGTGGGGGGGGGGGTGGGTGATGGGGGGAGGATATTTGTATGAGGTGATAAGTGGTTAATGTGGGGTGATATGTAGTTGTGTTGGGTGGAGGTGTGGGTAGGGGTGGGGGGGGAGTATGGGTGGATGTGTGTGGTGGGGATAGAGAAGTTGTAGGGGGGAGGTAGTGATGGTGGGTGTTTTGGGGTTGGTTGTGTTTTGGGGGTGGGTGGGTGTGTGTGTTGGTGGGGGGGGGTGTAGGGGTGTTTGGTGTTGGGGGGGGGAGTGGGGTGAGTGGGGGGGGGTGTGTGGGGGGTTGTTTTTGTTTGTTGGGTGGTGTTGGGTTTTTGGGTGGGTGGTTGGGTTGGTTGGTTTTGGGGTTGGGGTAGTGTTGTTTGGTGTTGTTGTTGTGGGTGTGTGTTTTTGTGTGGGTTTGGTGTGTGTGGGTAGTGTTGGGTTGGGTTTGTGGGGGTTGTTGGGGGTGTTGTGTGGGGTGTTGTAGTTGGGGGTTTGTTTTTTGGTGGGTGTTGTTGTTTGTTGGGGGGGGGGGGTGTGTTGTTTTGTGTGAGTTTTGGTTGTTTGTGTGTTTGTTGGTTGTTTTGGTTTGTGTGGTTTGGGGTGGGTGTGTTTTTTGTTGTGTTGGGGGTGGTGTGGTGTGTGTGTGGTGGTGGGGTTTGGGTGTTGTTGTTTGGTGTTGGTTGTGTGTGGTTTTGGGTTGAGTGGGGGGGGGGTTGTGGGTTTGTTTGGTGGTTGTTGTGTGTGTGGGGGGTGGTTTGTGTGGGTTGGTTGGTGTGGGTTTATTGTTGTGTGGTGGTTTGGTGGGGTGGGTTGGGGGTTGTTGGGTGGGGTTTGGGGAGGTGTGGGTTGTGGGTGTTGGGTGGGGGGGGTGGGTTTTTGTGGTGTGTTGTAGGTGGGTGGGGGGGGGGGTGTGGTTTGTTGGTGGGGGAGGGGTGGGGGTTGTGTGGTGGGGTTGTGGGGGGGGTTGTGGTGGTGTGTGGGGGGTGGGGTGGGGGGGGTGGGGTTGGGTGGGGTGGGTGGTTGGTGTTGGTGGGTGTTTGGTGGGGTGTGGTTGGGGGGGTGGTGGGGGGGGTGGTGGGTTTTGGGTGGGGTGGGGGGGTGGTTGGGTTTTTTGTTTTTTTTGTGTTTTTTTTTGTTGTTGTTGATGGGGGGTGGTGGGTTGGTGTTGGTTGTTTGTGGTGGGTTTGGGTGTGTGTGGGGGGGTTGGTGGATTGGTTTTTGGTTGGTGTGGTGGGGGGAGGTGGGGGGGTGTGGGGGGTTGGGTGGGGGGGTTTTGTTGTGTGGGGGGGGGGGGGGTGGGGGGTGGTGTGGGTGTGGGGGTTTGTGTGGTGGGTGGGGGTGGGGTTGGGGGGTGGGTGTTGTGGGGGTTGTGGTGGGGGGGGGGTGTGGTGGGGTGGTGTGGGGGTTGTTGTGTGGTGGTGGTGGTGGGGGGGGGGGGGGGGTGGGGGTGTTTGGGGGTGTGTGGGGGGGTGGGGTGTGGGGGTGGGGGGGGGGGGGGGTGGTGGTGTTGGGGGGGGGTGGGGGTGGTGGTGTGTTGGGGGGGTGGGGGTGGGGGGGGGTGGGGGGGGGTGGTGGGGTGTTTTGGTGTGGGGTTGGGGGGGGGGGTTTGGGGGGGTGGGGGTGTTTGGTGGGGGTGTGTGGTTGGGGGGGTGGGGGTTTGGGGTTGTGGTGGGTGGGGTGTGGGTGTTTTTTGGGTGTGGTGTTGTGGTGGGGGTGGTGGTGTTTTTTATGTTGGTTGGTGTAGGGGTGGGGTTTGGTTGTGGTGTGGTGGGTGGGGGGGGGGGTTGGTTGTGGGGGTGGTGGGTGGCTTGGGTGTGGGGGGTGTGGTGGGGGGGGGGGTTGGTGTTGTTGTGGTTTGTTTGTGTTGTTTGGGGGGAGGTGTTGTGGGGTGTGGGGGGTTGGGGTTGGGTTGTGTAGTGTGGGGGGGTGTTGTTTGGGGGGGGTGTGGGGTGGTGTGTGTTGGGTTGGGTTGGGGTGGTGTTGTGTTTGTTTGGGGTGTGGGGTATGTGTGGGGTGGTGGGGGGGTAGGGGTGGTGGGGAGGGGTGTTGGTGGAGGGTGTGTTATGTGGGGTGTTGTGGTGTTTTGTGGGGGAGTTGGTGGGTTGGTGTGGGGGTGGTTTTGGGGAGTGGGTGGTTGTGGGGTTTTTTGTGGTTTTGTTGGTTTGGGTGGGTGAGGGGGGGTGTTGGTGTTGTGGTGTGATTGTGTGTGGGGTGTGGGGTGGGGGTGTGTGTGTGGTGTGTGTTTGGGTTGGTGTGTGTAGGTTTTTTGGGTGGTGTGTGGGTTGTGGGTGGTTTGTGGGTTTGGGGCGTGGTTGGGGGGGGTGGGGATGTTGGGTGGTGTGTGGGGGTGGTTGGGGTGTGGTAATTGTGGTGGGTGTTTGGTTGGGGGGGGTGGTGTTGGGGGTATGTGTTGGTAGTTTTTTGGGATGTAGTTGGTTTTGTGGGGTGGGTATGGGGGTGTTGGTGTTTTGATTGTGTGTTAGTGAGTGGGTGTGGTGTGGATTTGTGGGTTGTTTTGGGGTGTTTATATTAGTAGGTATTTTTTGGGGGTAGTGTGGGGGTGATTGGAGGTTGTGGTGTAGTGTAGGAGGGGTGGGGAGAGTGGGGTGTGAGTTGAGATTAGTATGGGTTTGTGGGGTGGTATTGGGGTATGTGGAGGGTGTGGTTGGTATAGGTGGTAGGGGGTGAATGTGGAGTTTGTGGGGTATGTATGGTTGGAGTGGGGTGTTTTAGGGGGTGGGTTGTTTGTTTTATAGATTGGTGTTGTGGTGGGTATGTGTGGGATGAGTGTTGGGGTGTTGGGTAGTTTTGGGTTTTGTGGATAAGATGGTTGAGGGAGGGGGGTTATAAGATGGGGTGAAGGGGGGGATTTATTTGATGGGTTTTGGTTGAGATGGGATTGTGATATATTTGGAGTGGTTGGGGAGTTTGTTGGAGGAATTGAGGTGGGAGGGTGGAGGGTTGTGAGATGGGGGTGAATTGATGAGGTTGGGGGGTTTGGATGAGGTTAGAGAGGGGGGGGGGATATTGGTTGTAGGGTAGTGGAGTTTGAATATAAAAAGGATGGGGGGGGTTGGATGGGTTTTGTTTGAGGTTGGGGAGGGGAGGGGAGTATAAGTTTTGTTTGATTTTTATGTAATTGGTTTTGAGAAGGGAAGTGGTATGGAGGGATGGGAAATGGGTGTGGGGGGGGGGAGGGGTGTTTTTATGGGTTGAGTGTGTTTGTGTTTGGGGTTTATTTGTGGTAAGAGGTGATGGGATGGGGTGTGTTATAGGGGGGGGGTTTGTTATGTGTAGTTATGTTGTTGTATGGTGTGGTTGGTTTGGATGGTGGGAGTTGTGGATAGTATTGTGTGTTAAGTGGGGTGGGTTGTAGGGGTTTTGGGGATATGTGGGTAAATTTGTATAGTTGTGGTTGGTGGTTTGGTGTGGGTATGGGTTGATTAGGAGAGGGGTTGTTGGGGGGGGGGGGGTAAGGTAATATGAATGAGAAGGGGTGTTTGTTGGGTTGTGAGTGGGTATGTGGGAATAGTATGTTAAGGAAGTGAGTGTGGGGTGGTTTATTGGAATTTAACTGAAGGTGGTTAGGTGGGGGGGGAGTTTGTGGATGAATGGTTTTAGGTGTATGTGGTGGAAATGGTGTGTTTTGTGTTGGGAAGGGAATATTGAGGTGTGGGATGTAAAGGAGAGAAGTTGAAGGATGTGAATGAAGGGAGGGGTATGGTGAGGTGGGGGATATGTGTAGGTGGGGTGGGAGTTATTATGGGTTGTGGGGTTGGTTGAGTGGGGAAGGGGAAAGATTTGAATGGGGTGAGGAGTAGGGTATTGAAGGAGAAATGAGTAGGGGGGGGTGTGGGAAATTTATGGAGTTAAGAGATTGTTGTTTGGATTGGGTGAAGGGGGGTTTGTATGGTTTATGAGTATTTGTGTTGGGTAGTGATTGTTTATATTGATGGGAATGTAAGTAATGAGTATGGGGAGGGGGGAGTGTTGGGGGGGGTGAGAGGTGGGTTTTGGGGAGAGTGGATGAGGAGGGGGGAGTAGGGGGGATATATTGGAGTTGGTGGGGTTTGTGGGAATGAGGGAGTGGTTGGTTTAGGGTTGGGTGGGTTAGTGTTTGGAGGGATGGTGAGGGGTAGATGTGAGTTTTATTAGGTAGGGGGGATATGGATAGGGGTTAGAGATAGAGATTATGTGAAGGAATAGTGGGTAAGGAAAGGGGTTGAGATTGTTTAGATGGAGTTTTAGGGAGGGTTGGGTGGGGGGGTGGAGTTGTGGGGGTAGAGGGAGGGGAAAGATGGGGGGAAGTTAGGAATATAATATATTTGAGGGTGGGGGGAGATGATTTAGGGAAAGAATTGGGATGGTGAGGAGTGGTGGTTTTTGTGGTGGGGTGGGTGGGGGTGGGGGGTTGGAGGTGTGGGGGGGTTTGGGGTGAGTTGGGTTTGTAGGGTTGGGTTTTGGGTGTTGGGGTTGTGGATGTTTGTTGGTTGTTGTGTGGGTGTTGGGAGGTTTTTGTTTGTTTTGGGTGGTGGATGTGGGGTTGGGGTTGGTGTGGGTTTGTTGTTTGTGTGGGGTTTTGGGTTTTGGTATGTTTTTTGTTTTGGTTTGGGTATTGGATTTTGTTTTGTGTGGATTGTTTGGTGGTTTTGTGTGGTTTTTTGGGGTTGGGTGTTTGTTATGTTTGTTTGTGTGGTGGGGGGGATGTGGTGGTGGGTATGGTGTTTGGTTTGGGGGGGGGGGGGTATGGTTGGGTGGGTGGGTGGTTGTGTGGAAGGGGGGGTGGGGGGGGGGGTGGGGGGGGTTGGGTTTTGGGGGGGGGGGGATTAGGGTGAGGGGGGGGGTGGTGTGTTGGATGTGTAGATGGATGGAGGGGTGGTTGTGGTTTTGTGGGTTGTTGATAATGTGAGATGGGTGGGTGTTTTGGGTTGATGGGGGTTGGGGGGGTAGGGGGTGGGTGGAGGTTTGGGTATGTGGGTTGTTAGTGGGGATTGGGGGGTTATGGGAGTGGGGTATGGTTTGGGGGGGGGGGGGATTGGGTTTTTAAGGGTTTTGGGGGTTTTGGGTGGGGGGTTGGAAGTTTGGGGGGGGGGGTGGGGAGTTTTGGTATGTGTTGTGGGTTGGTTGGGAGTGTTGGGGAGTTGGGGGGTGGGGGGGGGGGGGGGGGGGGTTTAGGTTTGTAGGGGGGGGATGGGTTTTTGGTTTTTTTAGGTTGTTTGTGTGTGTAGATGATGATGTTGAAGGTGGTGGGGTGTGGTGGGTTGGGTGTTGGGTAATGTGGTGTATGTTTTTGTTGTGGGTGATGGGTGTTGGTTTGGGTTGGGGGGGGGGGGGGGGTGGTGTGGGGGTGGGGGGGGTGGGGGGGGGTTTGGGGGGTGGGGGGGGGGGTGGGGGGGGGGGTGGGTTGGGGGGGTTGGTGTTAGGTGGGGGGGGGTGGGGGTTGGGGGAGGGTGGGGTTGTGGTTGGGGTGGGTGGGTTTGGGGGGGTGGTGGGGGGGGGTGGGGGGGGGGTGTGTGGGTGGGTTTGTGTGTGTGGGGTGGGTGGGGTGGTGGTGGTGGGTTTTGTGGGGTTTGGTGGTGGTGTGGTTTTGTGGGGGGGGGGGTTGGGGGGGTAGGTTGGGGGGGGGGGGTGGTGGTGTGTTGGTTTGTGGGTGGGGGGGGGGTGGGTGGGGGGAGGGTGTGTGGGGGGGGGTGGGGGTGGTTGTGGGTTTGGGGTGAGGTGAGTTGGGGGTTGATGGTTTGAATGGGTGGGGTGTTGGGGTGGTGGGGGGGGGTGTGGGTGTGGAGGGGGGTTAGGGGGGGGGGGGGAAGGGGTGGTTGTGGGGGGGGGGGGGGTGTGGGGTGTTGGTGGGGGGTTGGGGGGTGGGTGTTTTGGGTAGGTGGGGGGGGTGGTGGGTGTTATGGGTGGTGGGGTGGGTGGTGGGGGATGGGATGGGGTGTTGGGTGGGTGGGGGGTGGGAGTTATGGGAGGATGGGTGGGTGGGGGGGGTGGGTAGGATGGGGAGGAGGGGTGGGTGGGGTGGGTGGGAAGGTGGAGTTGGGTGGGTGGGTGGTGGGAGTAGGGGTAGGATAGGGGGGGGGTGGGGGGGGGGGAGGGGGGTAGTGGTAGGGGTTATGGGTGGGTGGGTATTGGTGGGTGTGGGGAGGTGGGTATTATGGTGTTATGGGATAGGTATGTAGTGGTGTGTTTTTGGGTTGTTGGGGGGGGGGGGGGGGGGGGGGGGGGGGGGGGGGGGGGGGTGTTGGGTGGTGGGGGGGGGGTGTAGTGTTATTTGGGAGGTTGTTAATGGTGGGGGGGGGGGGGGTATTTTTGGGGGTTTTTGGGTGTAGGGGGGGGGGGGTATTGGGGTGGGGTGTGGGATGTTGGTTTTGGTAGGGTAGGGGTTGGGGGGGTGAGTGGGGTGGTGGGTGGTAGGGGGGTGGGGGGGGGTGTTGGTTGAGGGATGTATGTGGGTGTGTGGTTGTGTGATTGGGTTTTTTTGTGTTTGGGGGGTGGGGGGGGTGGTTGGGGGGGGGTTTGTGGGGGAGGGGGGGGGGGGGGGGGTGGTGGGTGTGGGTTGAGGGTTGGGGGTGGGGTTGTGGGGGTTGTGGTGGGGGGGGTTGGGGTTGTGTGGGGGGGGGGGGGGGGTGGGGTGTTTTGTGGGGTTTGTTTGTGTTGTGGGTGGGTGTGTTGGTGGTGGGGGGGGGGGTGTTTGGGTTGGTGGGTGGGGTTGTTTTGTTTGTGTTGTGGTGGTTGTGTGGGGGGGGTGTGTTGGTGGTGGTGGGGGGTTTTTTTTTGTTTTTTTGTGGTTTGGTGGGGTGGGGTGGGGGTTGGGTTGGGGGTTGGGGTGGGGTGGATGTGGGTGGGGGGTGGGTGGGTGTGGGGGTGGGGGGGGTTGTGGGTTGGGTGGGGGGGGGGGTGGGGGGGGGGGTGGGGGGTGTGGGGGGGTGGGGGTGGTTGGGTTTGGGGGGGGTGGGGGGGGGGGGGGTGGGGGTGGGGGGTTTGGGTGAGGTAGGGGGTTTGTTGGGGGTGTGGGGGTGGGTGTGGTGGGGGGGGTGGGGGGGGGGGTTGTGGGGGGTTGGGGTTGGGGGTGGGTTTGGGGGGTGGTGGTGGTGGGGGGTGGGGGGGGGGGGGGGGGTGGGGTGGGTGTGGTTGGTGTGGGGTGGGGGGGGGGGTGGGGGGGGTGTGGGGGGTTTGTGGGGGGGTGGGTTGTGGGGGTGGTTGTGGGGGGGGTTTTGTGGGGGGGGGGGGGGTGGGGGGGGGGGGGGGGGGGGTGTGGGGTGGTGGTGTGGGGTGGGGGGTGGTGGGGTGGGGGTGGGTGGGGGGGGGGGGGGTGGTGGGTTTGGGGGGTGGTGGGGGGGGGTGGGGGGGGGGGGGGGGGGGGGGGGTGGGGGGTGGGGGGTGGTGGGTTTGGTTTTGGGTTTTGGTTTTGGGGGGAGTGGGTGGGGTGGGGGGGTTTGGGTGTGGGGTGGGGTTGTTTGGGTGGGTTTGTGGTGGGTGGTGGGGGGGGGTTTTTTTTGGGTTTGGGGTTGTGTGGGGGGTTGGGGGTGGGGGGGGGGTGGGTTGGAGTGGGGGTTGGGGGTGGGTGTTTGGTGTGGTTGTTGGGGGGGGGGTGTGGGGGGTGGTGGGGGGGTGGGGTGGGGGGGGGGGTGGGGGGGGGGTGGTGGGGGGGGGTGGTGGGGGGGGGTTGGGGGGAGGGTGGGGGTGTGGGGGGTTGGTTGGGTGTATTTGGGTTGTGGGGGGGGGGTTAGTGTAGTGTAGTTGGGGGGGGTGGGGGGGGGTGTGGGTGTGTGGGGGGGTTAGTGTTTGGGTGTTGGGGGTGTTTTGTTGGGGTTGGGTGGTGGGGGGTGGTGTGGTGTGGTGGGGGGGGGGGTTTGTGTGGGGTTGGGTGGGGGGGGGGGTTGGTGTGGGTGTGGTGGGTGTGTGTTTGTGGGGGGGGGTTGGGGGGGGTGGGGGGTTGTGTTGTTTGTTGGGTGGGTGTGTTTTTGGGTGGGGGTGTTTTGGGTTGGGGTTGTTTTTGTTTGTTTGGGGTGTGGTTTGGTGTTTTGTTGTGGTGGTTTTTTTTGGTGGGTTTGTGTGTGGTTGGTGTGTGGGTTGGGTTGTGGTGGGGGGTTGTTTGGGGGGTGGTTGTGTGGGGGGTGTTGTTGTTGGGGGGTTTTGGGGGTGTGTTGTGGTGGTGGTTGTGTGTTGTTTGTGTTGTTGTGTGTGTGTTTGGTTGTTTTGTGTGTTGGTGTTGTTTTTGTGGTGTGGTGGTATGGGTGGGTTGTTTTTGGTTTGTTGTGATGGGGGTGTTTGGTGTGGTGTGTTGTGTGGGTGTTTGTGGGTTGGGTTGTTGTGGTTGTGTTGGTTGTGTGGTTTTTTTTGTGTGGGGGGGGGGGGGGTTGGTGGGTGTGTTTGTGGTGGTTGTGTGTTGGGTGGGTGGTGGGGTTGGTTGTTGGGTTGTTTGTTTGTGTGGTTTTGGGTTGGGGTTTGTTTGGGTGTGGGGGGGGGGTGTGGGGTGGTGTGGTGGGTGTGGGGGTGGGGGGGTGGGTTGTTGTGTGGGGTGTTGTGGGTGGGGGGGTGTGGTTGGGTTGGTGGGGGTGGGGGTGTTTTTTTTTTTTTGGTGGGGGTGGGTTTTGGGGTTGTGGGGGGTTTGTGGTGTTGTGTGGGGGGTGGTGGGGGGGTGGGTTTGGGGTGGGGGGTGGTGGTTGGTTTGGTGGGGTTGGGTGGGTGGTGTTGGGGTGTGGGGGTGTGGTTTGTGTGGGTGTGTTTTTGTGTTTTGTTTGTGTTTTTTTTTGGTGTGTTGTGTTGGGGTGGTTGGGTGTGTGTTGTTGTGGTGGGGTGGGTGGGTGTGGGGTGGTGTTTGTGGGGTGTGGTGGGGGGTGGTGGGTGTGGGGGTGGGGGTGGGGGGTTGTGTTGTGTTGGGGGGGGGGGGGGGGTGGGGGGTGGGGGTGGGTGGAGTGGGGGTGTGTGTGTGGGTGGGTGGGTTTGGGGGGTGGTGGGTTGTGGGGTGTTGGTGGGGGTTGGTGGTGGTTGGGGTGTGTGTTGTGGTGGTGTGGTGGGGGGGGGGGGGGGTGGGGTTGGTGGGGGTGGTGGGGGGGGGGTGTGGGTGGGGGGGGGGGGGGTGGTGGGTGGGGGGTGGGTGTGGTTGGGTGTGTTGGGGGGGGGGTGGGGGGGGGGGTGGGGTTGGGTGTGTGTGGTTGGGTTGGGGGGGGGGTTTGGGTGGGTTGTTTGGTGGGGGTGTGTGTGGGGGGGTGGGTGTTTGGTGTGGTGGGTGTTGGTGTGTTTGTGGGTGGTGTGTTGTGTTGGGGGGTGTGTTTTTTGTGGTTTGGTGGTGGGGGGGGTTGGTGGTGTTGGTGGTTGGGTGGGGGGGTGTTGGTGGGTGTGGTGGGGTTTGGGGGAGGGGGGGGGTGTGGGGTGGGGGGGGGGTCTGGGGTTGGGGGTGTGGTGGGAGTTTGTGGTGTGTGGGGTGGTGTTGTGGGGGGTGGTGGGGGGTTGGGGGTGGGTGGGGGGTTGGGGGGGGTGGGGGTGGGTGGGGGGGGGGTGGTGTGTGTGGGTGGGGGGTGGGGGGGGTTTTGTGTGTGTGTGGGGTGTGTGAGGTGGGGGTGGGGTGGTGGGTGGGTGTTGGGGTTGTGGGTTGGGGGTGGGGGGGGGTGATAGGGAGATAGTGGGGTTAGAATTGTTGAGTGGGGGAGGGGGATTTTGGAAGAGAGGTGATTTGGAGAGGGGGGTGTAAGTTAATGAGGGGATAAAGTGTTTTTTTTTTGTTGTAAATGGAAGGTGGAAGAGTTATATGTGGGTGGTTTGTGAGGGGGGAGGGGTAGAGATAGTAGGAGTAATAAGGGGGATAGGGTTATGTGGGGTGAGGGTGTGGGGGGAGGAGAGAGAGGAGAGGTAAGGGTGGTGAGGGGTGGTGGAGTGAGTAAAATGGAGGTGAGGGGATGAGGGGGATTATGGAGGGGGTTAAGAGAGTGGAGAGGTGGTAGGAGGAAGGTGGTGAGAGGGGAAGAGATGGGTAGGGGTGAGAGTGAATGGTTGGGGAAGGATGGGAAAGGGGGAGAGTGGGGGAAAGGGTGGTGGGGTGTGGGGAGATTGTGAGGGGGAATTAGATGTATGGGAAATAGGGAGATGGTGGAGAAGATGAAGAGAGTGGGTGGAGTTGAGGAGAGGTGGGGTGTTATGTGGGGGAAGGAGTAGTGCGAGAAATATAGATGGGATATTGGATAGAGATGAGATGAAGGGTTGGAGGAAATAATGATAGGATTTTGGAGGGGTGTAGTGTGTGGGGGAGAATGGATTAAGAGTGTATTGTAGGAGGGGGATTTGAGATTGGATTAGAGAGAGATATAGAATTGGTGAGTAGTTGTGGGGATGGGGGGTAATTGATGCGGGATAGGGAATGGAAAGGTAGGGGTAAGAGGGAGTAGTGGGGGGATGGAGGGTAGTTGGGAGTGGGGAGTTTAATAGGTTGGTTGTTTGTTTTATAGAGTGTGTGTTTTTTAGGGTTATTGTTTTAAAGTTTTTGGGGGTTTTGGGTAGTTTTTTGGGATATGTGATAAAGATGTTGAGGTAGGGGTATATAAAGGGTGAGAGGGTGGTATTTGAGATTAGGGTTTGGGGGTTTGGTAATATGATTTGGATTGGAAGAGGTTGAGTTGGTTTTGGGGATGGTAATGAGGTGGGGATGGTGGGTGGGGAGTTGGGGGGTTTGATGGTTGGGGGGATGAGGATAGGAGGGGGGGGAAGGTGGAAGGTTTGGATTGAATAAAATGGGAAGGTGGGGTTTGATGGGTTTTGTTTGGAGGGGTTGGATGGGGGGATGGGGATGTAGTAAGGTTTTGTGTTTTTTATGTATTTGTTTTGAGAAGGGAGTGGGAGGAGGGAAAATGGGTTTTTTGGGGGATGTGGGGTGTTTTATGGGGTTGATGTTTAGTTGGTTTTGGGTTTATTGTGGTAGATAGGGTATGGAGGGTGTTTTTTAGGAATGTTATGGTATGTTTGTGTGGTTGTAGTGTGTTGGGTTTGGATGGGTGGAAGTTTTATGTAATGTGTGTTAAAGTGGGTGGGTTGTGAAGGGGGGGGGGGGGGGGGTTTGTGGGATTATGTGGAAGTTGTTATAGTTTGTGTTGGGTGTTGGTGGGGTATGGTTGATTAGGAGGAGGGTAGTTGGGGGTAGGTTATATGAATGAGAGGGGGTTGGGGTTGGGTTGTAGGTGGTGGGTATGTTGGAAAGATTTAAGGAATAGGGGTGGGTGGGTTATAGGGAATTAAAAAGGTGGTTAGGGGGAGTAGTGATGAAGTTTAGGGGTATGTGGGGTAAAATGGTGTTTTTGTGTTGGGGGAAGGGATATATTTAAGGGTTGGGAGTAGAGAGAAAAGTTGAAGGATTAGGAATGAGGGGGTATGGATGGATATTGTAATGTGGGGGTGGGAGTTATTATGGTTGTGGGGGGTTTTAGGTAGGGAAGGAAGGATATTATAGGTGAGGAGTAGGGGATTGAGAAAAGAAGGGGGTGTGGGGAAATTTATGGAGGGTTTAAGAGAGTTTGTTGTATTGGTAGGGTGTTTGTATGGGTTTGAGTATTTGGTTTGGGGTATGGATTGTGATATTAATTGGGAAGTTAAGTAATGATTATGGGGAAGGGGAGTGGGGGTGGAGGTTTTTGGGGGAGAGTGAGTTGAGATAGAGGATATATTTGGGGGAGTTTGTGATTGTGAATGAGGAGTGGTTGTTTAGGGTTGGGTGGGTTATTGTGGATGGAGATGATGTTGGTTAGTTATATTTATTAGGTAGGGGAGGAAGGATTATGATTGATATTAAATGATTGGTAGAGGAAAGGGTTATGAGATGTTAGATGAGTTGAGTTTGGGTGTGTAGGGGGGGAGTGTATGGGGGTGGAGGAGGGAAAGGTAAGTAGATTAATTTGTAAGGATGGTAATGAGAAAAAAAAGTTGGTATGGAATTAGATTTGGTATGTTTTTGTTGTTTGGGTGGTATTTTGTTGGTGTGTTGGTTTGGGGGAGTATAGGGTTGGGATGTTGGTTTGTGTGTGTTTGGGTTGTGTTTGTTTGTTTGTTTGTTGTTGGGGTTTTTTATGTTTGTTTGTTTGTTTGGGTTATTTTATGGTTGTTTGTTTGTTTTTGGGTTTTGTGTTTGTTTGTTTGTTTTTGGGTTTTGTATGTTTGTTTGTTGGTTTTTGGTTTGTATTGTTTGGTTGGGTGATTGTTTGGTGTTTGTTGTTTGTTGTTTGGTGTGTGGGGTGTTTTTAGTATGTTATGGTTGGGTGGGTGGGAATAGGTGTGGGTATGTATTGGGTTTGTGGTGGGGGGGTGGATTTTGGTGTGGGTGGTGTTGTTGGAAGGGTTGGTTTGTGGGTGGGTGGGTGGTGTAGGTGAGATGTGGGGGAAGAATGTGTATAGGATTGGGTATGTGTTTGGATTTTGTAGGGAATTGAATTGATGTGGGTTTGTGAGTTTGTTGTTGTTTTGAGGTGGATTAGAGGGTGTGGTTTTTTTGTTTTGGAGGGTTTGGTTTGGTAGGAATGGTTGTAGGTTTGGTAATGTTGGGAATTTTGGATGGGGGATGAGGGGGGGAAAGGAATGTGTTAAGGATTGGGGTGGTGGGGATTTGATGAAAAGGGATTAGGGGTTTTTAGGTGTGGGGTATGATTAGTGGGGGGTGTGAAGAATTATAGATTATTTTAGGGTTTTTGTGTGGTGATATTAGTGAGTTGGGGGGGTTGGGGGGTTTAGGGGGTATGAAAGGTGGGTAAGTGATTGTAATAATATGGGGTTTTTTGTGAGAGAGATTAGATTATTAGTGTGGGTTGTTTTGTGTGTGTGTGGAGGGAAGGGGGGGGATAGGGGTAAGGTTATATATGGTTATGGGGTATTTTTATGGAATTTGGTGTGGGGGGTGATTAGAGGGGATTGGGGTGGGATGGGGGTGTTGTGATTTTTTGGAGGGGGTGGTTTGTGATGGGGGGGTTGGGAGTTAGGAGGTGGGTAAGTTAGTATTAGGTTGGTTTGTGGGAATTTTTTATTGTTTTTTGAAAGGAGGATTGGAGGGTATGGGTATGGTTTGATGATGGGTTGTTTGTAGGGGTGGGGGATAGTGTTATTGGGAAGATGTAGGAGAGAGGAGGGGAGGGGTGTGGAGTTGAGAGGGGGGGGAAAAGGGATGGGGGGGGAAGGAGTAGTAGATAAAGAGGATGTGGTGGGTGAATTTTTGTAGTTTGTGTTTGTTGTTTGTGTGGTTGTTTGGTATGTTGTGTGGGTTGTTTGTGGGGGGGGGTGGTTGGGGGGGGGGGTGGGGGTGTTGGGGGTGGGGTGGGGGTTGGTGGGGGGTTGGGTGGGGGGGGGGGTGTGGGGGGGGGTTGGGGGTGTGGGGGGATGGGGGGGTGGGGGTTGGGGGGTGGGGGGGGGGGGGTGGTGTGGGGTGGTGGGGGGGGGGGGGGGGTGTTTGGGTGGTGGGGGGGGGGGGGGGGGGTGGATGGGTGGTGGGGGGGGGGGGGTGGGGTTAGGGGAGAGGGTGGGTGGGGTGGGATGGATGGAGGATGGTGGGTGGGGGTGGGAGGTATGGGTGATGGGTGGTGGGTGTTGGATGGGAAGTAGGGAGGTGGGGGGTGGGGGGGGGTGTTGGGGTGTTGGGGGGGTGGGGGGGTAGGGGTGGGGAAGGTGTTGGTGGTAGTGGTTGAGGGTTGTATGTGGGGATGTGATATTAGGTAGTATGGTTGTGGGTATGGGATGTGGGTAGGTAGTATTGGGGTGGGGGTGGTAGGTTGTGATTATGGTAGATGTTATGGGTGGGTGTAGGAAAGGTTTGTGGGTGTGGGGGGGGGGGGTGTGTTGTGGTTGGGTGATGGGTTTGGGTTGGTATGGGTGGTGTGGTAGGGTGTGTGGAGGTGTGAAGGGGTGGGGGGTGTGGATGATTGTTGGTTGAATTTGTGTAGTGGATTTGTGTAGGGTTTGTGTGTTTGGGGGGGGGGTTGGGGGGGGGTTGGGGGGGTAGTGGGGGTTGGGGTGGGGGGGGGGGGGTTGGGGGGATGGTTGGTGTTTGGGGTGGGTGTGGTGGGTAGTGTGGGGGTTTGTGAGAGTGTGGGGTTGGGATGGGGTTGGGGTGGTTTGTTTGTTTTGTTGTGGTTTGTGTTGTGGGGGTGTGTTTGGTGGGGGGGGGGTGGGGTTAAGATTGGTTGGGGGTTGGTTAGTGTGGGGGTGTGGTGGTGTATGGTGGGGGTTTTTTTTGTGGGGGGTGGGGTTGGGTGTAGGTAGGGGGGTTGTGGGTGTGGTTAGAGGGGTTGGGGGTGGGTGGGGGGTAGGGGTATGGTTTTGTGTGGGATGAGGGGTGTGTGGTTTGGGTGTGGGGGGGTGAGATTTTTGTTTGGTGTTTTTTGTTTGTGTTGTTTGGGTGGGGGGGGTTTTATGGTAGGGTGTTGTTTGTTGGGGGGGGGTGGGGTATGGGTTGTTGGTGGTGGGTAAGGGGGTGGTTAGTTTGTGGTTATGTGGGTTTGATGTGTGTGTAGTGGTGTGTGGGTGAAGAGGGGATTGTGTAAGTTGTGTTTGGGGTGTGGGATGATGGGATGGGTTGGGGGGGTTGGATGGGTGTGAGTTGGTGGGTTTGTGGGGGGGGGGGGGTTTAGGGTGGGGGGTGATGTTGGTTTTGGGGGGTATGTTGTTTTGGGGGTTGATAGTGTATTGGGAGTGGGTTGGTGGGAGTTGGGGGTGTGAGGAGGGATGTGAGGAGGGTGGTGGGTGGTGTGGTGGGGGGGTGGGGATTGGTTGGTGGGGGTTGGGGGGGGGGGGGTGGTGGGGGAGGGTGTAGGGTGTTTGTTTTGGGTATAGGTTTGTGTGGAGGATTTTTTGGGGAGTGTGGTGTTTGGTGTGTGGTATGGGGTTTTAAGGGGTGGGTGGTTTTTTTGGTGGGTGAGGGTGGGGTATAGGGGGTGGTTGGGGGTGTGGGGGTGGGGGTGGGTTTTGGTGATGGGTGGGGGGGTTGTTGGGGGTTAGAGAGGGTTTTGGGGTGGGGGGTAGGGGGGGTGTTGGGGTGATGGGGGGGGGTGGGGGGGTGGGGTGGGGGGGTTGGGGTGGTGGGGTGTGGGTGTGGTTTGAGGGTTTTGTGTAGTGGTGGAGTGGTGTTTTGAGGGGGGGTGGGGGGGGTGTTGGGTGGTGTGGGGGGGTTTGGTGTTGGTGTTGGGGGTGTTTTGTTGGGAGGGTGGTGGGGGGTGTGGTGTGTTGGTGGGGGGGGGTTGTGTGTGGGGGTAGGTGGGGGGGTGTTGTGTTGGTGTTGTGTGTGGGGGGTTGGTGGTGGGTGGGTGTGGTGGTGGGGGGGTTGTGGTTTATTATGTTGGGTGGATTGGGTTTGTGGTGGGGATTTATGGTTTGTTTTGTAGTTTGTTAGGGTTGTGTGGTGTTGGGGGTGTATTGTGTTTGTGGTTAATTTTTTGTGGTTATTGGTGTGAGTTGTTGATAGTGTATGTGATTGGAGATGGGGAGGTTGTTTTGTTGGGGGTTGTTGTGTGGGGTGGGGTTGTTGTTGGGGGTATTGGTGTGTGTTTTTGGGTTGTAGGTGTGTTGTAAGTATTTGATGTAGTTGTGTTGTGGTTTTTAGGAATTGTATTTGGTGTTGTTTTATTTGTGGTAAGGTTGGGGGTGTTTATTTAGTTGTGTTAGGGGGGTTTGTGGTGTGGGATTTGGGGTGTTTTGCGTAAGATTATGGGGTGTTGGTGATTGTTTGTGTGGTGTTTGTTGTGTGGGGGGGGGGGGTGGTGGTTGTTTGGTTGGATGTTGTGTTGGGGTTTGGTGGTGGTAGGTTTGTGTTGTGTTTGTTGTTGGTGTGTTTTGGGGTTGGTTGTGGTTGGGTTGGGGGTGTTTGTATGTGTGTGTGTTGTGTGGGTGTGGGGGGGGTGTGTGATGTTGGTGGTTTGTGGGTGGGGGGAGTGGTTTGGGTTGTGGGGGTTGGGGGTGTAGTGGTGGTGGGGGTAAGGGGTGGGGGGTTGTGGTGGTGTGTGGGGGGTGGGGAGGGGGGGGGTGGGGGTATGGTGGTGGGGTGTTTGGTTTTGGAGGGGGGGGTGTTGGGTGGGTGTGTTGGGGGGGTTTGGTGGGGGGTGGATGGGGTTTTGGGGGGTGGGTGGGGGTGGTTGGGTTTTTTGTTTTGATGGAGTGTTTTTGTTGTTGTGTGTGTGGTGTTGGGGTGGTGGGTGGTGTGTGTTTGGGTTGATGGTGTGGTGGGTGGTGTGTGTGTGGTGTTTGTGGAGTGTGGTGGTGGTGGGGGGTGTGGGGTTGGGGGGGTGGGTGTTGTTGGTGTGGGGTGGGGGGGGGGGGGGGTGGGGTGTGGTGGTTGGGGGGGTGTTGGTGTTGTGGGGTGGGGTGTTGGGGGGGGGTGGTGGTTGTGGGGGTTTGGGTGGGGGGGGTGTGTGGGGGTGGGTTGGGGTGGGTTGTGTGGTGGTGTGGTGGGGGGGGGGGGGTGGGGGGTGGTGGGGGTGGGTGGGGGGGGGGTTGGTGGGGGGGGGTGTGGGTGGGGGGGGGGGTGGGGTTGTGGTGTGTTGGGGGGGTGGGGGGGGTGGGGGTGTGGATGTGTGGTTGGTTGGGGGGGGGTGGTGTGTTTGGTGGGGGGTGTGTGGGTGGGGGGTGGGGGGTGTGTTGGTGTTGGTGGGGGTGGTTGGGGGGTGTGTTTTGGGTGGTTGTGGTTTGTTGGGGGTGTTTGTTTTTGTGTGTTGGGGGTGTGGGTGTGGGGGGGGTTGTGTGGTGGGGGTGTGGGGGTGGGGGGGGGTGTTTGGTAGGTGGTGTTGGGGTTGGGGGGGTGGGGGGGGGTTTGGGTGGGTGTGTGGGGGGTTGTGGGGGGTTGGGTTGTGGGGTTTTTGTGGTTGTGGGGTTGTGTTGTGGGGGTGGTGGGTGGGGGGGGTGGGGTGGGGGGGGGGGGGTGGGGTGGGGGGGTGTTGGGTGGGTGGTGGTTGTGGGGTGGTGGGGGGGTTGGTGTATTTGTTTTTGGTTGGGGGGTGGTGTGGTGGTTGGGGGTGGGGAGTGGGTGGGTGTAGTGGGGGTTTGGGTGGTGTTGTGTGTGTTTTTTTTGTTTTTTGTTTTTGTTTTTGTATGAGGTAAGGGGTTTTATGGGAGGAGATATGTGGGTTGAGTATTGTTGATTGAATTGTGGGGTAGATGTTGGAGTGTTGTAATATAGATATTTTTGAGTAAAGAAGGGGGTTAATTATTGGGTGGGTTAGGGAGGGTAAGTGGAGTTTATATAAATATGGGGTGAGAAGGGGGAGTGTTGTAGGGGAGAGAAGGAGGAGGTTAAGGGGTGGGTGAAGGTGTGGAGTAGTTAAAATGAGTGAGAGGGATAGGATTATAGGGTAAAGAGATGGAGAGGTAGTTAGGGAGGAAGGGTTGAGGGGGGAAGATGGTAGGGTGAAGATATGTTGGGGAAGGGGATAGGGGGGGTGAGGTGGAATGGGGGATGGGTTGGAGGGATGTAGGGGGATGGTGAGTAGGAATAAGATGTGGAGTAGGAAGTGATTGATTGAGAGGGTGGAGGTGTAGGTAGTGGGGGGTTTGGGGGATAAGTTTGAGAGAAATATTTATGGGGATATTGTATGAAGATGGTTGAGTTGGTTGGATAATAATTTTTGGATTTGTGGGGGGGGGGAGGGTTGGGGGGAGATGGTATGTGTTGTTGGGTTTGTGGAGGGGTGGGGTTGTGATTTGGTTTGTTGTAGATTGGAGAATTGGGTGAGAGGGGGGATATTATGGGGGGGGGGGGGGGGTTGGGTGGGGTGGTGTGATGGTTGTGAGGTGTGGGGGTTTGTAGGAGGGGAAGGAGGGGGGATTGAGAGTGAGGGGGTGGTTTTTAATTGTTAATGGTTGGTTTTTTTTTTGTATAGATTGTGTGTTGTTTTGGGATTGTTTTTAAGTTGGTGGGGGTGGGGGGAGTTGTTGTTTGGTTTGGTGTTTGAGGTGGGTTGTGGGTAGTAATTTTTAAGGATGGGTGGGTGTGGTGTAGTGGATATTAGGGGTTTGGTTGGGTTAGTAATGTAGGGGGGTTTGATGTGGGGTTGATTTGGTGTTGTGGTATGAGGGGTTGAGGGGGTGGGGAATGGGGTTTTGTGGGTTTTGGTGGGGTTGTGGTGTGGTGGGGGGGGTTGGGGGTGGTTTTTGGGTTTGGATGTTTTTAGGTTGGTGGGGGGGTGGTGGGGGGGGGGGGGTTGGGGGTTATGGGGAGGGGAGGATGTTATGGGGTGTTGTTTGTATTTTTTGTATTGGGGTTTTGGAGTAGGGTGTGTATTGGAGATGGGAAATGGGTTTTGGAATGGGTTTTATGTGGAGTGTTTTGTGGTGTGTGGGTTGATTGTGTGGTAGATAGGTTAGGAGGTGGTTAATTAGATTGGTTAGGGTATGTTTGTTGTTGTAGTGTGGTTTGGGTTTGGAAGGGGGAGTTTGTTTAGGTAATGTGGTTGTTAAGGGGGTGGGTGTGAAGGGGTTTGTGTGGTTATGTGGTTAGTTGTATTGGTGGTGTGGGGTGGTTGGGGGTGTATGGTTGATTAGGAGAGGGTTTATTGGGGGGGGGGTAGTAATTATGTAGGAGAGGGGGTTGTGGTTGGGGTGAGGTGGGTTTGTTGGGGGTTGAGTGGTAAGGTTTAGTGGGGTGGTTGATTTTGTGTAATATGGTTGGGTTAGGGGGGGATTATGGATATTGGTGTTAGGTGTAGTGGGGGTATGGGGTGGTTGGTGGGGGGGGGTTGTATATTATGGGGGATGTTATGTAAGTTGTATAGTGATTTTAGGGTGGGGGGTTGGGAGTAGATGTGTTTGTGGGGTGGGTGGTTTTTTTTGGGGGTTTAGGGTGGGAAGGGAAATTTAATTAGAGTTGGTATTGAGAAGAAAAAGGGGTGTGGAAATTTATGAGGGTTTAAGAAGTTTTGTTTGGGTTATTGGTGAGGTGTTGGTATGGGTTTATGAGTATTGGTTTTTGGGTATGGGATTGTGTAAATAATGGAATTTTAAGTAAATATGATGGGGAGGGGGATGTGGGGGTGGAGGTGGTGTTGGGGAAGTGAAGAGAAGAAGGAGAGTAATATATTTGGATTGTGGTGATTGTGGAAGAGGGGAGTGGTTGGGTGTAGTTGGGGTGGGTTATGTTTGGATGGAGGTAGTGAAGGGTATATGTGATATTTATGTAGGTAGGGGATAATGGAATATGGTAAGTTATTGAAATAGGGTGGTAGGAGGAAGGGTTTGGATGATTGTTTTAGATGTTAGTTTTGAAATGGGTGGTTGGGTGTAGTGTTGGGAGGAGGGAGGGGGGAAAGAGGAAGTAGGAATTTATTTGAAGGTGATGGGGTTGGGTGAGATATATATAAAGTTGGTGATGTAAGGATTATATGGTTATGTTTGTTTGTTTGTTTTTGGGTGTTTTGTATGTTTGTTGTTTGGTTTTTGGTGAGTATATGTTGGTATGTTGTTGGTTGGTGTTGGTGTTTGTATGTTGTATGTTTGTTTTTGGTGTTTGTATGTTTGTTTTTTGGTTTTTGGGGTTTGTATGTTGTATTGTTGGTTGTTGGTTTTGTTGTTTGTTGTTTGGTTGTTGGTGGTGTATGTTTGTTTGTTGGTGTTTGGTTTTTATGTTTGTTTGTGTGGATGTTTGTGTTTGTTTGTTTGTTTTTTGGGGTTGTGGGTGTTGTTAAGTTTGTTTTGGTGTGTGGGTTGATTGTTGTGGGTATGGATTGGTTGGTGGGAGGGGGTGGGAATTTTGGTTGGTGGGTATGTAGTATTTAAGGGTGGTGGGTGGGTGGGTTTGAGGGTAGTAGGTGGATGGGGGGGGGAATAATGTAGGATGTGGGGTGTTTGGTGTTGGATGTTATGGTAGGGAATTGAATAGATGGTGTGTTGTAGTTTTTTTGTTGTGTTGATGTGATAGAGGGTTGTGTGTATTTAGTTTTGGATGGGTGTATGGTAGGAAAGTTATTATGGTTTGGGGTATGTTGGGGATTTTGGAGTGGGGGTATGAGGGGGGTAAAGGTTATGTGGGTTAAGGATTGGGGTGGGAGGGATTGATGAAAAAGTGGATATGGTTTTTAGGTGTTGGGTATGAATTGTAGGGGGGGTGTGGAGAATATAGGATTAGTTAGGGTATTTGTGTGTATCTTAGGTTAGTTGGGGGTTGGGGGGGGGGTTTAGGGGTATGAAGGTGGGGAAGGTTAATTTGGGGTAATATATGGTTTTTTGTGAGAGGAGATGATTATTTAGGTGGTGTGGTTTTGTGTGTGTGTGGAGGGGATGGGGGGGATGGGGTGAAGTTATAGTAGTGGTTATGGTTATTTATGGATTTGGTGGTTGGGGTGATGATAGGGGGATTGGGGTGGGATGGGGGGTTTGTGATTTTTTTGAGGTGGTTTTTGTGATGGGGTTTGGGAGATTGAGGAGGTGGGGGTAAGTTAGTATTATGTTGGGGTTTGTGGAATTTTTATTGGTTTTGTGAAGGAGGAATGGAAGGGGTATGGGTATGGTGTTTGATGAAGGGTTGTTTGGAAGGGGTGGGGGGATAGTGTTATTGGGAAGATTAGGAGATGAGAGGGGAGTGTGGAGTTTAGAGGGGTGGGAAAGATGGGTGAAGAGTAGTAGAAGGTAAAGAGGATTGGTGTGGTGGTAATTTTTGGTATTGGTTTTTTTAGTTTGTTGTTTGTTTTTTATTTTGTGTGGTTGTTTGGTATGGATGGGGGGTATTGTTTTTTAGTTTGTGGGTATGGTGTGAGTTTGTGGTAAGGTTTGATTTGTTTGTGTAGGGGTGGGTGGGTGGGTGATTGTATTATGGGGAAGGTGGGTGGGTGATTGGTGATGTTGGTGGGGGGTGGGAGTATGGGAGGATGGGTGGGTGGGGTGGTGGGAGTATGGGAGGATGGTGGGTGGTGGTGGGAGTATGGAGGATGTGGGTGGGTGGTGGAGTATTGGAGATGGGTGGGTGGGTGGGTGGAGTATGGGGAGGATGGGTGTGTGGTGGTGGATTATGGGGAGGATGGGTGGTGGTGGGTGGGAGGGGAAGTATGGAGAATGGGTTGGTGGGTGGGTTGGGAAGTAATGGGAGGATGGTGGGGGGTGGGTGGGAGGGGGAGAAGTAGTTGGTGAGAGGAGTGGAATTGATTTGATGGTGGGGGGGATGTGTATGAATGGATAAATGTATGTTATTGCTTTGATGATTATGTTCAGTTAGAGATGGGGTGGTTGTGGGGGTGGGTGGAAGGTATTGAGGTTGATGTATGAGAGGGAGGAAAGGGGGAGGGTGTGTGAATTAAGGGAGGGGTATTATGTTGGAGGGGGGTGGTTGGGGATGTGTTGGTTGATGGGATAAGGTTTAGTTTTGTTATGGGGTTAGGTTGTGTTTGAGAGTTAGGATATGAAGGTGATGGGGGGGATGAGATGTAAGAGTGATGAGAGATTTGGAGAAGAGAAAGATATATAGTGTAAAATTTATAAAGGGGGGTGTGGGGGGGGTTTGGGGAAGGGGGGGGTGGGATAAGAGTATGGATGGGGGTGTGGGTGATGGGTGGGATGTAATTAGGGGATGGGTGGAGTGAATTGGTTTGGGGGGGATAGTAGGGGTAATGTGATTATTGGGTGGGGTTTGTGGGATTGGTGATTGAAAGGAGGGAAAGTAAATATAGATGAGGTGATATATGGTGAGTAGGGGGAAGTTTCTGTTTTTGTGTGAGGGGAAAAATAGTATGATTTGGTTTGGAGGGAAGAGATGGGTGTGATGTTTGAGAGGGTATGGGATTGGGGGGGGAAATAGGAAATTAGTGTGGGTGGGATGTGTTGGGGAATTTAAGTGGGTGAAGGGGGATGGGAGAAGATGGTGATTGTTGTGTTATGTTGGAGGGTCGGGGAGAGGTGGTATGGTTTGTGATGAGGTTGGGAAGGAGTGGGGTTTGGTGGATAGTTGTGTGTTTGTTGGATATTTTTTTAGGTGGGGTATGGAATTTTATGGTGGTTTAGATGTTGGGTGTTTTGGGTTGTGTATGGTTGAATGATGTGGGTCAGGGGTGGATGGAGTGTGTGGGGTTATGTGGTTATGGAAGTTTGTTTAGTGGTGTGGGGGTGAAGAGTGGTGAATGTTAATGTTGGGATGGGTTGTGAGGGATGAGTGAGTGGGTATGGTGGGTAGTGTATGGGGAGTGATATGGATGGGGGTATAGAGGTGGTTGTGGGGGGTTTAGGTTGTTAGATGTGTGGAATATGTGGGTGTATTTTATATGGGTTTGGGATAGGAATAAGTTGGGTAGTGTTTGGTGTGGGGTGGGGAGAAGGGGGGAGGGGGAGGAGAGGGATGGGGGGATTATTGATTTGTGGATTGGTTGGTGGGGTTGGAGGGAATTTTAGTATGGATTGGGGTGGGGTTGGAGTTTGTGGTAGTTATTATTTTGGAGATTTGGGAGGGTAAAGGTGAAAGGAAATTGTGGATGTATTGGATGTGTAGTTTGTTGAAGATTTAATTGGGGGGAGGATAAGGGGATGGAGGAAATCGGATTGGTTAGGTTGAGGGGGTAAAGGGGTGGGAGGATAGTTTATGGGGGAGGGGTTGGTTTATGATGAATGGATTGTTAGGTAGATAGGAGAGGAAAGGGTGGTGTAGGGGGGAGAGGGGGTTAGGGGTGGGGATGGGGGGTGTTGAGGTGGGGGGTAGGGGTGATGGGGATGAAATTGTGATAGGTGGAAAGTAGGGTTTTAAAATAGGTATATTGGAGTTATATTAGTTATTATGGTTTGGTATTGTTTGGGAGATTTATGGATATGTGGTAGAATATGGTGAGAGGTGTGGATAAGGGGGAAGAGGGGGGATTGAGTATTTTTTGAAAGAGATAAGATGGGGGTTGGTGTTGCGAGAGTGGGAATTTATGGGGGGTTGAGGAGGATAGGATAAGGTGGATTGTAAGGATGTGGTAATGAGGGGGGTGGTGTGGAAAGATAGTTAGAAGGGATGTATAAGTGAAAAGGGTAGTGTTAGTAAAGATGGAATGTAATGAGAGTTTATTTTGTGAGTTGAAGTGTAGATGAGTTGAGGTATGTAAAAAAGAGATTTATTGTTAGTGGGGATTGTTAGAGGAGAGTGGGGTGTAAGTGGATGTGAGTTGTGTGATGGTGTAGAAGTTGAGGTTTGGGTATGATTTTTGGTATATTGGTTGTTTAGATTAGGTTGTAGATGATAAGATATGATTAGTATATGTTGATGATAGAATTAATAAAGAGATTAAGGGGTAATAGGAAAATATATATGAGGGAAAGGTGAGTGTGGATGATAAAAAGAGAAGAAGAGAATGGGGGGATGAGGAGTGATGAGAGAAGAGGGAGGGTTAAAAGGGGAAGGAATAATAGAAGGAGAATAATATAGAGAAAAGTAATATGAGGTGGTGGTTGGGAATGAGGGTTATAGGAAGAGGAGGAATAGAGATAGAGAGGTTGGAAAATAGTAGGGTAATTACGGGAGATGTAGAGAAAAGAAGAGGAGGATGGAAAGAGTGTAAGGGGAATTGAGGGGTGGGGGGTGGTTTAGTAAGGTTTAGGATGATGATTTGATTGTTGTTATGGGGTGGTGAGGGGGTATAGAAGGATTGAAGAAGTAGTGAGGGGGGTGAGAAATGAATTAGGGGTTTATGGTGGTAGGAAGAGTGAGGAGGGGGGGAAGAGGGGATGTGGGGTGAATGAGTATGAGAAGGGGTTAGGGAGGGGGTTTTTGGGGAAAGGGAGGTTTGGGTAGTTGGAAGTGAGGAAGTAGTGGTATAAATTTATGTGTAGGTTTGAGGGTGTGTTGGTAGTGGATGAGGAAAAGGAGTAGGGTATGAGTAAAAGATAAAATATAATAGAAAAAGAAGAAGGAGATAATATAAGGTGTAGTAGGAGTTAATAGAAAAGGATGAAGATGGATGTAATGGGATGGTTTTTGGAGTAGTCGGGAGGTAGATTGTTGTTTGTGGTTGGGGATTTGGGGTGGGAAGGGGGTGGGGGGAATGTTTTAGTGTGGTGGGGGGGTGGTGGGGTTGTTGTGAGGTTGAGTAGATGGTGGTGAATGATGATTTAGTGGGGAGGGTAAGGGTGTGTGTGTGTATTTTTGTGGTTTGTAGATGGAGTGGGGGGAGGTGTGTGTTGTGGTTGTGTGGGTATGTGTGAGTAGTATTATTTGGTGGGTGGGGGGTGTGGGGGGGGGTTGGGGGTGAGTTTGGGTGTTGGTGGGGGGGGGGGGTGGTGTGGGGAAGGGGGGGTGGGTGGTGGGTGTGTTGGGGTGGGGGTTTGTGGTGAGGTTGGGGGGGGGGGGTGTAGGGGGGGGGGGGTGGTGGGGGGGAGGGGAGGGTTTTGATTGGTTTTGGGGATTGGTGGGGGTTTTTAAAGGGGGGAGGTGGAGTATGGGGATTTTGGGTGGTATGTTTATGTGGGTTTGGGTGGTGTGAAGGGTGGGTGTGGTTGGGTGTTGGGTGATAAAGTGGTGGGTTGGGGGGGTGGGGGGTTAGGTATTGGGGGTGTGGTTGTAATATTTGTATGTAGGGGGGTATGATTTAGGTGTGGAATGGATGATAGGGATATGGTGTGGGGGGTTATGGTTGGTGGTGTTTGGTTTGGGGATGTGGGGTGATGTTTTTAGGGGGGTTAGGATGGGTAAGGGGAAGATGGGTTAGAATATTATTTGTGGTGTGTTGATATTGGGGGGTATTAGGGGGGGGTTGTTGTTTTTGTGGGGTTTTGGGTTGTTATTGATATGTTTTGGGGTAGGTAGGGAGGATAGAGGGGGTGGGGGAGGTTGGTATTTATGATGTTAGGTTGGGGTTAGTGATATTGAGTTTTGGTTAGTTTATTGAGGGGTAGGTAAATTGTTAGGGGTTATGTGTTAGAGAAGTTGGGGTGTATGTAGGGTGGATGGGGATGTTGTGGATAGTTGAGAAGGGTTGAGTAATGTAGGATAAATGATGATGAAGTGTGGGAAGGATTATTGGGTTGTAGGAGGTAAGATAGTATATTAATAAGGGGGGAAGTAAGAGTAGGGGGGGGGAGAGAGAAGGGGGGGAGAGTTAAAAGTGGGTAGGTGGTGAGTTGTAATAATGTGTAGGGAGAGAGTGTTGGGGATAGGGGGGGGGGTTTGGGGTTTGTGGTTTGGGTTGTAGGGGGTGGGGTTGTGAGGTAGGGGTTGAGAGATGTTGGGGAGGATGGGAATGGAGGGGAGGTGGAATGGATGTTAGATGTAGGGGGGGAATGAGATGTATGAATAGTGTTGGTGGGAGAAGATTGAAAGAGAGAGTGGGAGGTTGAGGGAAAGGTGGTTTATTGGGAAGGAGGTAGGAGAGAATATATAAGTATGGGATATTTGGATAAGATGTATGATGAATTGAGGAATAAATAGTAGATTTTTGGGGAGTTGTGGGGGAGATGGATTAGAGAGGGGTGTATTGTAGGAGGAGTGTGAGATTGGGATAGGGAAGAGAATAAATAGAATTGGTAGTAGTTGTGGGATGGGGGTGATTGGGATGGGGGAAGGGAATGGAAAGGGTAGGGGGGTAAGAGGGAGTAGTGGGGGATGAAGGTATTGGGAGTGGGAGGTTTAATAGGTGGGTTTTTTGTTTTATAGATTGTGGGTTTTTTAGGTTATTGTTTTTAAAGTTTTGGGTTTTAGGGTAGTTTTGGGATATGTATGAACAGGATGTAGGGAGGTAGGGTATAAGAGGGTGGAGAGGGTGGTTTTTTTATTTAGGAGTTTGGTTGTAGATATAGAATTTGGATTGGGAAGTGTTGGAGTTGGTTTTGGGATGGTAATTGATGGGATGGATGGTGTGTGAGATGGGGTAATTGATGGTTGGGGTGTTGGGATGGAGGAGTAGGAGGGGGGGAATGTTGAGGGGATGGATTTGATAAAAAGAAGTGGGGGTTTAAGGGTTTTGTTTGGAGGGGTGGGAATGGATGGGGAGGTAGTAAATTTTTTTTGTATGTTATATGTGAATTTGGTTTTGAGAAGGGAGTGTATGAGGGGATTGGGAATGAGGTTTTGGAAGTGGGGTGTTTTATGGGTTGAGTGTGTTAGTGGTTTGGGTTTATTTGTGGTAGATGAGGTTATTGATGTGTTTATAGGATTGTTATGTGTATTTGTTGTTGGGTATTGTGGTTGGGGTTTGGATGGTGAGTTTTTGATGTATTGTGTAAGTGGGTGGGTTGAAGGGTTGGTGGGATATGTGGGTAAGGTGTATAGGGTTTGTGGTTTGGTTGTTTGGGTGTGGTAGTTGATTAGGAGGAGGGTAGTTTGTGGGGGGTATGGTAATCTGAATGGAGAGGGGGTGGTGTGTTTTGTTTTGTTAGGTGGGGGTATGTTGGGTTTAATAGTATGTTAAGAAGTGAGGTTTGGTTGGGTTTATGAGAATTATTAAAAAGGGGGTTAGTGGGAGATAGTGGATAAATGTTTTAGTGTAGTGGGGTGGAAAATGGTGTGTTTTGTGTTGGGGGGAAGGGAATATTAAGGGGTTTGGGATTAGAGGAGAGAAGTTGAAGGATGTGGAATGAAGAGGGGGTATGGGAGTGGGGGATATTGTGAATGTGGGGGTGGAGTGTATTTATTGTGTGGGGGGGTTTAGTGGAAGGGAAGGATTGAAATGGTGAGAGTAGGGTATGAGGAGAAAGAAGGGGGGTGTGGGGAATTTATGGAAGGGTTTAAGAGGAGTGTTTTTGTTGTTGGGGTATTGTAGGGGTGTTTGTATTGATTATGATATTGGTTTTGTAGTGGGGATTGTTTATATTGGGATTGGGAATTTAATAAGATTATGGGGGAAGGGGGGATGTGGGGTGGAGGTTTTGGGGAGAGTGGAGGAGGAGGGGAGAGGATATATTTGGGATTTGTGGGTGATTGGGAATTGAGGGAGTGTTGGTTTAGGTTGGGTGGTTAGTGGTTGGATGGATGAGTGAGGTAAATGTTATATTTAAGTAGGTAGGGGGATTAAGGGGGGAATATGATGATAAATTATGGAAGAATAGTGGGTAGGAGGGAAGAGGTTGATGATGTGTTATGATGTAGTTTAGGGATGGTGGGGGGGGGGTGTAGGGTGGGGAAGGAGGAGGGGGAAAGGAGTAAGTTAGAAATAATTGAAGGAGGGGTGGGGTGAGATGATAAGGAAAGAAGTTGGTATGTAATTATATGTTTATGTTGTTTGTTTGGTTGTATGGGTGTTTGTATGTTTGTTTGTTTGGTTGTTTGGGATATATTTTTATGTTTGTTTTGTTTTGTTTGTTTGGTGTTTGATGTGTGTTTGTTGTTTTTGGTTTTGTATGTTTGTTGTTTGTTGTTTGGGTGTTTGTATGTTGTTGTTTGGGTTGGTTTGGGGGTTGTTGTTTGTTTGTGTGTTGTTTGGTTTTGTAGTTTGGTTTGTGTGGTGTTTGGGTGTTTGTATGTTTGTTTGTGGGATTGTTTGGTTGTTTTTTGTTTGTTATTTGGGTTGTGGGTGTGTTTAAGTTTGTTTGGTGTGGGGGTGATGTGGGTTTTGGGTATTGAATTGGTTGTTGGTGGGGGTGGGAATTTTGGTTGGTGGGTGTGTGTGGGAAGGTGGGGTGGTGGTGGGTGGTGGGTGTAGGGTGGGATGGGGGGGGAAGATGTAGGGATGTGGGGTAGTGGTGGTTTGATGGTTGGTAGATTGAATTATGTGGGTTTGTATTTTTGTTTTTGAGTGATAGAAAAAAATAGGGGGGTTGGGTTTTTGTTTGATGGGGTGGTTGGGGTTTGATGGTAGTAGGTTTGGTATTTTGGGAATTGTTGAGTGGGGGATGAGGGGGAAAGGGGGATGTTGGGTTAAGATTGGGGGGTGGGTGATTTGATAAAAGGGGAGATGGGTTTTTTAGGTGTGTGGTATGAAGTGGTATGGGGGGGGTGTGGGAATATTGGATTAGGTTGTTTTGGGGGATTTAGGTGTGTTGGGGGGTTGGGGGGGGGTTTAGGTATGAAGGTGGAAATGAAGTGTTATTAGATTTTTGGAGTGTGTAGTTTTATGAGGGGATGGGTGTTTTTGTTGGTTGGAGGGAAGGGATGGGGAAGTGAAGTTGTGGTTATGGGGATGGGGAGGGAAGTTGGGGGTGGGGGGTGAGGATGGGGGAGGGGTGGGTTGGGGTGGGTGTTGGGAGGGGGTGTTGGGATGGGGTTGGGATTTGTGTGGTATGGAGTAGTTGGTTGGGGGGTGGGGTATGGTTATGGGTTTTTGGTAAGGTAGGGAATTGGAGGTTGGGGTATGGGTGTGATGATATGGGGGGGGGTGGGGTGGGGGGATAGGTTATTGTTTTGGTGGTGTGGTGGTGGGGTTGTGTGTGTTGGGTGGGGTTGGATAAGGATGGGGGTTGGAGGTGTTGTTATGTGTGGTGGTTAATTTGGGTAGTTTGTGTGTGTTTGTTGTTTTGTTTGTGTGTATTGTGTGGTTGTGGTATGGATGGGGGGGTATGGTTGGTTGGGGGGGGGTTGGGTGAGGGTGTGGTTGTGGTTTGAGTTGGGTGTGTAGGGGTGGGGGGCGGGTGATTGTGAGTAGGGGGGAAGGTGGGTGGGTGAATGGGGGGTTGTGGGGTGGGTGGTGGGTAGTTGGGAGGTGGGGGTGGGGGGGGGGGGGTGTAGGGGTGGTTGGTGGGGGGGTTGGGTGTTGGGGTGGTGGGTTGTGGGGTGGGAGTATGGGAGTGGGGGGGGGTGGTGGTGGTGGGGTGTTGGGGGGGTTGGGGGTGGGTTTGGGAGAGGTGGGTGGGTGGGTGGAGGGGATGGATGGGGAGGAGGGTGGTGGGGTGGTGGGAGTATGGGAGGATGGGTGGGTGGGTGTGGGTGGGGGTAAGTGTGTGGGTAGAGGAGGGGAGTGGGTTTGTGGGGGGGGGAGGTGATTGGGTTTTATGAGTGATGGTGTGTTGGGATGTGGGTGTGGTAGGAGTGGGGGGGGGTGGGGGGGGGGGTAGGTGTGTGGGAGTTGATGTTAGAGGGGAGGGGGGGGATAGGTAAGGTGGTAGGTTGAAGGGGGGGGGGGGGTGTGTTGTTGGTGGGTAAGGGTGTAGTGTTGGTATGGGGTTAGGTTGTTTGTAGATGTGAGATGTGTGGAAGGGATGGGGGGGGGATGAGATTTAGTAGGGGATTGTTTATGGGGTTGAAGATAAAATATATTGGGGAAAATTGATTTTGGGGGTGTGGGGGTTTGGGAAGGGGGGTGGGATAGAGGTATGGTGTTGGGTTGGGGGGATGGGGGATGTTAAGTAGGGATAGGGTGGAGTAAGGGGGTTTAATAGGGGTAATGTGATTATTTGGGTTTTGGGGATTGTATGTGATAGAGGGGAAATTTATATAAGATGGTGTTATAGAGGTGTATGGAGGGGTGTGTGGGTGGGGGGGAGGGATAAAGAGAGGGTTTTGGGTGTAGATGTAGATGGTGTTTTGTGGAGGGGTATGTATTGGGGGGGGTTAAATGTGTGGTGGGAGTTTGATGGTTAGTGGTGGAAGGGGTGGGGAATGATGGTAGGGTGTATGGGAGGGGAAGGGTAGGGGTGTTTAAGGGGGTAGGAGGGTTGGTGGAGATGTGGGTGGTTTGGGTGTGAGAGTTTTGGGTTAGGGTATGATATTATAGGGTGTGTGATGGGGGGTGGTTGGGGTTGTGTATGGGTTGAATGGTTGTGGGTATGGGGGGTGGATGAGTTTGTGGTTTGTGGGTGATATAGTGTGTTGAGTGGGTGTGGGGTGATGAGTGGGAATGTTAGTTGGTTGTGGGTGTGAGGTTGAGTGAGTGGGTAGGTGTGGGGGTGGGGATGTGGGAGTAGATGATGGTATGTATGTGTGGGGGGGTTTTTAGGGTTGTGGGAATTGGTGGAATGGGGGTGAAGTTTATATGGGGTTGTGTTAGATAATTGTAGGTTTGTTGGGGTTTGGGGAGAAGGGGGGAGGAGGAGAGGGGATGTGGATATTTGATTGTGGGTTGGATTGGTTGGGTGGGGTTTGGGATGGTAATGTATAGTTGGTTGGGGTTGGAGTTTGTGGTTTGTTATGAGTTTGAAGAGTTTGGTGAAAAGGAAAGGTTGTAGTGAATTGTGTGTGTGTTGAAATTTAATTGGTATGAAAGGGGATGGAGAAATTAGATGTTGAGTTGAGGGTAATAGGGGTGGAGGAGAGGTTTATGGGGGGGAGGGGGTGTTTAGTGATTATTGGGGGATGTGTTTGGTAATTTGTGGGTTTAGGGGGTGGGTGGGGGTGTGGGGGTTGGGGGTGGAGGGGGTGAGGGGGGGTGTGGGGGTGTGGGGGGTTGGGGGGTTGTGGTGGTGTGGGGTTTTGGTGGTGATTTTGGGGAGTGGGAGTTATTTGTGGGATGGGTTGATTGGGGTGTGGGTGGAGAGGTTGTGTGGGTGGGTGTTGATTTGGGTGTTGGGTGTTGGGTTGTTTGGTTGGTGGTGGGGGGGTTGTTGTGTGTAGGTGGGGGTGGGGTGGTGTGGGGGTTGTGTGGGGGGGTGGGAGGTGTGGTGTTGTGTGTGGGTTTGGGGGGTGTAGGGGGTTGGGGGGGGGTTGTGTTTTGTTGTTGGGTGGTGTTGGTTTTTGGTGGGTTGTTTTGGTTGGTTTTTTTTTTGTTGGTGTGGTTTGGTTTTTTGTTGTGGGGTTTTTTTTGTGTGGGTTTGGGTGGTGTGGGTGTGTTGTGGGTGTTGTTTTGGGGGGGTGGGGGTTGTTGGGGGGGGTGTTGTGTGGGGTGTTGTGTTGGGGGTTTTGGTTTGTTGTGGTGGGGGGTGGTTGTGGTGTTGTTTGTGATTGTTGGGTGTGTGTTTTTGTTTGTTTGTGTGTTGTTTGTTTGGTGTGTGTGGTTTGGGTGGGGTGTGTTTTTGTTGTTGTGTGGGTGTTTGTGTTGTTGTGGTGGGTTTTGGGTTGTTTTTGGGTTGTTGGTGTTGTTGTGTGGTGTTTGTTTGTGGGGGGGGGTTGGTGGGGTGAGTTTGGTGGTGTGGTGTGTTTGGGGGTTTGTGGTGGGTTGGTGTTGGGTTGTTTGTTGTGTGGTGGTTGTAGGGGTGGGTGGTGGTGGGTGGGTGTGGGGGGTGTGTGGTGGTGGTGTGGGGTGGGGGGGTGGTTTTTTGGTGTTGTTGTGTGGGGGGGGTTGTTGGGTTTGTGGGTGGGGTGTTGTGTGTGGGGTTTGGGGGGTGTTGTGGTGGTGTTTGGGGTGGGGGGGGGGTTGGGTTTGGGTGGGTGTTGGTTGGTTTGGTGGGTGTTTGGTGGGGTGTGTTGGGGGGGGGTTGGGTGGGGGGTGTGGGTTTTGTGGGTGGGGTGGTGGTTTTGTGTTTGTTGTTTTTGGTTGTGTTGTTGTGTTGGGGTGGTGGTGGGTTTTTTGTTGTTGGTGGGTTGGGTGGGTGTGGTGGTGGTGTTTGTTGTGTGTGGGGTGGTGGGGTGTGGGGGTTGGGGGGTGGGGGGGTTGTTGGTGTGTGTGGGGGGGGGGTGGGTGGGGGGTGGGGGTGGGTTGGTGTGGGGGTTTGGTGTGGTGGGGTGGGTGTTTGGGGGGGGGTGGGTGTTGTGGGGGTGGTGTGTGGGGGGGGGGGTGTGGGTGGGGGGTGGTGTGGGGTGGTGTGTGTGGTGGTGTGGGGGGGGGGGGGGTGGGGGTGTGGGGTGGTGGGGGGGGTGTGGTGGGGGGGGGTGGGGGGGTTGGGGTGGGGGGGGGGTGGGGGGGTTGTGGTGTGGTTGGGGGGTGGGGGGGGGGGGGGGTGGGGGGGTTGGGGTGTGTGTGTTTGGGTTGGGGGGGTTGGGGTGGTGGTGTTTGGGTGGGGGTTGTGTGGTGGGGGTGGTGTTGGGTGTGGTGGGTGTGGGGGTTGTTTTTGGTGGTGGGTGGTTGGTGTGGGGGTGGTGTGTTTTTTGTGGTGTGGTTTTGGGTGGGGGGTTGGTGGTGTGGGTGGTTGTGGGGGGGTGTTGTGGGTGGTGGTGGGGTGGGTTGGGGTTGTGGGGTGTGTGGGTTGGGGGGTGGGGGTTTGGGGGTTGGGTTGTGGGGGTGTTTGTTGTGTGTGGGTGGTTTGTTGTGGGTTGGTTGGGGGTGGGGGGGTGGGGGTTTGGGGGGGGGGGGTGGTTGGGTGGGGGGTGTGGGTGGTGGTGGGGGTGGGGGGTGGTGGGGGGTTTGTGTGGTGGTTGGGTGTGGGGTGTGGGTGGTGGTGGTGGGGTGGTGGGTGGGTGTGGGTGTGGGTTGGGTGGTGTGTGTGTGGGGTGTTGGTGGTGGGGTTGGGGGGTTGTTGGGTGTTTGGGTTAGTTTGTGTGTTTGGTTGTTTGTTGGGTGTTGGTGGTGTGGGGGGGTGGAGTGTTTTGGTTGTGGTTTGTTGGGTTTTGGTGGTGTGTGGGTTGGGTGTTTGGGGGTGGGGGGGGTGGTGATTTGTGGGAGTGGTGTGTGGTGGGTGGGTAGGTGTGGTTGTGGGGGTTGGGGGTGTGGTTTGGGGGGTGGGTTGTTGGGGTGGTTTGGTGAGGGGTAGGGGTTTGGTGGTGGTGGGGGGGTATGGTGGGGGGGGGGTGGGGTTGGGTAGGTGTGGTGGTATGTTTTGGAGTTGTGTTGATTGGGTGTGGGTGGAGGTTTAGGGGTGGTTTGATGAGTATGAGTGAATTTTATGTGTGGGTGAGTGTGTGGGGAAGTGGGGGGAGGTGTTTGGGAGTTTTTGTGTAGTGGTGGGGGAGGGGGGGGGGGTTGGTTGTGAGGTGGGAGGGGAGGATAGGTGTGGTGGTGTGGGATAGTGTAGTGATTGTTGTTAGTGGGGGGGAGAGGTGGGGGTTGTGGGTTTGTGGATGGTGGATGGGTTGAGTGTGGGGGGGGGTTTGAGGTGTTGTGGGGGTTGTGATGTGGAGTGGGAGGGGTGTTGTAGGTGGGGGGGTGGGGGGGGGTTTGAATGGTGGTGGGGTTTGTAGGGGGTTTGTGTTATTGGTTGGGGGTGGATGGGGAGGGGGGTATTTTTTTGTAGAGTGGGGAGTTGGGGGTTTGATGGTGGGGGTGTGGGGTGGTTTTGGTTGTGTTGGGGGGTGGGGTGTTGATAGGTTTGGGGTGGGGTATAGAGTGGAGTGTTGTGATGTTATTGTGTGGGGTTGGGTGGGGTGGGAGGTGGGGGGATGGTGGGAGGTGGGGGGTATTAGGTGAGGTGGGGGGTATGTGGTGGGTTTTGGTAGGGATATTATATTAAAATGGTGGGGGGTTTGGGGGTTGGTTGGTGTGTGGTGGGGGGGTTGAGGGGATGGGGGGTAAGTATAAGTTTTGTGTGTATGTATTTGTGAATTGTTTGAGAAGGTGTGGTTTGAGGGATGAAATGGTTTTGTTAGGGGGGGGGGGGGTTTTAGGGTTGAGTGTGTATGGTGGGGGGGGTTTGTGGTGGTAGGATTGTTTATGATGGTGTTTTTAGGGGTGGTGATGTGTATGTTTGGGGGAGTATTGTGGTTGGGTTTGGAGGGGGGAGTTTGGGTGGATGTAATGTGTGTTGATGGTGGGTGGTTGATGGTGTGGGGGTGTTGTGGTAAGGTTGTATAGGTTTGTGTTGGTGGTTGGTGTGGTGTATGGGTTGTTGAGGAGGGGTAGTTTGGGGTAGGTAATATAATGAGAGGGGGTGTGTTGGGTTGTGAGGTGGTATGTGGGGTTTAATTGTTTTATTAAGGAAGATGTGTGGGTTGGGTTTATTGGGGGTATTTAAAAGTGGTTAGGTGAGTTTGGATTAGGGGTTTTTGGGTGGTGGTAAAGGGTGTGTGGTGGGGTGGAAGAATATTTTGTTGGGATTGAAATGGAGTGGATGGTGAAGTGGGTGAAGAAGGATGGGTAGGGAGGGTATTGTTGAATGGGGGGGTGGGAGGGTTGAGGTGGGGGGGGTGTGGTTTGGGAAGGGATAGTTTGTTGGTGAGAGTAGGGTATTGAGGAGAAAGAAGGGTTGTGGAATTTATGGTGGGGTTTAATTAATTTGTGTGGGGGTATGTAGGGGGGTTTGTTGGTTTATGAGATTTTGGTGTTGGTAGGGATTGTTTATATGAAGGGGTTTGTAAGTAATGTTGTGGGGGAGGGTGGGGGGGTGAGGTTGTTTGGAAAGTGAAGGGTAGAGAGATTGTTTTGAGTTGGGGTATTGTGGGATGAGGGGAGGGTTGGGGTTTAGGTTTGGGTGGGGGATTGGGTGGTGGGATGTGTGAGGTTGTAGTGTGTTTGTGGAGGTAGGGGGATTTGAAGGGGAATATGATAGATTATGGGAATGATTAGTGGGTAGGAGGAAGAGGGGGTTGAATGTTAGTGTTAGAGTAGTTTTAGGTGAAGGTGGTTGGGGGGTGTGGGGGGGGGGGGGGGGGGGGGGGAGTGTTGGGAGGGAGGAGGGGAAAGAGTAAGTAGAAATAATGAGAGGTGGGGTGAGATGATTAAGTAAAAGTGGGGAGGTAGGATTATATGTTTTATGTTTGTTTTGTTTGGGTTTTGTGGTTTGGTTTGTTTGTTGTTGTGGTGTGGTGAGGTAATGTTTGTATGTGGTTTGTTTGGGTTTGTGGGTTGGGTATGTTTGGTTGTTGGTTTTGGTTTGTATGGGTGGTTGTGTGGGTTGGGTTTTTGATGTTGTTTGTTGTTGTTTGGGTTGTGTTGTTGTTTGTTTGGTTGTGTGGTTTTGTATGTTTGGGTGTTTGTTGTTGTGTTTGTATGTTTGTTTGTGTGATTGTTTGTGTTTGTGTGTGTTGTTTTGGGGTGTGTGTTTGGGAAGTTGTTTTGGTGTGTGGGTGGATTGGGGGTGTGGTATTATTGTTTGTGGGTGGGGGGGTGGGGGGGGAATTTTTTGGTGGTGATGTGTTGGAAGGGTGGTTGGGTGGGTGGGTGGTGGGTGTAGGGTGGATGGGGGGGAAAATGTAGGGGAATGGGTAGTGGTGTTTGGATGTTTGGTAGGGGATTTGAATTGATGTGGGTTGTGATTTTTTTTGTGTTGAGGTGATAGAGGGTGTGGGTTATTTTGTTTTGGATGGGTTTTTTGGTAGGAATGGTATATGGTTTGGTATGTTGTGGAATTGTTGCGTGGGGGATTGAGGGGGAAAGGGTATGTGGGTTAAGGATTGGGTGGGTGGGATTTGATGAAAAGGGGATATGGGTTTTTAGGTGGTGGGTATTGAATTAGTAGGGGGGGTGTGGAGAATATAGGATTAGTTTTAGGTTTTTTGTGATATTAGGTTAGTGGGGGTTGGGGGGGTTTAGGGGGTATGAAGTGGGGGAATGAATTTGGGAATAATATTTTTTGTTGTGAGAGAGATTATTATTATTATTTGGTTTGTGTTGTTTGTGAGGGGAAGGGGATAGGGGGTGAAGGGTTATAAGTAGTGGGTTAGGGGTAGTTTTATGGAATTGTGGGTTGGGGTGAATGAGAGGGGGATGGGGTGGATGGGGTTTGTGATTTTTTTGGAGGGTGGTTTTTATGGGGTTTGGGGATGTTGAGGGAGTGGGTAAGTTAGTGTTTTAGGGTTGGTTTGTGGGTGGTTTTGATGTGGTTTTTGTGTAGGAGGGAATGGGAGGGTAGGGTATGTGGGTTGTTTAATGGTGTGTGTAGGGGGTGAGGGGGGATAGTGTTATTGGAAGACTAGGTGAGGATGAGGGGATGTGGAGTTTGAGGAGGGGGGGGAAATGGGGGTAGGAGTAGTGTAGTAAGAGATGTGGGTGTAATTTTTGGTTAGTTTGGTTTTGTTTGTTTGTTTGTTTGTTTGTAGGGGTGTGTTTTTTTTTGTTTTGGTTGTTTGTGTATGGTTGGTTGGTGTTTTAGGGTGTGGGTATGGGGGGTTGAGTTGTGGTAGGAGGTTTGAATGTGTTTGTGTTATGGGGTGGGTGGGGTGGGTGATGGGAGGTATGGGGGGAAGGTGTTGGGTGAATGGGGGGGAGGTGGGTGGGTGGTGGGATTGGGAGGATGGGTGGGGGTGGTGGGGTGGGAGTATGGAGATGGGGGGGGTGGTGGAGTATGGGGAGGATGGGGATGGTGGGTGGGTGGAGTATGGGAGATGGTGGTGGTGGGTGAGAGTATGGGAGATGGTGGGTGGGTGGTGGGGAGTATGGAGGATGGGTGGTGGTGGTGGGAGGGAGAGTATGGAGGAGGGTGGGTGGGTGGGTGGGAGTATGGGAAGGATGGGTGGGTTGGGTGGGTGGGAGGGGGAAGGGGAGTTGGTGGAGAGGGGAGGGGTAGATTGATTGATTGGGGGGGGATGGTGGGAATAATGATTAATTATTGTTAGTGAGTGTAGTGATTTTTGGTTAGTTATGATGGGGTGGTGTGGGGTGTTAGGATTAGTTATGTATGAAGGAGTAAGGGGGAGTGGAATTAAGAGGGTTTATGTTGAGGGGGGGGGGGGGTGGGGGATGTGTGTGTTGTGGGAGAATGTTTAGTTTTTGGTATGGGTTAGGTTGTTGTAGATGTGAAGTTGAAGGGAGGGGGGGGGGGACACATAATTAGAGTATGTGAATTTGGGAGAGATAAGATATATAGGTAAATTTATAAAGGGGTGGTGGGGGGTTTGGGAAGGGGGGTGGAAAGAGGTATGGTTGGGGGGTTGGGAATGGTGGGATGTGAGAGTAGGGATAGGGTGGAGTAAGGGGGGATAGTAGGGGGGGGTAATGTATTTTGTGTTTGTGGGGATTGTATTGAAATGAGGAAAGAAAGGTTAGAAGTGGGGAGTATATAGTGTGAGTAGGGGAAGTATTGTGTTTGTGGTGAGGAAAAAGATATGGATTTTTTAGAAGAAATGGTGATGTTAGAGTATGGGATGGGGGGGGTAGAAAATTAGTGTGGGGATGTTTGGTAAGTTAAGTGGTGAAGGGATGGAGAAGATGGTATGGTTGGGTATGTTAGGGGGAAGGGGTATGTTTGTGTTTGAAGAGTTGGGGAAGGGAGGGGGGTGTGGTGGGAATATGTGTGTGGGTTGGTGTGAGATTTTTTGGTTAGGGTGGGGGGTATGGAATTGATGGGGTTATATGTTGGGGGGGTGGGGTTGTGTTTGGTTGTATGGTAGTGGTAAGGTGGATGAGTTTGGGGGTTATGTGGGTTATATGAGTTTTGTTTAGTGGGGTGATGTGGGTGAAGAGTGGGTAATGTATAAGGTTGGATTGGGTGTGAGGGAGAGTGAGTGGGAGGGTGTGGAGTGGTAATGGGGAGTGTTATGGATGGGTATTGAGTGTTGTGGGGGTGTAGGTTGTTGGGAGATTGTGGAATATGGGGTGTATTTGTGGGATATGGGTTTGATAGGGGGAATTGGGTATGTTTGGTTGGGGTTTGGGAGAAGGGGGAGGAGGAGAGGGATGGTGATGTATTTGATTTGTTGATTTGTTGGGTTGGGGTGGGGATGGGAATTTAGTTGTTGGGGGTAGTGGGGAGTTTGTAGTTTTATTTTGAGATTAGGGTAATGGTGAAAAGGGAAATTGGTGGGGAGTATTGGAATGTGTGAGTTTGTTGAAGATTAGATGTGGGGATGGGAATAAAGGATGGAGAAATAGATGTTTGAGGGGGTGTGGGTAAAGGGTGAGATAGGTTTAGGGGGGGTAGGGGGGTGGTTGGGTGATGGATTAATGGGGAGTTGTTATGTAGGGGGATAGGGAGTGGGGATAAGGGGGTGTTTAGGGTTATTAGGGGGTGGTGAGGGGGGGGGGATAGGGGGGGGTGTAGGTGGGGGGTGTGGGGTGGGTTGGGGGGAATTGGTTGAGGGTTATTGTTTTATAGTGTTTGTGAGTTGTTGGAGGTATATGGGGGTTTGTTGGTGGGGTAGTGGTTTTTTGTGGTGATGGGAAGATGAAGGGTATAAGGTATTGTAGAATGGATGTGTTGTTTGTGTGTTGGATGGGTGTGATGAGGGGTTGGTGTTTGGTGTGGGGTAGTTTGGGGGATGGGGTTATTGGTGAAGTGTTAGGTTGTGGGGGTTTGTGGTTGGGTTGTGTTTATTTTGTATAGGGTGGTGTTGTTTTTTGGGTGGGGGGTGGTTTGTGGGTTGGGTGTTGTTGTTTTTGGGTTGGGTGGGTGTGGGTATGTGGAGTTTTTTGTGGTGGTTTGTTTTTGTGGTGGTTTGGGTTGTGGGTTGGTGTGGTGTGTGGTTGGTTGTGTGGGGTAGTTGTGTGTGGTGGTTTGTGTTGGGGTTGTGTTTTTTGGGGGTTTTTGGTGGGTGGTTGTGGTGGGGGTGTTGTGTGTTGATTGTTTTGTTTGGTGTGGTGTGGATTGTTTTATTTTGTGTGTTGGGTGATGTGGTTATTAGAGAGTTGTGGTTTGGGTGTGGGTGTGTTTTTTTGTTTTTGTTGGGGGTGTTTGTGTTTTATTTTGGGGGGGGGGGGGGGGGGGGGGGGGGGGGGGGGGTTGGTTTTTTTGTGGTTTGGTTGGTTGTTGTTTGTGTTTTGTTTTTTTGTTGTGGGGGGGGGGGTTGGTGGTGTTTGTGTGGTTTTTTGGGGGTTTTGTTGTGTTGGTTTTGGTGTTTTTTTTGGTGGTTTGTTGGTTGGTGGGGGTGTGGGGGTGTGGGGTTGTGTGGGGTGGGGGTGGGGGGTGGTGTGTTGGTGGGTTGTTTGGGTGGGGTTGTTGGGTTGGTGGGGGTGGGGTTTGGTGTTTGGGGGTTGTGTGGTGTTGGGGGGTGGGTGGGGGGTTTTGTGTGGGTGTGGTTGGGTGTTGGTGGTTTTGGTGGGTGGTGTTGGTGTGGTGGGGGGTGGTGTTTTGTGGGTGGGTGGTGTTTTTGTTTGTTTGTGTTTTTTTGTGTGTTGTGTTGGGTGTTTGGTTGGTGTGGTTTTGTGGGTTGGGTGGTGTGGGTGGTGGTGTTTGGTGTTGTGGGGGGTTGTGGGTGTGGGGTTGGGGTGGGTTGTTTGTTGTTGGGGGGGGGGTGGGGGTGGGGTGGGGGTGTGGGTTTGGTGTGTGGTGGGGGTGGGTTTGGGGGGGGTGGTGGTTGAGGGGTGTGTGGTGGGGGGGGGTGTGGGTGGGGGGGTGGGTGTGGGGGGGTGGTGTGTTGGTGGTGGTGGTGGGGGGGGGGGGGTGGGGGTGGTGGGGTTGGGGTGGGGGGGGGGGTGGTTGGTGGGGGGGGGGGGGGTGTGTGGTGGGGGGGGGTTGGGGTTGTGGTTGTTGGGGGGGGGGGGGGGGGGGTGGGTGGGGGTTGGGGGGTGTGTGTTTGTGGGTTGGGGGGGGTTTTGGTGGGTGTTGGGTGGGTGTGTGTGGGTGGGGGTGGGTTGTTGGTGGGGTTGTGGGGTGTGGGGTGTTTTGTGGGTGGTGGTGGTTTGTGGGGGGTGGTGGTTTTTTTTGGTGGTGGTGTGGGGTGGGGGTTGTGGTGTGTGTGTGTGGGGGGGGGGGTTGTGTGGTGGTGGTGGTTGGGGGGTGGGGGGTGTGGTGGGGGGGGGGGGTGTGGGTGGGTTGTGGGAGTTTGTGTGTGTGGGTGTGTTTGGTGGTGGTTGGGGGGGGGTGGGTTGGGGGGGGGGTGGGTTGGGGGTGGTGTGGTGGTTTGGGGTGGGTGGGGTTTGGTGGTGGTGTGGTGGGGTGTGTGGTGGGTGGGGTGGGGTGGTGGTGGGTGGTTTGGGGTTTGGGTTGGTGGGGGGGGTGGTGTGTTTGGGGGGTGTTGGGGGGTGGGTTGGGGGGGTTGTGGGGGTGTGGTGGTTGTGGTGTTTGGTGGTTTGGTTGGTTTTGGGGTGTGGGGGGGGTGGGGGTTGTGTGTAGTGTTTGTTGGGGGTTGGTTTTGGGTGTGGTGTGTTGGGTGTGGTTTGGGGGTGTTGAGGTGTAATTTGGTGGTGGTGTGGTGTTGTGGGATTTTGTGGGATGGTAGTGTTGGGGGGTGGGGGTTGTTGTGGGGAGGGGTTGTTGGGGGGGGTGTGGTTGGGTTGTGTGTTGGTGGGTGGGGGGTGTGGGATGGAGTGGGGGGTGTTGTTGTTTGGTGTGTGGTTTTGTGGGGTGGGTATTGGGGGGGGAGTGGATTATGTAGGGGGTGAGATATGTTGTATAATTGTGTGTTGTGAAGGGGATGGAAGATGGTATGTTATGGTTGGAGGATATATGTGTTGGGATGTTTGGGTGGTGGGGGTGGGGGTGTTGGGATAGAGAGGGTTAGTTGGTAGGAGGGGAGGTGTGAGGAGTGGTTAGTTGTAGATATTGAGGAATTGTAAGTTTGGGGGGATGGGGGTAAGTGGGATGGGGGGGAGAGGGAAATGGAAGAGGTAGGGGGGGTAAAGGAGTAGTGGGGGAATAGTATGGGAGTGGGAGGTTTAATAGTTGTTTTGTTTGTTTTAAGATGGTGTGGTTTTTTAGGTTATTGTTTTTAGATAGTTTGGGGGGGGTTTTGGGTAGTTTTTGGATATTGTTGATTGGATGTGAGGGGAGGGTGGGAGATAGGAGGGGTGGGGGGGGAGGTGGTAGTTGTTTATTAGGGGGTTTTGGTTTTAGATTTGATTGGGGTTTGGTTAGTTGGGGGGTGTGTTGGGATGTAATGAGGTGGGATGAGGTTTGTGAGAGGGGGGTGAATATGGTATGTGTTGGGGATGGAGGGAGTAGGAGGGGGGAATGTGTGGGTATTGATTGAATAATTAGGAGATAGGGGGGGGGGGGGGTGGGTTATGGGTGTTGTTTGGAGGGGTTGTATTGGGATGGGGGAAGTAGTTAGTTTGTTTGTATTGATATTAATTTGGTTGTGAGAAGGGAGTGTATGGTGATGAAATGGGTTTTGTAGGAGGGGTGTTTTATGGGTTGATGGTGTTAGTGGTTTTGGGTTTATTGTGGTGGTGAGAGGGTTATGAGGGGGGTGTTTTTAGGGGATGGGGATGTGTATGGTTTGTTGTTGTATTTGGTTTGTGTGGATGGGTGGAGTTTGTGTATTAATTGTGTGTTAAGTGGGTGGTTGATAGGGTTTGTGGGGATATGTGGGTGAAGTTGTATAGGTTGTGTGTTGGTGTTTGGGTGTGGTTAGTTGATTTGAGAGGGTAATTTGGGGGGGGGAGGGGTTAATTTGAATGGAAGAGGGGGGTGTGTGGTTGGGTGTTAAGTGGGGTATGTTGGGGTATATATGGTTATGATTTAGGTGTGGTGGGTTTATTAGGTATGTTAATATGGTGGGGAGGGGGATGTGTGGATTATGTTTTAGTATGTGGGGGGAAGGGTTGGGGTTGTTTGGAGGGAATATTGTAAGGGTTTGGATTTTAGAGGAGAGAAGTTGAAGATTGAATAAGGTGAGGGGTATGGATGGGGATATTTGAATGTGGGGGTGGGGATTATGATGTTGTGGGGGTTGTTAGTGGGGGGGAAAAGGGGGAAAGATATAATGTGAGGAGTAGGTATGGAGGAGAAAGAAGGGGGGGGTGTGGAATTTATGATGGGGGTTTAAGAGAGTTGGTTGGTATTGTGGGTTGTAGGTTTAGGAGTATTTGGGTGTGGGTTATGTTTGTTGATATTATTTGGGGTTTTGATGGTGGTGTATGGGGAGGGGATGGGGGGGTGTTGGGAGGAGGGAGGTGGTGGAGTGATAGATTGGTTTTTGGGTTGGTGAGGTGGGAGGTGGGTTAGTGGGGGTGGGTTGGATTTGGGAGGGATGTGTGTTTGGTTTTTTGTGTAGGTTGGGGGGGGGTTGGTAGGATGTTGATAGTGGAGGAATAGAGGGTGGATGAGTGTTGGGGGGGGGGGGTTGTTGTTTTAGTTGGTGTGTGTGGGGGTTGGTGGGTGGGGGGTGTGATGTGGTGGTGGAGGGTATGTGGTTGTAGTATGTAGTGAAGAGGGGGGGGGGTGTTGTAGAATATTTGGGGGGTGGTAGGTTGATGGTGGGTGGTTGGTTTGTTTGGTGTGTTGGGGTTTTGGTTTGGGTTGGTTGGGGGGGGTGTTATGTGGTGGTGGGTGGGGTGGGTGGGGGTGGGTGTGGGGGGGTGGGGGTGGTGGTTGTGTTGGTGTTGGTGGGTGGTGGGTTGTGGTGGGTTGTGTGGGGGGTTGGGGGGGTGTTGTGTTTGGTGGGTTGGGGGTGTTGTATTTGGTGTGTTTGTGTGTGGTTTTGTTTTGGGTTTGGGGGATTGTGTGTGTGTGTTTGGTTGGTTTTTGGTTGTGGGGGTGTTTGTTAAGTGTTGTTTTGTGGGGTGGGGTGGGATGTGGTGGGGGTTAGTGATGGGGGGTGTGGGTGGGGGGGTGGATATTTTGGGGTGGGTGGGTGGTGGTGTGATGGGGGGTGGGGGGGGGGGGGGGTGGGTGTGGGGTTGTATGGGGGAAGTTTGTAGATGTGGAGTGTGTGGAGGTTGTAATTGAGATTGGTTGTGGGTTTTGTGATTTGTTGTGTGGTGGAGGGGTTGAGAGGGTGGGTGGGTTGTGGTGGGATGGGGGGTGTGGGGGTTGGATGGTAAGTAGGTTTGGTAAATATTTGGATTTTGGTGGGGATGGGATGGGGAATGGTTTGTGGGTTTTGTTTGGGGGTGGGTTGGTTAAAGTGGGATTGGGTGTGTAGGGGGGTTGGGGTGTATGTATGGAGGGGGGGGGGGGGGGTGGGGATGTATATAAGTTTAGTGTAGGTTTTTGTGTGGGGATTTAGGTTGTGGGTTGGGGGGTTAGGGATGTTGGGGGATGGGGTAGTTGGGTATTATATGGGTGTTTGTGGTGATGAGGATTTGTTGGTTGGTGGTTTGGTGGGTGAGGGATATGGGGGGGGTAGGGGGGAATGATAGTAGGGGGGTTGGGGTATGTGTTTGAAGTGGGTGGTGGGGGGTTTGAAGGGGGTGGGGGGGGGTGGGGGTTTGTGTGTGGTTTGGGGGGGGGGGGTTTTGTGATGGGGGGTTGGATTTGGATAGTGGGGAAGTTTGGTGTAGGTTGGTGGGGGATGGTTTTAGTGTTTTGGTTGGTGGGTTGTGTGGGTGGGGTTGGGGGGTGGGTTGGGTGGGGGGTGGGGGGGGGGGGTTGTGATTAGGGGGGTAGTGGTGTGTGGTGGTGGGGTTGGGGTATTTTGTGGGTGGGGGTATGAGGGGGATGGAGGTGGTAGTAATGAGATGTGGGGTGGGGGTAAGTTGTGGTGTTTGGTGGGTTGGTTTGTTTGTGTGTGGGTTGTGGGGGGGTTGTTTGTTTGGTTGGGGTGTGTTTTTAGTTTGTGTGGTGGGAGGGGTGGATTGTGTGTGAGGGGGTGGGTTGGGTGTGGGGGTGGGGGTGTGGGAGGAGGGGGAAGGGGGGGTGGTGTTGGGTGGGTATGTTGGGGGGGTGGTGGAAGTATGGAGGAGGGGGGGGGTGGTGGGATATGGAGGATTGGGGGGTGGGTGGGGGAGTATGGGAGGATGGGTGGTGGTGGTGGGAGATGGAGGATGGGTGGTGGGGGTGGGAGTATGGGAGGTTGGTGGGTGGGTGGGTGGAGTATGGGAGGATTGGGTGGTGGGTGGGGGGAGGGGAAGTATGGAGAGGGTGGGTGTGGTGGAATATGGGAGATGGTGGTGGGGGGTGGAATAGGGGAAGGGGTAAGTTGGTTAGGTGTTAGTTGGAGGGGGTTGGGGGGGATTGGGTTATATTAAGGGATTATGTGTGTGTAGGTTTTTGGTGAGGTTTGTGTTAGGGGGGGTGTGGGGGGGGGGAGTGGTTTGTGGGTTGGGTTTTGAGTGTAGGGGTGGGTGGGTATGGTTGTGGGGGGTGTGGGTGTGGGGGGGGGGGGGTGGGTGGGGGGGGTGTTGGTTGATGGTGGGGTGGGGTTTGGGTGTGGGTATGGGGTGGGTGGTGGGGTTGGGGTAGGGGGGTGGTTTTGTTTGGAGGTGGTTTGGGTGTTGTTTTGTTTGTTGTGGTTATGTTATTTTGGGGTGGGGGGGGGTGGTTGGGGGGGGGTTTGTTGGGGGTGGGGGGGGGGGTGGGGGGGGTGGGAATGGGGGGGGGGGGTGGTGTGGGGTGGTTGGGGTGTGTGGTTGGGGTGGTGGGGGGGGGTGGGGGTGTGGTTTTTGGTATGGGTTGGTTGTTGTGGGTGGGTGTGTTGTTGTTGGGGTGGTGGGTGAGGGGGGGGGTGTGGTATTATGTGTGGGTGGGGGTGTTTGTGTGGGGGGTTGGTGTGTAGGGGTGGGGGGTGAGGTTTGGTGGTGGGTTGTGGGGTTGGTTTGGGGGTTGGGTGGTGTTGTGGGGGTGGGGGGGGTGGGTGGGGGTTGGGGGTTGGGGTGGGGTGTGGTGGTTGTGGGGGGGTGGGGTTTTGGGGGGGGGGTGTTGTGGGGGTGTGTGGGGGTTGGTTTGGTGTGGGGGTGGTTGGGTGGGGGGGGGGGGGAGGGGGGTGTTTGGTTGTGGGAAGGTGGATGGAGTTTGTGGGTAGGTGGGTTTATGTGTTTGTTTTGGGTTGGGTGATATGAGGGGGATATGATTGTGTGGTTGGGTTGTAGGATAGGGTGTGGTAGGGGGTATGGTTGGTTGGTTGATATGATGGGTAGGAGGGTGGGGGGGGGGGGGTTATGGGGGTGGGAGATGTGGGAATTTGGGGGGTGTTTTGGTTTTGGGGTGTGGGGGATTGTTTTGGTGGGTAGTTTTTTGGGGTTGGGGGAGAAAGGGGAGGGAGGAGAGGGGATGTGATTCTCTCTTGAATTTGGTTGGATTTTTGGGTGGGGTTTGGATGGGAATTTTATTGGATTGGGGGGGTGGTTGGGAGTTTGTGGTAGGGGGTTATTATTTTGAGATTAGTAATGGTGAAAAAGGAAAATGTGGGGGAGATTGAATGGGGAGTGTGGAAGGGGGATTTAGATTGGGATGGATATAAGGGGAGGAATAGAGGATGTGGGTTGAGGTTGAGGGTAAGGTGGAGATAGGTTATGGGGGGGGGGAGGGGTTTTTGTGATGATTTGATGGGGGATTTGTGATGGGTTGGGATGAGAGAGGGATAAGGGGTGGTTAGGGGGTGATAGGGGTGGAGGGGGTGGGGGGGTGGGGATGGGGGGTTGTGTGAGGGGGGGTAGGGGGGGGATGGGGGATATTGGTATAGGTGAAATAGGGGGGTAATAGTGTATATTAGTTATATTAGTTATTGATGTTTGGGGTATTGTTTGGGAGTGGGTTGGTGGGTGTGGAGAAGATATGGTAGTAGGTGAGGGTTAAATGGGGTGTGTAGGTTGGGTAGGAGGGAAGATTATGTGGGGGGTTGTATGGAGAGTGTGAATTTAGGGGGGGGTTGGAGAGGGGGATGGTTGAGTGGGGGGTTTGGTGAGTGGTGGGGTAGTGTGGGTGTTGTTATAATGTTAGTTAGGGTGGAGATGGTGTGATTGAGGGGTTTGGTAGGGGAATGTGGGTGTTTGTATGTTTGTTTGGGTTGGGTTGGGTTGTGGGTGTTGTGTTTGGTGGTTTTTTTGTTGTGGTTTTGTGATGTTGGTGATGTAGTGTGTTGTGGGTTGAGGGGGGGAGGGGGTGTTGGGGTGGTTTGTTGGGTGTTTTGTTGTTGGTTTTGGTGTGTTGTGGTGGTGGTTGGTGGTGTTGTTTTGTTGTTGTTGTGATTGTTTTTTGGTTGTTGTTTTTTGTAGTGTTTTGTGTGTGTGTTTGGGTGGGGTGTTTTTATTGTTGTGTTGGTGTGTTGTGTGTTGTGTGGGGTTTTGGTTGTTGTTGTGTTGGTGTTGTGTGTGTTATTGGTTGTGTGGGGGGGGTTGGTGGGGTGTGTTTGGTGTGGTGTGTGTGTTGGGGGTTTGTGGTGTGGTTGTGTGGTGTGTTTTTGTGTGTGGTTTGTGGGGTTGGTGGGGGTGTTGGGGGGGTGGTGGGGGTGGTGGGTGGTGGTGGTGTGGGTGGGGGGGGGTGGTTGTTTTGGTGGGTTTTGTGGTGGGGGGGTGTGTTGGTTGGTGGTGTGGGGTGTTGTGTTGGTGGGGGGTGGTGTGGGGGGTTGTGTGGTTTGTGGGGGGTGGGGGTGGGGGTGGGTGGTTTGGTGGGGGGGTGGTTGGTGGGTTGGTGGGGGTGTTGGGTGGGTGGGGTGTTGGGGGGGGTGGGTGGGGGGTGTGGTTTGTGTTTGGTGGTGGGTTTTGTTTTTGTTTGTGTTTTGTTTTTGTTTTTTTTGTGTGTTGTGTTGGTGGTGGGGAGGGTTGTGTTGTTGACGTTGTGGGTTGTTGGGTGTGGTTGGTTTTGGTGTGTGGTGGGGGGTGGTGGGGGTGTGGGGTTGGGGTGGTTTGTTGTTGGTGGGGGGGGGGGGGTGGGGGGTGGGGTGGGTGGTGGGTGGGGTGTTGTGTTGGGGTGGGGGTGGTTGGGGGGTGGTGGTTGTGGGGGTGTGTGGTGGGGGGGGGTGTGGGTGGGTGGTTGGGGGGTGTGTGTGTGTGGTGGTGGTGGGGTGGGGGGGGGTGGGGTTGTGGTGGGGTGGGTGGGGGGGGGGGTGGTGGGGTGGGGGGGGGGGTGGTGTGGGGGGGGGGGGTGGGGGTTGTGGTTTTGGGGGGGTGGGGGGGGGGGGGGGTGGGGGGGGTGTGGTGTGTGTGGTGTGGGGTTGGGGGGGGTTTGGGGGGTGGGGTTTTGGGTTGGGGTGTTTGGTGGGGGGTGGTTGGTGGTGTGGTGGGGGGTGGTTGGGTTTGTTTTTGTGGTGGTGTTGTGTGGGGGGTTGTGTTTTTGTGGTTGGTGGTGGGTGGGGGGGTTGGTGTGTTGGTTGGTGGGGGGTTGTGTGGGTGTGGTGGGTTGGGGTGGGGGGGTGTGGTGGGGGGGTGGGTGGTGGTTGGGTTGTGGGGGGTTTTGTGTGTGTGGTGTGTTGTGGGGGGTGTGGGGGTTGGGGGGGGGGTGGGGGGTTGGGGGGGGGGGGTGGGTGGGGGGGGGTGGTGGGGTGATGGTGGTGGGGTGGGAGTGGTTAGTGGTGTGTGGTTGGGGGGTGTGTGGTGGTGGGGGTGTGGTGTGGGGTTTGGTTGGGTGTTTGGGGTGTGGGGGGTTAGGGGGGGGGGTGTGGTGTGTGGGGGAGTGGGGGGTGTGGGTGTGGGGGGTGTGGGGGTGTGTGTTTGTGGTGTTTGGTTGGGTTTGTTGGGTTTTGGGTGTGGGGGGTGGTGGGTGTGTGTTGGTTTGTTTTTTGGTTTGGTTGGTGGGGGTGGGTTGTTGTTGTTTGGGGGTGGGGGTGTGTGGTTTTGGTGTTGGTTGGTGAAGAGGTTGGGGTGGTTTTGTGGTGTGTTGGGGTTGTGGTTGGGTTGGGTTTGGTGGGGTGGGTTGTGTGGGGGGTGGGTGGTTGGGTTGGGGTGGGTGGTGTGGGTGGTGGGTTGGTGTGGGTGGTTGTTTGGAGTTGTTGGTTTTGTGGGGTGGGTTTTATTGGGGGGGGGTGGGTTGTGTTGTTGTGAGAAGAGGATTGGGGTGTTGGGGAGTTGTGGGTTGTGTTGGTGTTTGTTATTTTGGTGGGGGGGGGGGGGAGTTGGGGGTGTGGGTTTTGTGTGGGGGGTGGGGTGGGGGGTTTTTGTGGGTGTTTGTGTTGTTTGTTTGGTGGGTATTGTGGTGGGGAGGGGGTTGGGGTGGGGTGGGGTTGGGGTTGAGGTGGGGTGTGGTGGTGGGGGTGGGGGTGAGGGGTGGGGGTGGGGTTAGGGGTGGGGGGGGGGTGGATGTGTGGGGGGGGTGGGGTGGGGGGTGTGGGGGGGGTTTGGGGGGGGGGGGGGGGGGGTGGGGAGGGGGTTTTTGTTGTGGTTGGGGGGTGTGTTGTTGTGTGGTGGGTGTGGTGTTGGGGGTGGGGGGGGATGTGGGTTGGGTGGGTTGTGGGGTGGGGGGGGTGGTTGGTGTGGTGGGGGTGTGGGGTTTGTTGGGTGGGGGTGGGGTGTGGGTGTGTGGGGGGATTGGTGTGTGGGGTGTGTTGGTGTTGATTTTGTAGGGGGGGGGGGTGGGGGTGTGGGTGGTGGGGGGGGTTGGTGGGGTGGTGGAAGGGGTTGTGGTTGGTTTTTTATTGGGGGTGGTGTTGGGATTGTTGGGAGTGAATGGGGGGGGGGTGTGGGTGGGGAGTGGGGAGGTGGTTGGGGGGGGTGTGTGGGGGGAGTGAGGTTAGGTGGGGGGGTGGTTAGGAGTGGGTTAGGTGTAGGTTGGTGTGGGTGGGGGGTGGGGGGGGGTGGGGGTGGGGTTGGGTTGGGGGTGTTGTGGGGGGGTGAAGGGTTTGGGGTTGATTTGGTAAGTGTATAGGTTTGGTGGGTGGTTGGGTGTGGTATGGGTGGATTAGGAGGAGGGTAGTTTGGGGGGGTAGGGTTAATATGAATGAGAGGGGGTTGTGGTTGGTTGTGAGTGGGTATGTTGGGTTAATACAGTATGGTAAGGAGTAGGTGTGGTTGGTTTTTATAGAATTTAAAAGAAGTGGGTTAGGGTGGGGAGTTAGGTGGATGAAGGTTTTAGTGTATGTGGGGGTTGGATATGGTGAGGGTTGTGTTGGGGAGGGATATTTAAGGTTTTGGATTAGGAGGAGAGAGTGGAAGGATTGGAATAAGGGAGGGGTATGGGAGTGGGATATTGTGAAGTGGGGTGGGAGTTATATGTTGTGTGGGGGTTAGTGGGAAGGTAAGAGATAATGTGTGAGTAGGTTTTGGAGTAAGAAGGGGTGTGGAATTTAGGAAGGTTAGAAGTTTGTTTGGTATTGTAGGGGTGTTGTATGGTTTATGAGTATTTGGTGGTTGGGTAGGGGGATTGTTTATATTAATTGGGAATTATAAGTAATGATTATAGGGAGGGGGGGATGGGGGGGGGGGAGTTTTGGGAGATGAGTAGGGTGGAGAGAATATTTGGAGTTTGGGTGATGTGTGAATAGGGAGGGGTGGGTTTTAGGTGGGGTGGGGTTGTTAGGGTGTTGGGAGGATGAGGATTTTTTTAGATGTATTAGGTAGGGGTGGATGAAGGTGGAATTTGATTAATTTTTGGGAAAATAGGGGTAGAGGAATGGGTGGGATGATTGTCTTAGATTTGTTTTATGATGGGTGGTTGGGGGGTTGTGAGTGTTGGAGAGGGAGGGGAAATGAGGAAGATAGAAAGAAAGTAAGGGAGGGTGGTAGATGATAAGAAAAGTTGGTAGGGAATTAATGGATTTGTATGTTTGTGTGTTGTTTTTTGGTTGTGGATGTTTGGTTTGTTTGTTTTGGGTAGTATATTTTGTTATGTTTGTTTGTTGGTTTTTGGGTTTGGTATATGTTGTTTGTTTGGGTTGTATGGGTTTTGTATGTTTGTTTGGTTGGTTGGGTTGGGTGTTGTATGTTTGTTTGTTGTGTTTGGGTGTTGTTGTTTGTTTGTTTGTTTGTTGTGTTTGTATGTTGGTTTGTTGGTTGTTTGGGGTGTTTGTATGTTTGTTTGTGTGGATATTGTTTGGGGTGTTTGTTTTGTTTTTTGGTGGGTGTGTGGTGTTTGTTATGTGTGGTTGGTGTGGGTGGGTGGGTTTGGGTGTGGGTAGGTGTTGGGGGTGGGGTGGGGGGGGGTTGTTGGTGTGGGGGGGTGGTTGTGTGGAAGGGGGGTGGGTGGGTGGGGTGGTGGGTGTGGGTGATTTGGGGGGTAAGAGGTAGATGTGGTATGTGGGTGTTTGTTGTGGGGTAATTGAATGATGTGGGTTGGTGATTTTTTGTTGTGTTGAGTATTGAGGTGTGGGTTTTTTGTTGTGATGTGGTGGTTGTTAGGGGAATGGTAGTGGTTTGGTTAATTGGGGGGAGGTTATGGGGATGTTGGGGGGAATTATGTGGTTAAGGATTGGGTGGGGTGGATTTGATTATGAGGGGATTTGGTTTTTTGTGTGGGTATTGATTTTTAGGGGGGTGTGGAGAATTTGGGATGTAGTTTAGTTTTTTGTGATTTTGGTTAGTGGTTGGGGGGGGGTTTAGGGTTTGAAAAGTGGTATAATTTGGGTTTAAAAGAATAGTTTTGTTGTGAGAGAGATTATTATTTTTAGGGTGGTTTTTGTTTTGTGGAGGAGGAGGGGGGGATAGGGTGATGGATAGTAGGTGGTTATGGGTATTTTTAGGATTTTGGTGGTTGGGGGGGGATAGAGGGGATTGGGTGGGATGGTGTTGTATTTTTTTTTGAGGGTGTTTTGTGATGGGGTTTGGGATTTAGGAGGTGGGGGAAGGTATATTAGGTTGGGGTTTGTGGAAGGTTTTATTGTTTTTGTAAGGAGGGAATTGGAAGGGGTATGGGTATGGTGTTGGAGGTAATGGGTTGTTGTAGGGGTGGGGATAGTTTATGTGGGGAAGATGTATGGAAGAGGAGGAGGGGATGTGATGTGTGAGGTGGGGGGGTGGATATAGATGGGTGATAGGAGTAGTAGAGGTAAAGAGATTGTTAAGTTTGTGTAGTTTGTGTGGTTTGTTTGTTTGTGTGTTTTGTAGTTGTGTGGTTTTTGTATGGATGGGGGGGGTATTGTTTTTAGTTTTGTGGGTATGGGTGGGAGTTTTGTAGAGTTGATTTGTTTGTGTAAGGGTGGGTGGGGTGGGTGTTGTGAGTATGGGGGGAAGGTGGGTGGGTGAAGGGTGGGATGTGTGGTGGGTGGTGGAGTATGGGAGGATGGGTGGGTGGGTTGGGAGTATGGGAGGATGGGTGGGTGGGTTGGTGGGATTATGGAGGATGGTGGGTGGTGGTGGGAGTATGGGAGGATGGGGGGTGGGTGTGGGAGTATGGGAGGATGGGTGTGGTGGGGGTGGGTGGAGTATGGAGGATGGGTGGTGGTGGGTGGGAGGGGAAGTATGGGAGGATTGGTGGGTGGGTGGGGTGTGATATGGGAGGATGGTTGGGTGGGTGGGTGGGAAGGGGGAGGGGAGTTGGTGGAGAGGGAGGTGAGATGATTAGATGTGGGTGGAATGTTGGGATAATGGATACATGTATGTTGAATTAGTGTAGTGATTTGGTTAGTTAGATATGGGGGTGTGTGGGGGTGGGGTGGAAGGATTGAGGTTGATGTATGAGAGGAGGTAAGGGGAGGGTGGGGGAATTAGGGAGTGTTTATGGTTGGAGGGGGGGGGGTGGGGGATGTGTGTTGTTGGTGTGGAGAAGGGTTTAGTTTTGGTATGGGGTTATGTTTTGTTAGGATGTTAGGAGTTTGAAGGGATGGGGGGGGGATGAGATTTAAGAGTGATTTGAGAATGGGAGCAGATGAAGATATATAGTGGTAAAATTGTATAAATGGTGGGTGGGGGTTGGGGAAGGGGGGGTTGGGATAGAGGTATGGTGTTGGGGGTTGGGGATGGGTGGAGATGTTAGAGTAGGGGGAATAGGGTGAGTAATGGGGGGATAGTAGGGGGGGTAATTTGATTATTGGTGGGTGTGTGGGGATTGTATTGAAAGGAGGTGATAAATATAAGATGGGAGGTAGATAGTGAGGAGGGGGGGAGAATATTGTTTTTGTGGGTGAGGGTAAAAAGAGTATGGGGTTTTTTGGGGAGGGAAGAAGTGGTGAGGTTGAGAGTATGGATTGGGGGGGGGAATAAATTAGGTGTGGGGATGTGTGGGGGGAAGTAAGTGGTGAAGGGGGGATGGAGGAAGATGGGTATTTGTTGGGTATGTTGGAGGGGGGAGAGGGGGGGTATGGTTTGTGTGGAGAGTTGGGGGAAAGGAGGGGGTTTGGTGGGATATGTTGTGTGGTTTGGGTTGTGAAGATTTTGTTTAGGGTGGGGTATGAATTTTATAGGTGTTGATTGGGGTGGTTTGGGTTGTTTATTGGTTGTATGTTGGGTATGGTTGATGAGTTTGTGGGGTTATGTGGGTTTATGGATTGGGGGGGGTTGGGGGTGGTGGGGTGGTGGAGTTGTTTAGTGGGTGTGTGGGTGGAAGAGGGGGTGAATGTTAAGATTGGGATTGGGTTGTGAGATGAGTGAGTGGTAGGGTGTGGTTGGGGTATGGGGATGATATGAATGGGTATAGTGGTTGTGGGGGGTTTAGGGTTGTGGGAGAATGTGGGAATATGGGGGTGTATTTGTGGTATGGGGGTTTGGGGATAGGGTTAAGTTGGGTAAGTTTTAGTGTGGGGTTGGGGGGAAAGGGGGAGGGAGGAGAGGGGATGTGATTATTTGATTTGTGGGATTTGTTGGGTGGGTTGATGGGAATTTTGTTGATTTGGGTGGGTTGGGGAGTGTGTGTAGTTATTATTGTGTATTGAGTAATGTGAAAAGGGAAATTTGTGGAGTATGGAATTGTGAGTTGTGAAATGTAGATGTGGGATGATTAAAGGGGATGGAAAAAGTTGGTTGATGAGGGTAAAGGGTGGGAGGATAAGGGTTTATGGGGGAGGGTTGTTTTGTGGATTGATTATGGGGATTTGTGATGGTTGATGGGGGAGGAGAGGATTAGGGGTTGGGAGGTTTTAGGGGGGGGTTGGGGGGGGGGGAGGGGGGTGGAGTGGGGTGGGGGATAGGGGTGGGTGGGGATGATTTGGTGTGAGGTGAAAGTTGGGGGGTTTAAAGTGTTTTTTGTGGTATTTAGTTAGTGTAGGGGTGGGGTGGGTGGGGAGTTTTTTGATTTGGTGGGGTGTAGTTAAGGTGTTTGGTGTGGTTTAAGAGGGGGATGTGATTTTTGAGGGTAGGAGAGTAAATTGGTTGGGGTGTGTTATTGAGAGTGGTGAATTTAGGGGGGTTGAGAGGGAGATGGATATAGGGGTGGTGTGGGTAGGTTGGGGGTTTGGTGGGGGGTTTGTTTGATAGTAGGGAGGTTATGGGTTATTGGTTGTGTGTGGAAATTGGAATGGTTGTTGATTGTATTGTGGTGTTGGGTAGTTGGTTTTAGAGATTTAGGTGTATGGATTTGTGTGGTTATGTTGTGTTATTTTTGTTGTGTGGGGGTTGGGTTGTAGGGGTTGTGGGGTGGTGGTTGTGGTGGTTGTTTGTTGTTTGGGGGGTTTTGGGTTTTGTTGTGGTGGGTGGGTTGTGGTGATGTTTTTTGTTGTGGGTTATAGTGGGTTTGGGGGGGGGGGGGGGGGGGGGGGGGGGTAAGTATTTGATTAGGTGATTGTTTTGGGTGTGTTTGGGTTTGGGTGTGTGTGTTTATGTGTGTTTGTTTTGGGGTTGTTTGTGTGTTTGTGGTGGGTTTGGGGTAGTTGTTTTTGGTGTGTGGTTGAGTGGTGTTTTGTTGTGTGGGGGGGGGTGGTTGTGGTTGGTTTGGGTGTGTGGTGTGTTGGGGTTGTTTGGTTTTTTTTAGTGGTGGTTTTGTTGTGGGTGGTTGTTTGGGATGGGGGTTGTTGGGGGGTGTGGGGTGGGGTGTGGGGTGGTGTGGTGGGGGTGTGTGTGGTGGGTGGGGGGTGTTTTGTTGGTTGGTTGTTGGTGGGGGGGGTGTGGGTTGGTTGGTGGGGGGTGGGGGTGGTTTGGTGTGGGGGTTTGTGGGGGGGGTTTTGTGGTTTTGGGGGGTGGTGGGGGGGGGGTGGTTTGGGTGGGTGGTGTTTGGTTTTGGTGGGTGTTAGGTGGGGGTGGTGTTGGTGGTGGTTGTGGTGGGGGTGTTGGTTTGTGGTGGGGGTGGTGTTTTTGTGTTTAGTTGTGTGTTTTTTTTGTTGGTGTGTTTGGTTGGGGTGGTGGGGGGTGTGTGTTTGGTTGTTTGGGTTGGTGGGGTTGGTGTGGTGTTTGGTGGTGTGTGGTTGGTTTTTTTGGGGGGAGTGGGGGGTTGGGGGGGGTGGGGGGGGTGTTGTTGGTGGGGGGGGGGGGGGGGTGGGGGGTAGGGGTGGGTGGTGTGGGGGTGTTGTTGTTTTGGTGGGGGTGGGTTTGGGGGGTGTGTGTTTTGGGTGGAGGATGGTGGGGGGGGGTGTGGTGGTTGGTGGTTGAGGGTTGTGTTGTAATGGTGGTTGTTTTGGGGGGGGGGGGGGGTTGGGGTGGTGGGGGTGGGTGGGGGGGGGTGTGGGTGGGGGGGGGGGGGGGTGGTGGGTGGGGGGGGTGGGTGGGGGTTGTGGGAGGTGCAGGGGGGGTGGGGGGGGGGGGGGGGGGGGTGGGGGGGGTGGGTGGGTGTGTTTGGTTGGGGGGGGGGTTAGGGGTGGGGGTTATTGGGGGTGGGGTGTTGTGGGTGGGGGTGGAGTGGGTGGGGGGGTGGGTGTTGGTTGGTGTTGGTGGGGGGTGTTGGGTGTGTTTGTGTGTTGAGGGGTGGGGGGGGTGGGGTTGTGTTGGGGTGTTGTGTTTTATTTGTTGGTTGTTGGTAGGGGGTCTGTTTGTGTGGTTGTGTGGGGGGTTTGTTTGGTTGTGGGGGATGTGTGGTTTTGGGGGATGTGGTTTTGGGGGGGGGTGAGGGGGGTAGTGTTGTGGGGTGTTTGAGGTGTGTGGTGTGTGGGTGTTGAGGGGGTGGTGGGGTTTGGGGGGTGGGGGATTGGGGGGGTGGTTTGTATGGGTTGGGGTAGTGGAGGGAGGTGGTGGAGTGGGGATGAGGGTTGAAAATGGAGTTAGTAAGGGGTTTGGGATATTAAGTTGTGGTGGTAGTGGTTGTAGGGTTTGGTGAATAGGGGTTGTTTTGGTTTGGGGTGGATTGGTGTGTGGGGTGTTGGGGGGTTGGGGTTGTTGTGGGGTTGTGTTTGAATGGGTGTTTTAGGGGGTGAATGTATGTAATATGAAGGTAGAAGTGTTATATGTTGGTTAGGAAGGTGAGATAGGATAGTAATTTTGGGGGGAAGAGTTGTGTAGGGTAATGAGTGAGGGGGGAGGGGGAGGAAGGTGTGAGGGTTAAGTAGTTATGGGATGAGGGGTGTGATGGGTATAGGGTGGTTAAGAGAGGGATAGTTAGAGGATTGGGGTAGGGGGGTAGTGGGGGTTGGTTGGTGGATAGTGGTGTGGGGAGATTGGGAATGGAGAGTAAGGGATAGGGGGTGGTGGGAGGTGGGGGGGTATGTATATTTGAATTTGGATGGGGAGAAGATTGTTTAAGAGTGAGGTTATAAGGTGGTGTATTGATAGAGGTAGAGTAAAAGATAGTATGGATTTTGTGGAGGGAGGAGATGTTGAGTAGTTGGGTGGAAGTTTATATAGGATTTGTGGGTGTAGTTTGGGGGAGATGTGATTGTAAGGGGGTGTTATGTTGGAGGAGGGTTGAGGATTGGGGAAGGGAAGAATTTAAGTAGAATGGGTGGGAGTAGTTGGGGGGGAGGGGTAATTGGGAGGGTGAGTAGGATGGAAGAGTAGGGGGGGAATGAGTGAGTTGTGGGATGGAGAGTTGATGGGAGGGGGTTTAATAGTTGGTTTTTTGTGTTATAGATTTGTGGTTTTGGTTTTTTAGGTAGTGTTTTAAAGTTTAGGGGGGGTTTTGGGTAGTTTTGATATTATAAAGATGTAGGAGTGTAGGGGGTATAATTAAGGTGGAAGAGGTGGATTTTATATTAAGGGGGTTGGGTTAAGATGGATGTGGATTGGAAGAGGTTGGGATTGTTTATGTTATTGAGTGGGATGTGGGGTGAGATGGGGGGGATTGAGGGTATGGGGTTGGTATTGGATAGATGGGGGGAATTTTGAGGGGATGGAATTTTGAATAATAAGAAGTGGGGGGTTGTGGGTTTGTTTGGAGGGTTGGGATGGGATGGGGATAGGAAGTTGTTTGTATGTTATATTGGAATTTGGTTTTATGAAGGGATGGGATGGAGGGGATGAATATGTGTTTTGGGATGGGAGGTGTTTATGGGGTTATGTTTAGTGGGTTGGGGTTTATTTTGGTAGATTGGGTATGGATGTGTTTATAGGATTGGTTATGTGTATGTTTAGTTGTGTGTATTGTTTGGTTTGGATGGGTGAGTTTGTTGATGTAATGTGTGTTAAGTGGGGGTGGGTGTGAGGGGGTTTGTGGGATATGTGGGTAAGGTTGTATAGGTTTTGTGTTGGTGGTTGGGGGTGGTGATGGGTTGATTAGGAGAGGTAGTTTGGGGGAGGTATATGAATGAAGGGGGGTGTGTGGTAGGGTTGTGAGTGGGTATGTGGTTAATAGTATGGTTAAGGAAGTGAGTGTGGTTGGTTTATGAGAATTTAAAAAAGGTGGGTTAGGTGATATTGATAATGTTTTAGTGTAGGTGGGTGGAAATGGTGTGTTTTGTGTTGGGGGGGAATAGTTAGGTTTGGGATTAGAGGATAAAGTTGAAGTGATGTAATAAGGGAGGGTATGATATATTTGAATGTGGGGGTGGGAGGTGTATTATGTGTGTGGGGTGTTAGGTGGGAAGAAGGATATAATGGTGTGAGTAGAGGTATTGAGAGAAAGAAGGGGTGTGGGTAATTTATGAGGGGTTTAAGAGAGTTTGTTTGGTATGTGAGGGTTTTGTTATGGTTTATAGTATTTGGTTGTTGGGTATGGGTTTGTTTATATTGAATTGGGAAGTTTAAGAATGATTAATGGGGTGGGATGTGGGGGAGTGTTTGGAAGTTTTGGAAGTAGGAGGAGAGGGATTATTTGGAATGTTTGGTGATTGTTGAATGAGGGAGTGGTTGGTTTTGGTGGGGGGGGGGGAGGTTTTGGATGGATGAGTTCGAGGTATATGTATATTTGATGTAGGTAGGGGGGATTAAGGGGGAATATGATATTTAGGAAATAGTGGGTAGGAGGATAGAGGTTGATGATAGTTTTAGAGGTAGTTTAGTATGTGGGTTGGGTGGTAGTGTTGGTGAGGAGGGGGAAGGATTAAGAAATAATTGATAGGGAGGGGTGGATTATAAGGAAAAAGTTGGTTGTAGATTATTATGTTTATGTTTGTTTGTTTGTTGTTTGGTGTGTATGTATGTGATTTGTTTGGTGTTTGGTGAGATAGTTGTATGTTTTGTTGTTTGTTGTTGGTTGTGTATGTTTGTTTGTTTGTTTTGTGTTTGTAAAGTTTGTTTGTTTGGTTTTTGGGGTTTGTATGTTTGTTTGTTTGTTAGTTTGGGGGTTTGTTTTTTGTTTGTTTGTTTTTTGTTTTGTATGTTGTTGTTTGTTGTTTGGTGTTTTGTATGTTTGTTTGTGTGATGTTGGGTGTTTGTTTGTTTGGTTTTTTGGGTTGTGGTGTTTGTTAAGTTTGTTTGGTGTGGGTGGGTGGGGATGTGGTGTGGGTATGTGATTGGGTTTGTGGGTGGGGGGTGGGGAATTTTGGTTGGGTGGGTGGTTGTTGTGGAAGGGTGGGTGGTGGGTGGTGGTGGGTGTAGGGGATGGGGGGGGAAGAATGTAGGATGTGGGTATGGTGGTGTATGATGTTTGTAGGGGATTGAATTGATGGGGTTTGTGAGTTTTGTTGTTGTTGGAGGTATAGAGGGGTTTGGGTTTTTGTTTTGATGAGGTGGTTTGGGAGTGAATGGTAGTAGGGGTTTTGGTTGGTAATTTGGGATTGTTGGAGTGGGGGATGAGGGGGAAAAGGGTAATTGTTAGGATTGGGGTGGGTGGATTTGATGAAAAGGGGATATGGGTTTTTAGGTGTGGGTATGAATTAGGGGGGGGGTGTGAGAATATAGAGATTGTTTAGTTTTTGTGTGGTGATATTAAAGGTTAGTTGGGGTTGGGGGGGGGTTTATGGTATGAAGGTGGGAAGGTGATTTGGGTAAAAAATGTTTTGTTGGATAGAATTATTATTATTAGGTTGGTGTGTTGGTGGTGTTGTGAGGGGAGGGGAGGGGGGGGGAAGGGGGTGAAGGTTAGAGTAGGTGGTTATGGGGTATTTATTAGGAATTTGGGGGGGTTGGGGGGTGATGAAGGGGATTGGGGTGGGGATGGAGGGTGTTGTGATTTTTTTGGAGGGTGGGGTTTTGTATGGGGGTTTGGGGATTTAGAGGGGGTGGTTAGATTAGTTAGGGTTGGGTTTGTGGAATTTTTATGTGTATTGTAAGGAGGGAATTGGAGTATGGTATGGTGGTTGGGATGGATTGGGTTGTTTGTGGGTGGGGGGATAGTGTTATTGAAAGGTAGGAGAGGAGGAGGGAGGGAGTTGAGGAGGGGGAAAAGATGGGTGAGAAGTAGTAGAGGTAAAGAGATGTGTGGTAATTTTTGGTAGTTTGTGTTTTGTTTGTTGTTTGTTTGTTGTATTTGTGTGGTGGTTTGTATGGATGGGGGGGGGTAGTGTTTTTAGTTGTGGGTATGGGGGTGTGGGAGTTTTGTGTAGAGTTTGATTGTTTGTTAGGGTGGGTGGTGGGTGATTGTGAGTATGGGGGAAGGTGGGTGGGTGAAATGGGTGGGATGTGTAGGGTGGGTGTTGGGAGTATGTAGATGGTGGGTGGGTGGTGGGATATGGGAGGATGGGTTGGTTGGTGGGTGGGAGTATGGGAGGATGGGTGGGTGGTGGTGGGAGTATGGGAGGAGGGTGGGGTGGGTGGTGGGAGTAATGGGAGGATGGGTGGGTGGTGGGGTGGAGTATGGGAGGATGGGTGGGTGGAGTGGGTGGGAGGGGGGAGAGTAGGGAGGATGGTGGGTGGGTGGGTGGGAGTATGGAGGATGGGTGGGTGGGTGGGTGGGAGGGGGGAAGGTGGGAGTGGAGAAGGGAGGGGGTGAGGATTGATTATGTGGGATGTGATGAATGGATTAAGTATTGATGATGTAGGTGATTTGGTTAGTAAGATGGGGGTGTGTGGGGTGGGTGTAGGATTGAGTTGAGGTATGAGAATAAGGGGGGAGGTGGGGTATTAAAGGTTTATGTTGAGGGGGGGGGGGGGGGGGTGGGATGATGTGTGTTGGGGTTGGGAGAAGGTTTATTTTGGTATGGGTTTAGGTTGTTTTGAGGGGAGGTGAGTTTTGAAGGATGGGGGATAATTAAGTGTGATGTGTGGAATTGGGTGAAATAAAGATATATAGGTAATTGTATAAAGGGGGGGGGTGGGGGGTTTGGGGAAGGGGGGGGTGGGATAGAAGGTATGGTGTTGGGGTGTGGGGGATGGTGGGATGTTAAGTATGGGGGATGGGTGGAGTGAATGGGGGAATAGGTAGGGGGGTAATGTGATTATTGGTGGTTTGGGGGGGATTGGTATTGAAAGAAGGAAAGAAATATAAGATGGAGTTATATATGTGAGTAGGGGGGGAGATTATTGTTTTTGTGGTGAGGGGAAAAATGAGATGGATTTTTAGGGGAAGAGGATTTGTATTTGAGGAGGTTGGATGGGGGATTAGAAATTAGGTGGGGATTTGGGAAGTTAATTGTGAAGGGATTGTGAAATGGTGAGTTGTTGGGTATGTTAGGGAAGGGGGTATGGTTTGTGTTAGAAGGTTGGGGAAGGGGAGGGGTGGTGATGATGTTTTGGTTTGGTGGTGTATTGTGGAGTGGGGTTTAGTTGATTGGGTGTGGGATTTGGGTGGTGTGGGGGGTTGTGTATGGTGGAAGGTTGGGGGATGGGGGGGTGGATGAGTTTGTGGTTATGGGTTATGGTGAGTGGTTTTGGGTGTGTGGTAAGAGGGGGGTAGGGGATGGTTTGGGATGGGGTGGGAGATGTGTGATGGGTAGGGTGGGGGTTGGTAGGGGGGGAGGGAGATGATGGGGTATTTGGGGTGGGGGGTTTTGGGTGGTGGAGATGTGTGGTTTGGGGGGTTAGGTGAGGGAAGATATGGGGGTGGGATTGGGGGGTGTTGTTGGTTGGGTTGGGGGGGGGTTGGGGGGGGTGTTTGGGGAGGAGGGTGTTGGGGTAATGGGATTTTGTGGGTGGGGGTGGATTTTGGGGGGTTGGTGGGGTATGGGGAGGGTTGTGGGGGGGTGGGGGTAGGTTTTGTGGTATGGGAGTTATGGTGAAATGGGGTATGGGTGATGATTGGGTGTGGGTTTGGTGTTGGGGGGGAATGTAGATTGGGGAGGGTGTTATTGTGGGGGGTGGTGGTTTGGGGGGTGGTTTGGGGGTGGGGGGGTGGGGTTTTTTGTTGGTAGTGGGTTTGGGGTTGGTGTGGTGTGTTGGTGGTTGGGGGGGGTGGGGGGTGGGTTGGGGTGGGGGGGGGGTGGGGGGGGGTGGGGGGGTGTGGGGGGGTGGGGGTTGTGGGGGTGTGGGTTTGTGGGGTTTGTAGGGTTGGTGTTTGTGGTGGTGGGGGGGTGGGGGGGGGTGTGGGTGGTTGGGGGGGGTGTTTGTTGTTGTGTTTTTTGTTGGGTTGGGGTGGAGGTGGGGTTGTTGTGTTGGTGGGGGGGGGTGGTGTGTGTTGGTGGGGGGGGGGGTTGTTGTGGGTGTTGGGGTGTGGGGGGTTGTGGGGGGGTGTGGTGGGGGTTTGTTTGTTTTTGGGTGTGTTGGTTTTTTGGTGGGGTGTTTGGGTTGGTTGGTTTTTTTGTTGGGTTGTGGGTTTGGTGTTGTTTGTGGTGTTTTTTTGTTGTGTTTGTTGTGTAGGGTGTGGTGTAGATGGTAGTGTTGTGGTGTGTGTTAGTTGTTGGGGTAGGAAGATGAGGTTGAGAATATTTTGGGGAATTTGGTTTGTTGAGGTGGTTGGGTAGGTGTTTTGATGGGGGAGTTTGAATGTTGTGTGAGGATATTTTGTTTTGAGTTTTGTGTTGTGTTTTGAGTGGTGGTTTGGGTTGTGGGTGTGTTTTTGTGTTGTTTGTTGGGGGTGTGTTGTGAGTGTTTGTGGATTTGGGTTTTGTTGATTTTTGTTGTGTGATTTATGAGAGTGGTGGGGGGTTGGTGGGGTTGTGTTTGGTGGTGATGGTGAGATTGTGGTTTGGTGTGGTTATGTAGTGTGTGTGAAAGAAGTGGTGGTTTATGTGGGTTGGGGTTAGGGGTGTGGGGGGTTGTTTTGTGGTGTTTGTGTTGGGTGATGTTTTGGGGTGGGTGGGTAGTATGTGTTGTTGTTGTGGGTGGGGGGTGATGGTTTGTTGGTAGGGGGTGGGGTGTTGTGGTGGTGGGGGTTGGGGTTGGGTTGTGTGGTTGTGTGGGGGTGGGTGGGGGGTGGTTGTTTGGGGTGGGGGTGGGTTTTTGGTTTGGTTGGTTTTGGTGGGAGGGTTTTGGGGGGTGGGTGGGTGGGGGGGTGTGGTTTTTGTGGTGGGGGGTGTGGGTTTATTGTTTTTGTTGGGGGGGGGGTGTGTTTTTTTGTTTTGTTGTGTTGTTGGTGGGTGGTGTGGGTGTTTTTTGTGGGGTGGGGTGGGTAGGGTGGTTGGTGTGGTGTTTGTGGTGTGTGGGGGTGTGGGGGGGTGTGGGGTTGGGGTGGGTGTTGTGGTGGGGGGGGGGGGTGGGGGGTGGGTGGTGGTGGGGGTTTTGTTGGGTGGGGTGGTTTGGGGGGGTGGGTGGTGTGGGGTGTTGTGGGGGGGGTGGTGGTGGTGGGTGTGGGGGTGGTTGTTGTGGTGTGGTGGGGGGGGGGGGGTGGGGGTGGAGGGTGTGGTGTTGGGGGGGGGGGTGTGGGTGGGGGGGGGGGGGGTGGTGGGTGGGGGGGGGTTGGGTTGGGTTGTTGGGGGGTGGGGGGGGGGGGGTAGGGGGGTGGTGGGTGTGTTGGTGTGTGTTGGGGGGGGGTTTGGGGGGTGGGTGTTGGGTGGGGGTGTGGTGGGTGGGGGGTGTTGTTTGGTGTGTTGGGGTGTGGGTGTGTTTGTGGGTGGTGGTGGTTGAGTGGGGGGGTGGTATTTTTTGTGGTGATGGTGGTTGTGTGGGGTTGGTGTGTGTGTTTGGGTGGGGGGGGTTGTGTGTGTTGGTGGTTGGTTGTGTGTGGGGGTGTGTGGGGGGGGGGTGGGTGTGGGTTGGGGGGAATTTGGGTGTGGATGTGTTGTGAGGGGGGTGTTGTTGTGGGGGGTGGGTGGGTGGTGGGTTGTGGGGGGGTGGGGTTGGGGGTGGGGAGGATGTGGGGGGTGTGGGTAGGTGGTTGGAGGGGGGATGGTGTGGGATATTGATGTGTGTGGTTGGGTGGGTTGATTTTGATGTGTGGTTTGTGTTGGTGTAGGGGTAGATGGTGGATGAGTGGGGGAAGAGGGGTGGTTGGTGGTGTTTGGGGTTGTTGTTGGGGGTGGGGGGTGGGGTGTGAGTGTGGTGTGTATGGGGGTATATGAGGGAGTATGGGTGTTTTGGATGGTATTTGTTAGTGGTGTTAGTGGTTAGATGAGTAGATGTTATTTAGGGGGGGGTGTATTAGGGGGTGTGTGGAGTTGGTTATGGAGGGAAAGGGGGTAGGGTGTGATTGTAATTTGTAGTTGAGGGATTAGGGGGAAGTAGAGAGGGGGGAAAGAGGGAAAAGGTTAGGGGAGGAAGGGGTTAGGGGAAGAATGGGAGGGGGAAGAGGGATGTTGGGGGGTGGGATGGGAAATGGTAGTGAAATGGATGGTGAGATGTGAGGGTAATTGTAGGATGGTATGAATAAAATTGTGAAAGGGTTGGAATGGGAGAAGGTGGAGTGAGAAGGGGGGTGTTATGTATGGGAGGTTTAAGAGTAATTGTTTATTGGGATATTTGAATACGATGGTTTGAGAAGTTGAGAATTATTAGAGTTAGGATTTTGTTGTAGGTGTGGGGGAAAGATGATTAGTAGAGGTGTAGTTGTAGGAGGAAGTTGAGATTGGGGATAGGGAGAGAGATTATAGTAGATTGGTATAGTGGGGGGGGGATGGGGGGTGAAGTGGGATGGGATAGGGATGGGTAAGAGGGGGTAGGGGGTAAGAGGGGATATGGGATGGAGGGTATGGGGAGTGGGATTTAATGGGTTGGTTTTTGTTTTATAGATTGTGTGTTTTTTAGTTATTGTTTTTAGAGAGTTGTTTTTTGGGGGGGGGGTTGTGGGGTAGTTTTTGGGGATATTGATAAGGGATGTAGAGGTAGGGTATATAAGAGGGTGAGAGGGGTATTTTAGATTAGGGGTTTGTTGGGTTAGATAGGGATTTTTGGAATGTGGAAAGTTGAGTTGTTTTGATGTTTATTGAGTGGGGGGGATGAGGGTTGTGAGATGGTAATGATGGGGGGTATTGGTGGATGAGATAGGAGGGGAATGTTGAGTAGGGTTTTGAATTATAAATGGGTAGGTGGGGGGGATGGGGGGTGTTGGAGGTGATGGGGGATGGGAGTAGGAAGTGTGTTTTATGGATATGTAATTTGGTTTGGAAAGGGAGTGTATGGAGATGAAATGGGGTTTGGAAGTGGGGGTGTTGTATGGGGTAGGAGTGTTTAGTTTGGGTTTTGGGGGGAGATAGGTTATATGGGTGTTTAGTGGGGATTGTTAGGTGTATGTTTTGTGTTGGTTGTGTTGTGGGGTTGGAGGTGAGTTTTTGATTTATGGTTTTAAGTGGGGTGGGTTGAAGGGTTTGGGGATAATGTGGTTAAGTTGTAGAGGTTTGTGGGTTGTGGTTTGGGGTTAGGGTGATTAGGTGGGAGGGAGGTAGTTTGGGGGTAGGGTAATATGAATGAGAGGGGTGTGTGGTGGGGTTGTGGGGGGGGATGATGGGTTAATAGTATGTTAAGAAGTGAGGTGTGGTTGGGTTTAAAATTTTAAAGAGGTGGTTAGGTGGGAGTTAGGGGATATGGTTTTTTAGGTGTAGGTGGGGATATGGTTGGGGGTTTGTGTTGGGGGGAAGGAAGATTTAAGGGTTGGGTATTAAGAGGAGAAGAAGTTGAAATTAATAAAGGGAGGGGTAGTGGGATAATATTGTGAATGGGGTGTGGAGGGGTAGTTTGTTGTGGGGGGTTAGTGGGAAGAAGATTTGAATTGAGGAGAGGGTATTGAGGAAAGAAGGGGGGGTGGAATTTATGAGGTTTAAGAAGTGTTGTTTGGGTATTGTGAGGGTGTTGTATGGGTTTAGAGTATTTGGTGTTGGGTATGGATTGTTTATATTGGAATTGGGAATTTTAAGTATGATTATGGGGAGGGGATGTGGGGTGGGAGGTTTTTGGGGGGGATGTGAGTAGGAGGATGGAATATTTTGGATTGTTGGGGTATTGTGGAATAGGGAGTGGTTGGTTTAGGTTGGGGTGGGTATGGTTTGAGGGATGAGTGAGTATATGTTTAGGTATTAGGTAGGGGGGAATTGATAGGAATATGATAATTTTGAAGAATGAGTGGTAGAGGAAAGGTTGATGATAGTTTTAGATGTAGTTTAGTATGTGGTTGGGGTGTAGTGTGTGGGGAGGAGGAGGGGGAAAGGAGTAAGAGGAAATAATTGAAGGAGGTGGGTAGATGTATAAGAAAAGTGGTAATGTAGATTATTAGTTTGTATGTTTTGTTTGTTTGGTTTTGGGGGTTTGGATGTATGTTTTGTTTGGTTGGTGGGGTAAGTAGATTGGATGTTTGTTTGTTTGTGGGTTGTTTGGGGTTTTGATGTTGTGTGTTTGGGTTTTTGGGTTTTGTATGTTTGTTGGTTTTGTTTGGGTGGGTATGTTTTGGTTGGGGGTTTTTTGGTTTTGTGGTTGTTTGTTGTTGTTTTTGGGTTTGTTTGTTTGTTTGTTATTTGTTTGGTTTTGTATTTTGTTTGTGTGGATTGTTTGGGTGTTTGTTGTTTGGTTTTTTGGGTGGGTGGTGGGGGTGTTTGTTTAGTTTTTTTTGTGTGGGGGGGGGTGGGATTGTGTGGGTGGGTGGTATTGGTTTGTGGGTGGGGGTGGAATTTTGTGGGTGGGTGGTGTGGGAAGGTTGGGTGGGGGGGTGGTGGGGGTGTAGGTGATGGGGGGGAGAATGTAGGGAGTGGGGTAGTGTGGATTTATGGTTGTAAGATTTGAAAGTGGGTTTGTAGTTTTTTTTTTGAGGTATTGAGGGGGTGTGTTTGTTGTTTGATGGTGGTGTGTTAGGAATGGGAGTAGGGTTTTTGGGTAATGATGATGTATTGGGATGAGGGGGGGAAATATTGTGGTTAAGGATTGGGTGGTGGATTGATAAAGAGTGGATAGGGGTTTTTAGGGGGTGGGGTTTTTGAATTTAGGGGGGGTGGGAGAATAAGGGGATTAGTTTAGGGTTTTTTGTGGTGATTATTAGTTAGTTGGGGTTGGGGGGGGTATTAGGGGTGGTAGGGGGGGGGAAGGAATTTGTATGAAATATTTTTGTTTGTGAGAGAGATTATTATGATTAGTGGTTGTTTTGGGTTGTGGTTGGGGAAGGAAGGGGGATAGGGGTGAAGGTTAATAGTAGGTGTTATGGGTATTTTTATGGAAGGTGGTGGTTGGGGTGATAAGGGGGATTGGGGTGTGGTTGTTGGGTTGTGTGTGTGGGTGGTTTTGGTGTGGGGGTTTGATTTTTGTGGGGTTAGTTTGGTTTTGGTGGTGTGTGGAATTGTTAGTGGGTGTAAGTGGAAGGGAGGGGGGTTGGTATGTGTGATGAATGGGTGGGGTAGGGTGGGGGATTGTGTGATTGAGAGTAGGAGAAAGAGGTGGGGTGTGTGTGTTTGAGAGGGTGTATTGAATGGGGTGGAAGGAGTAGGAGAGGTAAAGAGGATGTGTTAATTTTGGGGTAGTTTGTGTTTGGGTTGTTTGTTTGTTTTGTTTGTTTTTGGTTGTTGTTTGTTTGAGGGGGGTATTGTTTTTTGTTTGTGGGTATGGTGGGAGGGTTGGTTGAGTTTGATGGGTTTGTGTGGGGTGGGTGGGGTGAGGTAGTTTTGGGGAAGTGGGTGGGGTAATGGGTTGGATGTGTGGGTGGTGGTGGGAGTATGGGAGGGATGGTGGGGTGGGTGGTGGGAAGTATGGGAGGATGGTGGTGGGTGGGAGTAAATGGGAGGATGGGTGGGTGGGTGTGGGATAGGGGAGGATGGTGGGTGGTGGTGGGATATGGGAGGATGGGTGGGTGGGTGGGGGAGAGTATGGGAGGATGGGTGGTGGTGGTGGGAGGAGAGATGGGAGGATGGGTGGGTGGGTGGTGGATTATGGAAGGATGGGTGGGGGGGGTGGGTGGGAGGGGAATGGAAGTTGGTGAAGGGAGGTAGATTGATTATTGGGGGGGATGTGGATAATGGGATTTAGTATGTTGATTGAGTTGATGATTTTGGTTAGTTAGAGATGGGGGTGTGTGGGGTGTGTAGGATGATTAGGTAGGAAGGAGTAATGGAGGGTGGGAATTAAGAGGTTTTATGTTGGAGGGGGGGTGGGGGATTGGTGTGGGTTGGGAGTAGGTTTAGTTTTGTATGGGTTAGGTTGTGTTTAGATGTAGGAGTTTGAAGGGATGGGGATAATTAAGAGTATGTGGAGAATTGGAGAAGATGAATGATATATAGTGTAAAATTTATAAAGGGGTGGGGGTGGGGGGTTTGGGGGAAGGGGGGTGGGATAAGTATGGTGTGGGGGGTGTGGGGATGGGGGGATGTTAAGTAGGGTAGGTGGGAGTAAGTGGGATAGAGGGGGGGTGGTAATGTGATATTGGTGGTGTTTGGAGATTGTTTGTGAAAGAGGGGAAAGGGGTAAATATAAAGATGGAGGTATATATGTGAGTAGGGGGGAGAGGTATTGTTTTGTGGGGTGAGGGGGGAAAAAGAGTATGGAATTTTTGAGGAAGAGATTGTAGTTGAAAAAAGAGGTATGGGATTGGGGGAAAGTAAAATTAGGTGTGGGGTTGTGTTGGAAGTTAAGTGGTGAAGGGATGGGAGGAAGATGGTATGTTGGTATGTTGGGGGAGGGGGGGGGAAGGGGGATGGTTTGTGTTAATTATGAGGGTGGGGTGGATAGTTGGTGTGGTTGTTGGAGATTTTGTGTAGGTGGGGTATGAATTGATAGTGGTTGATTTGGGTGGTTTGTTGTGGTGGTTGTGAATGGTGGTGGTAAGGGGGGATAGTTTGTGGTTATGTGGGTTATATGAGTTTGTTTAGTGGTGTTGGGGTGGAAGAGTGGTAATGTTAAGGTTGGGGATTGGGTTTGAGGATGAGTGAGTGGTAGGTGTTGGGGTGGGGTAATGGATGAGATGGATGGTATGAGGTGGTTGTGGGGGGTTAGGGTTGTGGAGATGGGTGAAAATGGGGTGTATTTGTAGATGGGGTTTGTAGGATATGGTGGGTAGTTGAGGTGTTGGGGTTGGGGGAGTAGGGGGGGGAGGAAGGGGATGGGTGATTATGTATTTGGTTGGAGTTTTTGGGGGGGTTGGAGGGATTGGTTTATTGGGGTGGGTGGGTGGAGTGGTGGGGTGGAGGTGAATGGTGATATAGTAAGTGGGAGTTTGTATGTGTGAGGTTGTGGTTTTTGTGTTGGGGTGTTGTTTGGGGTGGTGTTATTTGGGGTTTGGGGTTGTTTTGGGGGTGGTTGGGTGAGGGGGGTGGGGGGGGGGGTGGGTGGTTGGGGTGGGGTGGGTGGGATTAGTGGTATTTGGGGGGGGTGGGGGTGGAGGGGGGGTGGGTGGGGGGGGGGTGGGGGGGGTGTGGTGGGGGTGGGGGTGGTGGGGGGGTATGGTGTGGATTGGGGTTTGAGGGGTTTGTGGGTGATGTGGGTGTGGATGTGTGGTTGGGGGGGGGTGGTTGGGTGTGGTTGGTGTTGGGGGGGGTGTTGTGATGTGGTTTGGGGGGTGTTGGTTGTGGATGGTGTTGGGGGGGTGTGTGTTATGGAGGTGGGTGGGGGGTTGGGAGAGGGGTAGGGAGGGGGGTGAGGTGTGGAGTTGGGTGTGGGGGTGAGTGGGGGGGTGTGGGTGTTTGTAATGTTTGTATTGTTGGGTGGTTTTGTGTTATTGTGGTTTGGGGTATAGTGGTTGGGTTAGGTTGTATTTTGGTAGTGTGTGGTATTGGTGTGTGTTTTGATGTGTTGGTTTGGTTTTGTTGTTGGTTTTTGATTGGTGTTGGAAGGATGTGGGTTGGGTTTAGGTGGTGGTAGTTGGGGTGGTGGTTTTTGTTGGGGGGGGTGGTAGTATTTGGGGGGGGTTTGAGTGTTGTTTTGGTAGGTTGGTTGTGTATTTGTTTAGTTGTAGTGTGTGTGGGTAAGTAATTTTTGTTGTAGTGTATAGGTTTTGGAAGTTTGGTGGTTTAGGAGGGGAGTTTTTAATGATGTAGAGAAGGGGTTTAGGTTGAGAGTGATAAGAGGGTTATTAGGGATTAGAATTATGTTGATGTTGAATTATTTTGAGGAAAAATAATGAGTGGTGGGTGAGAGAGGGTGATAAAAGTGGGAGGAGGAAGATTTAGGTAGGAAAGTTGTAGGGGTAATTTTAGAGAGATTGAGAAAGTAAGAGGATGGTTTTTGGGGGTTGGGTGGTGGGTGTGGGGTTGGTTTTTGTGTGGTGGTGGTGGGTTTGTGGTGGGGGTGGGGGTGGTTGTTGTTGGTGGTTTTGGTGGGTGGGGGGTGTGGGTTGGGTTGGTGGGGTGGGGGTGTTGTGGTGGGGTGGGGTTTGGGGGGGGGGTTTGGTGTGTGTGGGTGGGTGGGGTGTTTGGTGGGGTGGTGGTTGGGTGGTTTGGTGGGGTGTTTGGGTGGGGTGTGTGGGGGGGTGGTGGGGGTGTGGTTTTGTGGTGGGTGGTGGTGTTTTGTTTTGTTTGTGTTTTTTTGTTTGTGTGAGTGTTGGGGGTGGTGGTGGGTGTGTTTTTGTTGTGTGTGGGGTTGGTGGGTGTGGTGGTGTGTTGGTGTGTGGTGGGGGTGGTGGGGGTGTGGGGGGTTGGGGGGTGGGGGGGTTGTTGTGTTGGGGGGGGGGGGGGTGGGGGTTGTGTGGGGTGGGTGGTTTTTTTGGGGGTGTTGGTTGTGGGGTGGGGGTGGTTGGGGGTTGGTTGTATTTGGGTTATGGGTGGGGGGTGGTGGGGGTGGTGGTGGGGTGAGGGGTTTGGTGTTGAGTTTATGTTGGTGGGGGGGGGGGGGGTAGGGGGGAGGTGGGGGTGGGGTGGGGGGGGGGGGTGTGGGTGTGGGGGGGGGGGGGGGGTGGTGGTGGTGGGGGGGGGGTGGGGTTTGGTGTGTTGGGGGGTGGGGGGGGGGGGGTGGGGGGTGGGTGGTGTGTGTGTTGGGTTGGGGTGGGTGGTATGGGGGGGTGGTGTTTGTGGGGTGTGTGGTGGGGGGGGGGTGGGGGTGTATGGTAGTGGTGGTTGGGGTGTTGGGGGGGTGTGTTTGTGGGGTGGTGGTGGTTGTGTGGGGGGGGTGTGTTTTTTGGGTGGTGTGGGTGGTGGGGTGGGGGTTTGGTTTGTTGTGGGGGGTTTGTGGGTGTGGGTGGTTGGGGGTGGGGGTGGGGGTGGGGGAGGGTGTGGGGGTTGTTGTGGGGTTGTGTATGGTGTGGGTGGGTGGTTTTGTGGGTGGTGGGGGTTGGGGGGGGTGGGGTTGGGGGGGGGGGTGGTTGGGGGGGGTGTGGTGGTGGTGTGGGGGTGGTGGGGGTTGGGGGGGGGGTAGGTGTGGTGTTGGGGTGGGGTGTGTGGGTGGGGGGTGGGTGGTGGGTGGTGTTGGGGTGTTGGGTTGTGGGGGGGGGGGGTGTGTGTTGGTGTTGGGGGTTGGGATGGGGTTGTAGGGGTGTGGGTGGTTGTGGGTGTTTTGTGGGGGTTGTTGGTTTTGGGTGTGGGGGTGGTGGTGTGTGTGGTGTGTTTTGGTTGTTGTGGGGTTGTTGTTGTGTGGTTTGTGGGGGTGGTGGGTGGTGGTTTGGTGGGTGTTGTGGGTGGGTGTGGGTTGGTGTGGGTTGGGGGTTGGGGTGGGGGGGTTGTTGGGTTGGGTTGAGTGGTGGGGGTGGGGGGGATGGTTGTGTGTGGTATGGTTGGTAGGGGGGTGTGGTTGGGGTATGGTGATGTATGTATATTGGGGGTGTATGTGGTGTTAGGAGAGGGGGGAGGTGGATTGAAGGGGGGGTGTTTGTGGAAAAGGTAGGTGTGTATTTTTTGTGGGAGTGTGGAGTATGTGATTGGATGATTTGGGGGGAGGATAATTATATAGATTTTTGGGGGTGGAGTTTGGGGGAGATAGATTTAAGAAGTGGATTGGTAGGAGGGATTGATGAGGGTTAGTGAGAGATAGGTGTAGTGGTATAGTGGGGGATGGTGGGGGATTTGGGTTGGGGGGGGAGTGGTAGGATATGGTAGGGGGGGTTAGAGGATGGGTTGAGTAGGGGATGTGGGAGGGTTTTAGGGGGGTTGGGGTTGTTTTATTGATGTGTGGGGTGTTTTAGGGTGATTGTTGTTAAGTTTTTGGGGTGGGGGAGGTTTTGATTTGTATTAAGGTAGGGGTAGGGTGGGGGTTTTTAGTGGGGGTTGGTGGTTGTGGTTTTTTTTGGGGGTGGGTGTTAATTGAGTGGGATGGATGTGTGTGGGGATGTTTGGGAGGTTTGTGGTGGGTTGGAGTTTGATGGGGGGTGTTATTGAGGGGGGTGTGTGTTGGATAGGATAGGTGGGGGGTAGGGTGTAGGGGTTTTGGTAGTTTAAGTAATTTGTGGGGGGGGTGGTGGGGGGTGGGTGGGTGGTGGGTGGGTGGGGGTGGGTGGTTGGTGGGGGGAGTGGTGTGTTGTGGGTGGGTGTTGGGTGTGGGTTGTGATGATAGGGGGGGGGGGTAGTGGGGTTTAGGTTGAGTTGTGGTAGTGGGGTGGGGTTGTATTTGGGGTTGATAGGTGTTGGTTGGGTTTTTTTGGATTGGGTATGGGTTTGTTTGTTGTTGTAGTGTGGGTTGGTGGATGGGGAGTTGGTGATGATATGTGGGTAAAGTGGGGGGGTGTGAAGGGTTTGTGGGGATAGGTGGTGGTAGGTTGTATAGTTTGTGGTGGTGGTTGGGTGTGGGATGGTTGATTAGGAGAAGGGTGGTGGGGTATGGGTAATATGTTATGAGTGGGGGTGTGTGGTTGTGGTGAGGTGGGGGGTATTTGGTTAATTATATGTTAGGAATGGAGTGTGGGGTGGTTTATATAGGTTAAAAGGGGGGTTTGGTGAGTTAGTATGTATTGTTTATTATGTGGTAAAGGTTTGGTTTTGTGGGGGGATAGAGTATGTATGTGTTTGGATGTGAAGGAGAAAGTGAAGATTAAGGAAGGAGGGGTATGGAGGGATATTTGAAGTGGGGTGGGATTATTATGGTTGGGGGGGTTGGAGTGAAGAAGGATATATTGGGAGGATTAGGTTTGATGGATATAAGTAGGGTGGGAATTTATGGTGTTTAAGAAGTGTGTGTTGGATTGTAGGGTGGTGGTAGGTTTATGATATTGGGTGTTGGTATTGTGTTTAGTTATTGGAATTTTAAGGTTGATATGGATGGGGGGGGATGGGGTGGGAGGGTTTGTTTGGAAGTGAGGTGAAGAAGATATATTTGAGTTTGGGTTTGTGTGTTGAGGGAGTGGTTGTTTAGTGTGGGTGGGGTATTATTTGGGATGGATGAGTGAGTTATGTTTTATTTATTAGTAGGGGGGATTAAGGATATTGATAATATAAAAGATGGGTTGAGAAGGGGTTGGGATGATAGTGTAGATGGAGTTGTTGGTATGGTGGGGTTGGGGGTGGGGGGGGGTGGTGGTGGGTATAGGGAGGAAGAGGATATATTTAAGGGTAGGGTGGGTTGATATATAAATAGTTATGTAGGATTATATGTTTGATGTTGTTTTTTGGGTTGTGTGGGTTGTGTATGTTGGTTGTTTGTGTTTGGGGGTAGGTATAGTTTGTATGTTGTTTGTTTGTGTGGGGTTTTGTATGTGTGTTTGTTTGTTGGGTGGTTTTGTATGTTTTTTGTTTGGTTGGGTTTGGTGTTTTATGTTTGTTTGTTGGTTTGTTTGAGGTGTTGTTGTTGGTTTGTTTGGTGTTTGGGGTGTTGTCGTTTGTTTGTGTGGTTGTTTGGGTGTTTGTATGTTTGTTGTGTGGATGTTTGTGTTTGTTGTTTTTTTTGGGTGTGTGGTGTTTGTTAAGTTTTTTTTGGTGTTGTGTGGGGTGGGATTGGTTTGGGATGTGATAGGGTTTGTGGGTGGTGGGTGGGGAATTTTGGTTTGGGTGGGTTGTTGTTGTGAAGGTGGGTGGGTGGGTGGGTGGGTGGGTGTAGGGTGGAGGGGGGGAAGAATGTAGGATGTGGGATAGTGTTGTGTTGGATGTTTGGTAGGATTGAATTGATGTGGGTGTTTTCGTTTTTTGTTTTGGAGGTGGATAGAGGGGTGTGGTTTTTTGTTTTGGATGGGTGTTTGGGTATGAAGGGTAGTAGGTTTGGGTAATGTTGGGGAATTGATTGAGTGGGGGATGAGGGGGGAAAGGTATGTGGGTGTAAGGATTGGGGGTGGGTGGATTTGATGAAAGAAGGGGATAGGGGTTTGAGGTGGGTTAGGTGGGGGGGGGGGGGGGGGTATTGGGGGTGGGGGGGGGGGGGGGGGGGGGGGGGGGGGGGGGGGGGGGTTTGGGGTGGGGGGGGTTGTGTGTGTGGGTGGGGGGGGGGGGGTTTGGTGGGTATGGGGGGGTGGGGGGGGGGGGGTGGTTGATTGGGGGGGGGTTGGTTGGGGGTTGTTGAGGGGGGGTGGTTGTTGATTAAGAGATTATTATTATTAGTGGTGTGGTTTTGGTTGTGTGGAGGGGAAGGGGGGGGGGAATATTTGGTGAAGGTTCTAGTAGTGGGATATGGGGTATTTTATGGAATTTGTGGGTAGGGGGTGATGAAAGGGGATTGGTTGGGTGGATGGGGGTGTTTTGATATTTTTGGAGGGGTGGGTTTTGTTAAGGGGGGTTTGGGATTAGAGGAGGTGGGGTAAGTTAGTATTAGGTAGGGTTTGTGGAATGGGATTAATTTGGTTTTGTAAGAGGGAATGGAGGGGTATGGGTATGGTGGGTTGGGATGAATGGTTTTTGGGTAGGGGTTGGGGGATTAGAGTTATTGGGAAGATTAGGAGATGATGAGGTGAGGGTGTGGAAGTTTAGAGGGGTGGGAAAGGAATGGGTGGAAGGAGTAGTATAGTAAAGAGATGGTGGGTGGTAATTTTTGGTAGTTTATTTGTTTTTTGTTTGTTTTTTGTTTGTATGGTTGTTGGTTGTTTGATGGATTGGGGGTATTGTTATAGTTGTGGTAATGGGTTGTAGGAGTTTTGTGGTAGTAGGTTTTATTTGTTTGTGTAGGGTGGGTGAGGGTGGGAGATTGAGCGTATGGGGGGAAGGGGTGGTGGGTGAATGGGTGGGATGTGTGGGGTGGGTTGGTGGGAGTATGGGAGGATGGGTGGGTGGGTGGTTTGGGAGTATTGGAGATGGGTGGGTGGTGGTGGAGTATGGAGGATGGGTGTGGGGTGGGTGTGATTATGGTGATGATGGTGGTGGGTGGGTGGGAGTGTTTTATGTGAGGATGGGTGGGTGGTGGTGGGAGTAGGGAGATTGGGTGGTGGGTGGGTGGAGGGGAGAGTATGGAGGATGGTGGGTGGGTGGGTGGGAGTCGGGAGGATGGGTGGGTGGGTGGGTGAGGGGGGAAGTGAGTTGGTAGGGAGGAGGTGAGATGATTTGATGTGGGGGGGAGGTGGATAAGGGTTTATTATTAATTATGTTGATTGAGTGTGAGTTGATTTTGGTTAGTTAAGGAGATGGGTGTGGTGGGGTGGGTGTGGATTGAGTTGATGTATGAAGGAGTAAGGGGGAGGGTGGGATATTAAGAGGTGTTATGGTTGGAGGGGGGGGTGGGGGAGTGTGTGGTTGTTGGGAAAGGGTTTAGTTTTGTATGGGGTTAGTTGTGTTGGAGGATGTGAGAGTTTGAAAGGGGATGGGGGGGGATGAGGATGGAAAGTATGTGAGGAATTGGGAGAAGATAAAGATATATAGTGTAAAATTGTATAAAGGGGTGGGTGGGGGGTTTGGGGGAAGGGGGGGGGGGTGGATAGAGGTATGGTGTTGGGGTGTGGGGATGGGTGGGATTTAAGTAGGGGATAGGGTGAGTGAAGTGGGGGATAGTAGGGGTAATGTGATTATTGGTGGGTGTTGTGGGGAATTGGATGTGAAAGGAGGGAAGGTAAAGGTATAAGATGGGAGGTATATATGTTATAGGGGGGGAGAGTATTGTTTTTGTGGTGTGAGGGGAAAAAGAGTATGGAATGTTTGGAGGGAAAGGATGGTGTGTGATTTGGGAGGGGAGGAGGTATGGAATTGGGGGGGGAATAGGAAATTAGGTGGGGGATGTGTTTGGGAAGTTAATTGGGTTAAGGGGGATGGGAGGAAGATGGGTGATTGTTGGGTATGTTGGGGAGGGGGGAGCGGTGGGTATGTTTGTTTTAGACGTTGTGGTAAGGGAGGGGGTTTGTGGGAATGATTGTGGTTTGTTTTTATATTTTGTGTAGGGTGGGGGTATGGGGATTTAAAGGGTGTTTTGAAGATGGGGTGGTTTGGTTTGTGTATGTGGTTGAATGGTTGTGTGTAAGGGTGGCAGGAGTTTGTGGGTTATGTGGGTTATGGATTAGTTTGTTTAGTGGGAGTGTTGGGTGGAAGAGTGTGTAATGTTAGGTTGGGATGGTTGTAGAGGGATTAAGTGATTGGGTAGGGTGTGGGGTAGGGTAGGGGAGTGATATGGGATGGGTATGAGTGGTGGGGGGGGTATTTAGGGTTGTGGGGAGATGTCTGGATTATGGGGGGTGTATTTGTGATATGGGGTTTGGATAGGATAAGGTTGGGTAGTTTGTTTGGGTGGGGAGAAGGGGGGAGGGAGGAGAGGGGATGGGTGGATGTATTTGGATTTGGGTTGGATTGTTGGGTGGGGTTGGAGGGAATTTTAGTTGGGATTGGGGGGTGGGGTGGGGGATTTTGGGTGTAGGGTTAATATGGTTGGAGATTGAGGTTATGGTGAAAAGGGAAATTGTTGGGAGTAGTGGAAAAATTTGTGTTTTTGAAGAGTTAGATTGGATGAATAAAGGGGATGGAGTAATAGGATGTGGTTGAGGTGAGGGTAAAGGGGGTGGGGAGATAGGTTTAGGGGGGGAGGGGGGGGGGTGTTGTGATTGATTAGTGGGGGAATTTGGTTGAGTATGGATGAGGAGAGGATAAGGGTGGGTTTAGGGGTTATTAGGGGGTGAGGAGGGGGTGGGGGAGGGGGTTGTGTGAGGGGGGGGGTGAGGGGTTGGATGGGGGATGTTTTGTATAGGTGGGAAATTGGGTTTAATATAGTGGTATAGGGTGAGGTATATTGAGAGTAGGGTAGTGGGGTTTGGTATTGGTTTGGGAGATTATATATTGTGGTTGGATAGATATGGGGGGGGGGTAAGGGTTAGAGGATGATGGATTGGTTAGTTTTTTGTGTAGGAGGGAATGAGAAGGATGGGGGGGGGTTTGGTGGGTATGGGGGATTTAGGGGGTTGTATGTTATGATTTGTGGTGAGTGTTGGTTTGGTTTTGGTAGGGGGTGTGGGGGGGGGGGATTAATGGTATTGAAGGGAGTTGAATTAGTTTTGTTTGGTGAGTAAGTGGGTTGGTGTGGTTTGGTTTGGAAGGGGTATTGGTTATGGTGGGAGTTATGTGTTTTGGGGGTTGTATTTATTTGTGGTGTTTATGGTGTGTGTGTGTTGTGTGTTTGGATTGTGTGTGGGGTGTGTTGGGGGGGGTGGTTGTGTGGGTGTTTTGTTTGGGGGTTTAGTTTTGTTGTTTTGGGGATGTTTGTGTTTTTTTGTAGTTTTGTAGATGATAGAGTTATGTATATTGATGATTGGTGTGTTTTTAGTTGAGTGGTTGGGTGGGGATATTGTTATATTGTTGATGTTTGGGGATATAGGTGTATTGGGTGATGGTATGAGGTGGTTGTGGGATTGATTGAAGGGGTATGGTGATGGTATGTGGTTTTAGTATGTGATGGGGGGGGTTTGTGGTGTTTTGGGTGTGGGTGTGTGTGTGTGGGGGGGTTGGTGTGGGGTAGGTTGTGTGGTGTTTGATGTGTGGTGGGTTGGTTGGGGTTTGGGGTTGGGGTGGGGTGGGGGGGGTGGTGGGGTGGTGTTGGTGGGGTAGTGGGTGTGGGGGGTTGTTGGGGTTTTTTGTTGGTTGTTTGGGTGGGGGGGTGTGGTTGGGTTGTGGGGGGTTGGGGTGGGTTGTGGTGGTGGGTTGGGGTTGGGGGTTGTGGGTGTGTGGGGTGGGGTGGGGGGGGTGGTTTGGGTGGGGGGGTGGGGTTTTTGGGGTGTTGGGTGGTTGTTTGGTTGGGATGTTGGGGGGGGGGGTGGGTGGGGGGGGTTTGTTTTGGTGTGGGGGTGGTGTTTTTGTGTTTGTTTGTGTTTTTTTTGTGTGTGTGTTGGGGGTTGGTGTGTTTTGGTTGTGTGTGGTTGGGTGGGTGTGGGGTGGTTTGTGTTGGTGGGGTGGTGGGGGTGTGGGGGTTGGGGGTGGGGGTTGTTTGTTGTTGGGGGGGGGGGGTGGGGGGGTTGGTGGGTGGTGGGTGGGGGTTGTTGGTTAGGGGTGGGGTGGGTTTGGGGGGTGGTTGGTTGTGGGGGTGTGTGGTGGGGGTGGTGGTGGGGGTGGTGTGGGGTGGTTGTGTGGTGTGGTGGTGGGGGGGGGGGGGTGGGGTGGTGGGTGGGTGGGGGGGGGGGTGTGGGTGGGGGGGGGGGGTGGTGGGTGGGGGGGGGGGGGGGTGGGGTTGTGGTTTGTTGGGGGGGTGGGGGGGGGGGGGGGGTGGGGGGGTGGGTGGTGTTTGTGTGGGGGTTGGGGGGGGGTGGTTTGGGGGTGGGTGTTTGGGTGGGGGTGTGTGGTGGGGGGGTGGGTGTGGTTGGTGTTGTGGTGTTGGGTTGTTTGTGGGTGGTGGTGGGTTTGTGGGGGGGTGGTGTTTTTTAGTGGGGGGTTGGGTGTGGGGTGGGGGGTTGGTGGTTTGGGTTGGGGGGGGTTTGTGGGGTGTGTGGGTTGGGGTGGGGGTGGGTGGGTGGGGGGGGGGGTGTGGTGGGGTTGGGTTGTGGGGTGTGGTTGTGGTGTGTGTGTGTTTGGGTGGGTGGTTTGGGGGGGAGGGGGTTGGGGGGGGGTGGTTGGGGGGGGGTGGTGGTTGGATGTGGTGGGGTGGTGGGGTTTTGTTTTTGGTGGTTGGGGGTGGGTTTGGTGGGTGGGGGTGGGTGGGTGGTGTGGGGTGTTTGGGTGTTGGGGTTAGGGAGGGGGTTTAGTGGTGTGTTGGTGGAGTTGGGTTGATTGGGGTAGTGGGGAATGTGGGTGTGGTGAGTGGTTGTGTGTGGGTGTTTGGTTTGGGTTTTTGGGTGTGGTGGGGAGGGGAGGTGTTTTGGTGTGGTTTGTTGGTGTGTTGGGGTGGGGGGGTGGTGTGTTGTGTGGTTGGGTAGGGGGGGTGGTGTTTTGGTGGTGTGTATTGGGGTGTTTAGTGAATGTGGTTTGGGAGGGGTTGGTTGGGGTTGGGGGTTGTGTGGGGGGGGGGTTGTGGTTGGTGGGAGTGTGGGTTGGGTGGTGGTTGGTTTGTGTGGGGGTGGGGTTGGTGTGGTATATTTGTTTGTTGGTGTGTGTTGTGTGTTTGGTTGTGGGGGTGGTTTTGGGGGGGGTGGGTTGATGGTTGTGTTGTTTGAGGGTGTGGGGTGATGTGTGGGTGTTGTTGGGTTGTTTGTTGTGGTGGTGGGGGGGGGGGTGGGGGGGGGGGGTGTTGGTTTTGTGGGGTTTGTGGTGGGGTGGGGGGGGTTGTTGGGTGTGTTGTGAATTTGGTGTTGGGGTAGGGGGGGGTGGGGTTTGGGGGTTGGGTGTGTTGGGGTTTGTGGGGTGGGGGGGGGGTTGTTTGGTGGAGGGGGTTGGGTTGTTGGTGGGGGGTGGTGGTAGTGTGGGGGGGGGTGGTGTTTGTGGGTGTTTTAGTTGTGTGTGTGTTTGGGGGGGGGTGGGGGTGGGGGGTTTGGTTTTTGTGGGAGTGGTGGGGGGGGGGGTATGTTGTGGGGGTGTGGGGGTTGGTGTGTGAGGGGGGGGTGGGTGTTGGTGGGGTGGGGTTGTGGGGGTGGGGGGGTTGGTTGGGGTGTGGTTGGGTGGGGGGGGGGTGTGGGGGTGGTGGGGTGGGGGGGGGTGTGTGGTGGTGGGGGGATGGGGGTGGGGTGGGGTGGGGTTGTTTTGTTGGGGGGGGGGGGGGTGGGGGGGGGGGGGGTTTGGGGGGTGGGGTGGAGTTTGGTGTTTGGGGGGTGGTGGTTTTTGGTTTTGGTGTGTGTAGGGGGGGTTTGTGTGTATGGGGGGGGTGGTGGGGGGTTGGTTGGGGTGGGGGGGTGTGGGGGGGGGTGTGGGGGGGTTGTGGGGTTGGGGTGGGGTTAGGTTTGGGTGTTGTGTTGGTTGGGGGTGGAGGGGGGGGTGGGGTGGTGGGTGTGGTGGGGTATGGATGGGGGGGTTGTGGGTGGGGGTGGTGGGGGGGGGGGGGTGTGGGGGTTGTGGGAGTGGGAGGGGGTGGGGGGGGGGTTGGGGGGGGGTTGGGGGGTGTAGGTGGGGTGGGTTGTGGGGGGTGGTAGTGGTTGGAGTGGGGTGGTGGGGGGTGGGTGGGGGTTGTGGGGGGTTGTGTTGGATGTTTGTGGGGGGGTGGGGTTTTTTGGTTTGGTTGGGGTGTGGGGTGGGTGGTGTTGGGTGGTTTGGGGTGAAAGGGGGTGGGGTGTGGGGGTGATTGAATGGTTGGTTTGTGTAGGTGATGGGGTATGTGTGGGGTTTTAGGTGGGGGTTGGTGGTGTTTGAATGGGGGGGTGGGTGTGTTTTTGTTGTGGGGGTTTGTGGGGGTTGTATGGTTGGTGGTGTGGGTGGTGGGTTGGTGGTGTTTGTTGGGGGGTGGTTGTGTGGGTATTTTTAGTTGGTGGGTGGGGTTGGGGTGGGGGGTGGTATGGTTGATGGAGTTTGGGGGTGTTGGATGTTTATATGTATTGGTATTTGTTTGTAAGGATGTATGGGAGGGTATGTGGGGTAGTGTTTTGGATGTGTGTGTAGGGATGGGGGATAATTTGGATTTGTGAGGAGTGTGGAATATGGAAGTGGTGGGGCTTAGGGGTGGGTGGGGGTTATTGGGGAATGGAAGGAGTGAGGTATATGTTATAGTATGTAGGTAGGGGGATGAAGGGGGAATAGGATAATGTTGAATTAATGAGGGTATAGGATAGAGGATGATAGTGGTAGAGGTAGTGTAAGTGATGGTGGGTTGGGGGGTTTTTGGTGGAGGGAGGGGGGAAAGATAAGTAGGATTTATTTTAGGGGGGTTATTTGAGTTTTATGAAGGGGGGAGGATTTTTTATGTTGGTTGTGGGTTGTTTGGTTGTTTGGGTGTTTGTATGTTGTTTGTTTGGTTGTTTTGTCATGAGGTATATTTTTATATGTTTGTTTTTGTTTGGGTTTGGGGTTTTAGTGTGTTGGTTTGGGTGGGGTGGTGTTTGTATTTGGTGTGTGGGTTTTTGTGTTTGTATGTTTGTTTGTTTGGTTTTTGGTGGTGGTTGTGGTTTGTTTGTTTGTGGGGGTTTTGTATGGTTGTGTTGTTTGTTTGTTTGGGGTTTTGTATGTTTTGTGTGTGATTGTTTGGGTGTTTGTATTGTTGTTTTTTTGGGTGTGGTGTGTGGTGAAGTTGTTTGGGGGTGGGTGGGATTGTTGTGGGTATGTGATTGGTTGTGGGTGGGGGGTGGAAGGGTGTGGGGTGGTGGTTGTGTGGAAGGTGGGGTGGGTGGGTGGTGGGTGTAGGGTGAAGGGGGGGGGGGGGGAGAATGTTGATGTGTATGGGTGTGAGGGTTGGTAAGGAATGTGTGGGTTGGTGAATGTTTTGTTTGGGGAGATAGAGAGGGGTTGTGTTGGTTGGGTTGGAGGGGGGGTTTGGTGAAATGTAGGAGGGGTTGGTTTTGGTGGTTGGGGGTGGGGGGTTATGGGGGAAAGTTGTGGGTTGGAGTGGGTGGTGTGTTGATTATAGGGGGGGATAGGGGTGTTTTGTGGTGGGTTTGAATGTTGGGGGGGTGTGGAGAATAGAGTGTTGTTTTGGGTTTTTGGGGGTGAGGAGGGTTGGTGGGGGGTGGGGGGGGGGGTGGGGTGATGTGGGTTGTGTTGTGGGTTATTTTTTGGGTGGGTGGGGAGAGTGATTATGATTTTTTGGGGTTGGGTGGGGAGGTTGGGGGGGGTTAGGGTGTTGGTTTGGTGGGTTTGGGGGTTGGTTGTGATGTGGGGGGTTGGGGAGGAGTGGGGAGTGGGGGTGGAGGGTGTGGGAGGGGTTGTGAGGTGGTGTGGGTTGGGGGGGTTGGGTTTGAGGGGATGGGTGGGGTTGTGTGATGATGGGTGGGGGTTGGGTATTTTTTTTGGTTGTGGTAGGAGGGGTTGGATTGGTTGGTTTGGGGGTGGTTGGGGGGTGGGGAGGGTGGGGGGGAGTGGGTTAGTGGAAGTATTTGTGAGAGAGGGGTGGGTGTGGTGTTTGGAAGTGGGTGGATTTGGAGTGGAAGAGTATTAGATGTGAGAGGGTGGTTAGATGGGTAGTTGGGTTTTGTTGGTTTGGTGTGGGGGGTTGGTGTGTGGTGTTTTGTTGGTTGGGGTTTGGTTGTTTGTTGGGGGGGTGGGTTGGTTGGTTTGTTGTGTGGTTTTGTTGGGTGGGGGTGGGGGTGTGTTGTGTATGGGGGGAATGGGGGGGGGGGGTAGGTGGGGTTGGTGGTGGGGGGGGAGTGGATGGGAGGTTGGGTGGGTGGGGGGGGGGAGTATGGGGAGGATGGGGGGGTGGGTGTGGGTGTAGGGGAGGATGGGTGGTGGTGTGTGGGGAGTAGGGAGGATGGGTTGGGTGGGTGGGTGGAGTATGGGAGGATGGGTGGTGGTGGTGGAGTAGGGAGGATGGGTGGGTGGGGGGTGGGTGGGGGAGAGTATGGGAGGATGGGTGGGTGGGTTGGTGGGAGTAGGGGAGGATGGGGGGGTGGGTGGGGGAGGGGGGGGAATGATTGGGAGGAGGGAGGGAGATTGATTTGATGGGGGGGGGAGGTTGGAATGAAGGATTAATGATTATTGAGTGGGAGTGATTTTGTGAGTAGAGATGGGGGTGGGGGGGGGTGGGTGTGGAGAGGGTTTGATGGTTGAAGGGGGGAGGGGTAAGGGAGGGTGGAATGTAAGAGGTTTAGGGTTGAGGGGGGGGGGGATTGTGGTGGGGTTGGGTGAAGGTTAGTGTTTGGTATGGTTAGGTGGTTTTAGTGTGAGAGGGAGAAGGGGGAGGGGGGGGGGGGAGATATTATAGTTTGGAAATTGGGAGTGATAAAGATATATAGTGGTATAGTTAGAATAAATGTAATAGGGGTGGTGGGGGGTGGGAGGGGGGGGTGGATAGAGGATGGTGTTGGGGGGGGTGGGGTGGTGGGATGGTAGGTGGAATATAGGTGGAGGATAGGGTGGATATAGGGGGGAATGTGATTATGGGGTTGGGGTGTGGATTGATAGTGGGAAATAAAGGTAGATGATGGAGTATATAGGTGTTTGGGGTGATTTGTTTTTGTGTGAGGGGGAAATTGAGTATGGTGTTGGGGTGGATAGTGGTTTGGGAGGGTGATGGTATGGGTGGGGGGATGAGTATTTTGGTGGGGGTGGTGTTGGGTATGGTATGGGGGTGAAGGGGGTTGGGTATGAGGGGTGAGTGTTGGGTTTGGTGTGGGGGGGGAAGGGGGGGATGGTTGGTGTGAAGGTGGGGAAGAGGGGGGTTTGGTGGAATGTGTGTGGGTTGGTTGTAGATGTGTGGTTAGGTGGGGGTTTGAATTTATAGGGTGGGTTAGTTGGTGGTGGGGGTTGTGTATGGGGTAATGGGTGTGGGTTAGGGGTGGATAGGGTGTGGGGGTAGTGGGTTATGATGTGGTTGTTTAGTTGGTGTGTGGGGGGTGAAGAGTGGGATGTTAAGTTGGATTGGTTGTAGATGAAGGTAGTGGGTAGGGTGGGTTGGGTATGGGGGATGATATGGTTGGGTATAGGTGTGGTGGGGGGTTTAGGGTTGTGGGAGATGTGGGAATATGGGGGGTGGAGGGTAGATTGGGGTGGATAGAGTTGGGGTAGTGGTTTGGTGTGGGGGTTGGGTGAAGTGGGAGTAGGAGAGGGGATGTGGGATGTATTTGATTTGGTGGAGTTGTGGGTGGGGTTGAGGGAATGTTAGTTGATTGGGGGGGTTGGGAGTTTGGTTGTTATTTTTGTTGGAGGATGGAGGTTAGGAAATGGGATTTTGTGGGAGGTATTGGGATTTGTGAGTTTTTGAAGATTTGAGTGGGGGGGGATGAATAAAGGGATGGAAATAGGATGGTTGTGTTGAGGTTAATGGGGTGGAGGTGTGGGGGGTGGGGGGAGGGTGTGGGGGGGTTTGTTTTGTGGGGTTGGGTAGGGAGATTGGGTGATGGGGGTTTTGGGGGGTGGGGTGAGGGGTTAGTAGGGGGTAGGAGGGGGGGGGTGGGGGGTGGGGTGTGGGGTGGTAGGGGGGTATGGGGGAGGATTTGGATTGGTGATTAAGGGGTTTTTGTGTGGGTAGTTGTGAGTAGATGAGTTTGTTGGGGGGTGGAGGGGTTGGGGTTGGTTGTGTGGGGGGTTTGTGTTGGAGTTGGGTTAGTTGAAGGTTGTGTGTTGGGGGTGGTTGTGTGGGAGGGGTTGGTTGATGGTAGTGGTGATTGTTGGGGGTGGTTGGGGTTGGTGGGATGTAGGGGGGGGGATGGGTTGTTGGTGGGGTTGGGGGGGGGTGGGGTTGTGAAATTAAATGATAGTAAGGGAGTAGAAGGTAGAATGAGGTTTGTAGTAAAAGTGGATTGTTATAGATGAAAGGGTATGGGGTAGGTGAGGGATGTAATGTGGATAAAAGAAGTGGGATGTAAGTTAAATTTATGTGAAATGTGAGGGGTGATTTTGAGGAGGAGAGGGGGAATTGGAATAGAGTGGTGTTAGAGAAGGTTTGTTAGGAAGATTGTGGTGATTATATATGGGGGTATAATGGATGATAAGATTGTTGGGGGGTTGTTGGATGATTATTAGATATGTTTTTGTTAGTTGAGGGTTTGGGGATGATTAAGTGTTTAGAATTGGATTTGTATATTTGGTGGGTTGTTTAGGTGGTGAGATTATGAGTATTGTGTATGGGGTAGTAGGTGTGTATTAGAGTAGGTGGTGAATTGGGGATTATTTTGGGAGAAGGAGATTGTTAATGGGTATTATTAAGTGTGGGGGGGTTGGTATTGGTGGTTGTTGTGGTGGTGGTTGTGTTTGGGGTTGTGGTGGGGTTTGTTGTTGGTTGTTTTGTGTGGTGGTTTTGGGTTGGTGGGGTGGGGGTGGGGGGGGGTGTGGGGGTGTGTGGTGGGGTGTGTGGAGGGGTGGTGGGTTGTTGTTTGTTGTTGTTGGGTGGGGGTGTGTGTTGGGTTGGTGGGGTTGGGGTTTTGTGTGGTGGGGGGGATTGGGTGGGGGTTGTGTGTGTTGGGGGGTGGGGTGGGGGTGGGTGGGGGGGGTTTGGGGTGGGTGGGGTGGGTTGGTTTGGTGGGGTGTTTGGTGTGGTGGTGGTTGGGGGGGGTGGGGGGGGGGGGGGGGGGTGTTGTTTTGTGGGTGGGGAGGTGTTTTTTTTTGTATTTTTTTTTTGTTTTGTTTGTGTTTTTTTGTTTGTGTTGTGTTGGGGTGGTGGAGGTGTGTGTTGGGTTGGTTGGGTGGGTTGGTGGGTGTGGTGGTGGTGTTGGTGTTGTTGGGGGGTGGGGTGTGGGTTGGGTGGTTGTTGTTGTTGGGGGGGGGTGGGGGTGGGGTGGGGTGGTTGGGTGTTGGTGTGTGGGTGGGGTGTTGGGGGGGGGTGGGTGGTGTGGGGGGTGTGTGTGGGGGGGGTGGGGGGTGGTGGGTGGTGGGGTTTGTGTGTTGGTGGTGTGTGGGGGGGGGGGGGGTGGGGGGTGGTGGGGTGGGTGTGGGGGGGGGGTTGGGTTGGGGGGGGGGGGGGGTGAGGGTGGGGGGGGGGTGGGGGGGTTTGGTTTGTTTTGGGGGTGGGGGGGGGGGGGGGGGGGGTGGTGGTGGTGTGTGGGTGTGGGGTGGGGGGGGGGTTGGTGGGTGTTTGGGTGGGGGGTGTGTGGGTGGGGGGGTGGGGGTTTGTTGGTGTGGTGGGGGGGGGTGTTGGGGTGTTTGGGGGGTGGGGGGGTGGTGGTGGTTGTGTGTGGGGGGTGGTGTTTTTTTGTGTTTGGGTTGTGGGTGGGGGTTGGTGTGGTTGTGGTGGGTGGGGGGGGGGGTTTGGGGTGGTGGTGGGGGTGGGTTGGGGTGGGGGGTTGGGTGGGGGGGGGGTGTGGTGTGTTTGTGTTGTGGTTGTTGGGTGGTTTGTGGTGGTGGGGTTGGGGGGGTGGGGTTGGGGGGGGGGTGGGTTGGGGGGGGGGGTGTGGTGTGTGTGGGGGTGGTGGGGGTTGTGGGTGTGTGGTTGGGGGGTGGTTGGTGGGTGGGGGTGGGGGTGGTGGGGATGGGTGTTGGGGTGTGGGTTTGGGGGGTGGGTGGTTTGTGGGGGTTTGTGGGGTGGGGGTTGGGGTTGTGGGGGTGTGGGTGGTGTGGTGTTGGGTGTGGTTTGTTGGTTTTGGGTGTGGGGGTGGTTTGTTGTGGTGTTGTTTGTTGGGTGGTGGGTTTGTGGGGTTTTGTTGGGTTTGGGGTGGGGGTGGTGTTTTGGTGGTGTTTGGTGGTGGTGGTTGTGTGGGTTTGGGTTGGTTGGGTGGGTGGGGTTGTGTGGGTGGGGGTTGTGTGGGGGGTGTGGGTGGGTTGGGTTGGGGTGGGGGTGTGGGTGGGGTTGTTGGTGTGTTGGTTTTGGTGTTGTGGGTTGTGTGTGGGGGTTGTTTGGGGGGGTTGGTTTGGTGGGTTGTTTTGTGGTGTGTGGTGGTTGTGGGTGGTGTTGGGGTTATGTTGTGTGGTGGTGGGGGGTTGGGGGGGGGGGGTGTGGGGGGTGTGGTGGGTGGGTGGTGGGGTGGTGTTGGTGTGTGTGTGTGGTGGTTTGGGGGTTGTGGGGGGTGGGGGTTGGGGGGTTGGGGTGTGGTTGGGTTTGTGGGTGGGGGTGTTGTGGGGTGGTGGGGGTTGGTGTGGGTGGTGGGTTTGTGGGTGTGGGGGGGGGGTTTTTGTGGGGGTTGGGTGGTGTGGGGGGGTTTGTGGGGGGGGGGGGGGGTGGGTTGGGGAGTGGTTTTGGTGGGTGTGGTTGGGGGGTTGTTGGTGGGGGGTGTGGGGGGTTGTGGTGTGGTGGGGGTGGGGGGTGTTTGGTGTGGTGGGTGTGGGGTGGTTTGGGGGGGGGTTGGTTGGGTGGGGGTGGGTGGGGGGTTTGGGGTGTGGGGGGTGGTGGGGGTTTGGTGGTGGTGGGGGGTTAAGGGGGTGGGGTTGGTGTTGGATGTTTAGGTTGGGGGGGGGGAGGGGGGGTGGGGTGGGGGGTGGGGGGTTGGGGATATGGTGTTTGGTTGTGGGGTGATGTGTGGTATGGGTGTGTTTGATGGTTGTTGGTAGGGGTGGAATGGGGTTTTGGTAGTGGGGGGTGGTAGGGGGAGTGGGGTGGGGGTGGGTTTGAGGGGGGGGATATGAGTTATGGAGGGTGTGTATGGAGGGTTTTTGTATGGTGATGGAGTATTTGGTTTTGTGTGAATGGGGAGTTTGGTGGATGTATTGTTGTGTAAGGGGGGTGGGTGTGGAAGGGTTTGTGGGGGGGGTTATTGGGAGGAAGGTTGTATAGGTTTGTGGTTGGGTGGTTTGGTGTGGTATGGTGATTATGGAGTGGTAGTTGGGGGGGGGGGGTAGGTATTATGAATGGAGAGGGGGTGTGGTTGGGTTGTGAGGTGGTATTGTTGGGTTATAGTATGTTAAGGATAGGTGGTGGGGTTGGGGTTTAGAAATTTAAAATAGTGTAGTGGGAGTTTTGTGATAATGGTTTCGGGTGTATGTGGGGTTATGGGGGTGGGGTTTTGTGTTGGGGGAATGAGGAAATATTTATGGGGTGTATGTTGAGAGAGTGTTGAATGGATTAAATAGGTAGGGTTTGGAGGGGATGTTTGGTGATTGGGGGGGTGGGGTAGTGTGTAGGGTTGGTGGGTGGAGTGGGGGGAATTGGTTTTTGTGTGTAGAGGAGGGGATTGTGAGAAAGATAGGGGGGGGGAAGTTTAGAAGGTTTATGAAGGGTTGTTTGGGGGGTAGTGGAGGTTGTGTGGATGTTTAGGAGTATTTGGTGGTGGTTGTTTTTTTATATATGGAATTGGGAATTTGAAGTAATGAGATGGGGGAGGGGGAGGTGGGGGGGGGTGAGGTTGTGGGGAAGTAGTGAGTAGGGAGAAGATATATTTGAGTTTGGTATTGTGAATTGGGAGTGGTGGGTTAGGGTGGGGGTGGGTTTGTGTTTGGATGGTGAGTAGTATATGTTATATTTATTAGGTTGGGGGGGATTGAAGGGGGGAATATGATATTATGAAGAAATATGGGTAGAGGAAGAGGTTTGGAGGTAGTTTTAGTTTAGATGTAGTTTAGGTATGGGGGGTTGGGGGTGGGAGTGTTGGAGGAGGAAGGGGGGAAAGAGGGTAAGTAGGAAAGAATGAAGGAGGGTGGGGTGAGATATAATGGAAGAAAAAAAAAGGTTTTTTGGGGGGGTTTATTAAGGGGATTATATGTGGGTATTGGTGTTTGTTTGTTTTTTGTGGTTGATGTTTTTTGTTTGGTGGTTTGGGAATATATGTTTGTTATGTTTGTTTGTTTTGGTTTTGGTTTTGTATTGTTTGTTTGTTTGGTGTGTGGTTTTGTATGTTGTTGTTGGTTGTTTGGGTGTTTGGAAGTTGTTTGTTTGGTTTTTGGGTTGGTGGTTTTTTGTGTTGGTTGTTTGGGTGATTTGTATTGTTTGTTTGTTGTTGTTTGGGTTGTGTATGTTTGTTTGTGTGGATTGTTTGGTGTTTTGTTGTTTTTTTTTGGGTTGTGGTGTTTTGTTATGTGGTTTTGTGTGGGGGGGGGGGTATGGGTGGTGGGTTGTGATTGGTTTTGTGGTGGGGGTGGGGAATTTGTTGTGTGGTGTTGTGATGGATGTGGGGGGGGGGGGGGGGGGGGGGGTGTTGGGTGAGGGGGGGGGGGAAGTAATGTTAGAGGGTGTATGGGTTTGATGTTGGGGTAGGGATTGTATGGTGGGTGGTTTGGGAGTTTTGTTGTTTTTGAGGTGATAGAGGGTGTGGTGTTTTGTTTTGATGGGGGGTTGGTAGAATGGTAGTTAGGTTTGGTAATTTGGATGTTGTGTGGGGGAGGAGGGGAAAAGTTTGGGGGTTTAAGGAGTTGGGGGGGTGGAGTTGATTGATGGAGGGGATAGGGGTTTTGAGGGTGGGGTATAATTTAGGGGGGGGGGGGTGTGGAGTATATAGGATTTGTTTAGGGTTTTGTGTGATATTGGGTTAGTTGGGGGGGGGGTTTTGGGGGGGTTTGAAGGTGGAAAGTGATATTTGTATTAATATTGTGTTGTTGAGAGATTATGTTTATTATTGGGTTTTTGGGGTGTGTGGTGGGGAAGGGGGGAGAGGGGGTATTATAGGAGTGGTATTGGGGATGTTGTTTGGATTGGTGGTTGGGGGGTGATGAGTGGGGATTGGGGGGGGGTGGGGTGTTGTGATTTGGTGATGGGTGGGTTTTGTGATGGGGGTTTGGAGTTGAGGAGGTGGGTAATTAGTATTAGGGTGGTGTGGGATTGTTTATTGTTTTTGTAAGGAGGGAATTGGAGGGGGGATGGGTAGTGGTAGGAATGGTGGGGGTAGGGGGGGGGAGAGTGTGATTGGGATAAGATTAGGAAGAGGAGGAGGGGAGGGGGTGGTGTGATGGGGGGGGGTTTTGTAGGGGTGGGGGGAAGGAGTAGTGAGGTTAGTGATGGGGGTTAATGTTTGGTTGTGTGGTTTTGTTTGTGTGTTTGTGTTTGTAGGTGTGTGTTGTTTGTTGATGGGGGGGTATGGTTTTTAGTTAGTAGGGATGGGGTGTGAGTTTGTGGTTGATGGTTGATTTGTTTGTGTAGGGTTGGTGGGGGTGGTGATTTGGAGGTATGGGGGAAGGGGTGTGGGTGGGTGAATGGGTGGATGTGAGGGTTGGGGGGTGGGAGTATGGGAGATGGGTGGGGGGGTGGTGGGTATATGGGAGGATGGGTGGGTGGGTGGGTGGGAGTATGGGAGATGGGTGGGTGGGTGGGTGGGAGATGGGAGGATTGGGTGGTGGGTGGGTGGGAAGGATGGAGGATGGTGGTGAGGTGGGTGGAGTATGGGAGGATGGTGGTGGTGGGTTGGGGAGGGGGAGAGTATGGGAGGATGGGTGGGTGGGTGTGGAGGAAGGGGAGGAAGGGGGGGGGGGTGGGGTGGGTGGGGGAAGGGGAGTTGTGGAGGGAGGTTTAGTATGTGATGGGATGGGTGGGATATGATTGAATATGTTGGGATGGAGTGAGGATGGGGGGTGTTAGGAGAAGGGGGTGGTTGTGGGGTGGTTTTTTTTGAGGGTATGAGAGATTAGGGGGGAGTGGGAATTAATATGGTTTTATGTTGGAGGGGGGGGGTGGGGATGGTGTTGTTGTTGGGAGAAGTATTATTTTTGGTATGGGTTAGGTGGTTGTGAGGGATTGAGAGTTTGATTGGGTGGGTGTTTGGTTTGTGGGTGTGTGGGAGTTGTTTTGTTGGATTGGTAATTGGTAGAATGGGGGTGGGGGTTTGGGGGATGGGGGGGTGGAATAGAGAGGAGGGTGTTGGGGGTGGGGATGGTGTGGATGGTAGAGATGGGTATGAGGGGTGGATGGGATTATTAGGGGGTTATGTGATGATTGGGTGGGGGGATGGTATTGAAAGGGAGATTGTTATTTTTGTGGGTGGTTGTTATGGGAGTATGGGGAGATATTGGGTTGTGGGGAGGGGGGATAATAAGAGAGGTTGGTGGTGAGATGAGTTTGGAAGGTAGGAGGGTTGGGTTGGGGGGAATTGTATGTTGGGTGGGGATGTGTTGTTGAAGTGTGTAGGGATTGGGGGTGGTGTGGGTTTGGGTTGTTAGGGGGAGGAGGGGGTTGGGTTAGTTTTTGGGGTTGGATGGGTGGTGGTGGGGTGTGGTTTGGTTGGGTGGTGGGATGTATGGTAGTGGGGGGTGGTTGGTGTGGGTGGGGTGGGGTTGGGGGGTGGGTTTGGGGGGTATGGGGTGTATGGTGGGTGTTGGGGGGAGGTGTGGGGTTTGGTGGTGTTTGTGTGGGTGATGGGGGGGGGGTGTGATGGGTATGTTTGGGGGGGTGGGGTTGTGTGGAGGAGTGAGGGGAGGGTGTGGGGTTGGTTTGGGGTGTGATATGATTGGGGGATGGGTGGTGGTGGGGGGGGTGTGGGGGTGAGATTTGGTTTTGGGGGGGGGTATTTTGTGTTATGGGGTGTGGGTGAGTAGTTGGGGGTGGTGTGGGGGGGTTTGGGGGTGTGTGTTGTGGGGTTGGGGGTTGGTTGGTGGTGGGGGTGGGGGGGGGGGGGGATGGGTTGTGGTTGGTGGTGGGGGGGGGGGGGGGGTGGTGGTGTGAATGGGTGTTGGTGGGTGGGTTTGGGGTTGGGTTGTGGGTGTGTGGTGGGTGGGGTGATTGGTGTGGGGGTTTTTTTGGGGTGGGAGGGTTTATTGGTTGTGTGGGTGTGGGATTGGGGGAAGGATGTGGGGTTGGGTGGGGGTGGGTTTGTGGTTTGAGGGGGGGTTTTGGGTTTGGTGGGGGGTTGTATGGGGTTTTGGGGGTGGTGGTGTGGGTTTTTGGGTTGTGGGGGGGGGGGGTGGGGGGGGGGTGTGGGGGGGGAGGGGGGGGTGGGTTGGTGGGTGTGTGGTGGTATATAGAGGTTGTTTTTGGGGTGTGGTTTGTGAGGGTGGTGGGTTGGGGGGGTTTGGGTGGGTTGGGTGTTGTATGTTTGGTGGTGTTTGTTAGGGAGTTATGGGTTTTGTGGTGTTGGGGGTGGGTGGTGGTGGTGTTGGTGTTGTTTGGGGGGTGGTTGGTGTGTGTTGGGTGGGTGGTTGGTGTGGGTGTGGTGGTGTGGTTGTGGGGGTTGTGTGGGGGTTTGTTTGTTTGTTGGTGTGTTGGTTTTTTGGGTGGTGGTTTTTTGGTTGGGGTTGGTTGGTTTTTTGGTTGGTGTGGTTTTGGGTTTTGTGTTGTGGTGGTTTTTTTTGTTGGTTTTGGGTGTGGGGGGTTGGTGGGTGTGTTGGGTGTGGGGTTGTTGAGTGTGGGGGTTGTTGGGGGGGGGGTGGTTGTGTGGGGGTGTTGTTTGTTGGGTTTTTGTTGTTGTGGTGGGGTGGTTGTGGTGTTGTTGGGTGTGTGTTGTTGTTGTGTTTTGGTTGTTTTGTGTTTTTGTTGTGTTTGTTGTGTGGTTTGGTGGGGGAGTGTTTTTAGTTTTGTGTTGGGGGTGTGTTGTGTGTTTTGGTGGGGGTTTGTTGTGTTGTGTTGGTGTTGGATGTGTGTGGTTTGGTTTTGTGGGTGGGGGGGGTTGGTGGGTTTGTTTGTGTGGTTGGTGTGTTGGGGGTTTTGTTGGGTTTTTTGTGTGGGTGTGTTATTTTGAGGTGGTTTGGAGGGGTTGTTGGGTGGGTGGGGGGGGGGTGTTGGGGTGGTGGTTGTGTGGGGTGTGGGTTTGGGGGGGGATGGTTGTTGTTGGTTGGTTGTTTTTGTGTGGGGGGGAGTGGTTGGGGTTGTAGGGTTTGTGGGTGGGTGTGGTGGTGGGATTGGGGTGGGGGGGTTGTGTGGTTTAGTGGGGAGGGTGGGGGGGGGGGGGGGTGGGTTGGGGTGGGGGGTGGGTGGTAGGGTGTTTTGTGGGTGTATGGTTGGGTGGGGTGATGGTGTTGGTTGGTGGGGGGTGTGGTTTTGTGGGGTTGGGGGTATGGAGTTTTTTTTGTTTTGTTGGGGGGTGTGTTTTTTGTTGTTGTGTATATGTGTAGGGGGGGTTTTGGGGTGTGTGTGGGGGTGTTTGTTGGTGGGTGGGGGTGGGTTGGGTGGAGTGGTGGTGTTGTATGGTGGTGTTTGGGGGTGGGGGGGGTGTGGGGGGGGTAGGGGGTGGGGGGTGTTTGTTGTGTGGGGGGGGGGGGGTGGTGGGGGTGGTGGGGTGGTGTTGGGGTGTGTTGGTGTTGGGGTGGGGGGTGGGTTTGGGTTGGTGGTTGTGGGGGGTGTTTGGGGTGGGGGGGGTGTTGGTTGGGGTGGGTGTGGGGGTGTGTTGTGTGGTGTTGGTGGGGGGGGGGGGGTGGGGGGTGGTGGGGGTGGGGGGGGGGGGTGGTGGGTGGGGGGGGGGGGTGTGTGGTGGGGGGGGGGGTGGGGGGTTGTGGGTTGTAGGGTGGGGGGGGGGGGGTGGGGGGTGGTTGGTTGTGGTGTGTGGGGGGGTTGGGGGGGGGGTTTGGGGGTGGGTGTTGGGTGGGGGTTTTGGGGTGGGGGGGTGGGTGTGTTGGTGTGGTGGGGTGTTGGGGTTGTTTGTGGTGGGTGTTGTGTGGGGGGTGGTGATTTTTTGGGGTTGGGTGGTGTGTGGGGGGGTTGGTGGTGTTGTAGGGTGGGGGGTGTGGAGGGGTGTGGGTGGTTGGGGGTGGGGGGTGTGGTGGGGGGGGTTGGGGTTGTGTTTGTGGGGTGTTTGTGTGGTGGGGTGGTGTTGTGGGGGTGGTGGGTTGGGGGGGGGTGGGGGGTTGGGGGGGGGGGGGTGGGTGGGGGGGTGGTGGTGTGGGTTGGGGTGGTGGGGGGGTTGTGGTGTGTTGGTTGGGGGGTGGGTGTGGTGGGTGGGGTTGGGTGGGTGTGGGTGTTGGGGTTGGGGGGTTGTTGGGTTGTGGGGTTTGTGGGTGTTGGGGTGGGGGGTGTGGGGGTTGTGGGTGTGTGGTTGTGGTGTTTGGTGGTTGTTGGTGGGGTTTGGGTTGGGGGGGTGTGTGTGGTGTGTGTGTTTTTGGGGGGGGTGTGGGTTGGTGGTGTTGTTTTTGTTTTGGGGGGGGGGTGGTGTTTTGGTGGTTGTGTGTGGTGGGGTGGTTTGTGGGTTTGGGTGTGAGTGGTTGGGGGGTGGTTTGTTGGTTGGGGTTGTGGGGTGGGGTGGGGTTGTGGGTTGGTGTGGTTGGGTGTGTTGGTGGGTTGTTGTTGTGGATGTTTGGGGGTGTAGTGTGTTTAGAGGGGGTGTGGTTAGGTGGGGGATGGGTTTTAGGGGGGTGGTGTGTTGTTTTTTTTGGAGGGTTTGTTGTTTTTGTGGGGAGGGTTTGTTTGGGTGAGTTGGGGGGGTGGGGGGGTGTGGGTGGATGGATGGGGGTGGTTTGATGGGGTATGGGGGGGTGGTAGTGTGTGGTTGAGTTATGTTTGGGGGGGGGTGTTGGGGGGGGGGTGGGTTTTGGGGGTTGGGTTGAGGGTGGGTTGAGGAGGGGGGTTGAGGGTGTTGTGGGGGTATTGTGTGTGTGGGGGTGGTTTTTGAGGGGGTGTTGGTGTGGTTTAGTTGGTGGGTGTGTGTGGTGGGTTGTGGTGGTGGTGGGGGGGGGTGGGGGTGGGGGGGGGGTGTTTTGTTTGGGTGGGTGTAGGTGGGGAGTGTTGAGGGGGTGTGGTGGGTGTGTTGTGGTGGGGTGGGGGGGTGTGTGGGGGGTGGGTTGGGGGGGTGGGGGGGGGGGTGGGTTGGTGGGGGGTGGGTGGGGGGGTGTGGGGGGGTGATGGTGGGTTGGTGGGTGTGGTTAGGAGGGGGGATGGGGTGGTGAGTGGTTGGGTAGTTTAGATGGGGGGGGGGGGTATGGGGGTGTTTGGTGGGGGGGGGTGGGAGGGTTGGAGGGGGTAGGTGTTAAGTTGTGGGGGGAGGGTGTGTTTGTTGTTGTGTGTTGGGTGGGGGGGTGTTGTAATGGGGTTGGGTTGGGGTGGTGTATGGGGGAGGGGGTTGGGGGTGGGGGTTTGGTGTGTTGATTGGAGGGATGGGTGTGGTATATGGATGGGATGGGTTGGTTGGGTGTGGGTTGGGGGGTGGGGGTGTGGGGTTGGGTGGTTGGGTGTATGTTGGGTTGGGGGTGGGGGGATGGGGTGGGGTTTGGGGGGATTGGGGTAGTGTGGGTGGGTGTGTGGGGGTTGTGGGGGGTGGTGGTTGGGTGGGTGGGGGTGGGTATTTTTATGTGAGGGGGTGGGGGGTTGGGTTGTGAGGGTGGGGGTTGGTGGGGTTTTTTGTTTTTTGGTATGGTGGGTGGGTTGGGTTGTGTTTGTTTATGTGGTGTGGGGGAGGTGGGGATTTTGTTTTAGTGTAGGTTGGGTATAGGGTGGGGGTGTGTGGGGGGGAAGGTATTATTGTGGTGGGTGGTTGGTGTTTGGGTGTTGTTTAGTAGGAGGGGTTGGAGGGGGTGTTGGTTAGGGGGGGGGGGTGGGGTGGATGTGGGGGGGTTTATGGGTGTGGGATTGAATGTGATGGGGGTGAGGTTGGGGTGGGTGGTGTATGTTGGGGGGGGGGTAGTGTTTGAGGGGGGTTAATGTGTGTTGTGGGGTTTTGGGTGGGGGGTGGAGGTTATTGTTGTTGGGGGTGGTTGTGGGTTTGGGTGAGAGGGGTTGGGGTTGGGGTTGGTGGTGGTGGTGGGTGGGGGTGGGGTGGGTGGTTGGGTGTTGTGTTGGGTTTGTTGGTGGGGGGGTTGGGGTTTGTGTGGGGGGGGGTGGGGGGGGGGGGGGGGTGGGGGGGTGGTGTGGGTTGGTGTGGGAGTGTGTGGGTGGTGGGGGGGTGTGTTGGTTGTTGTTTTGGTGTTGTTGTGGGTTGTGGTTTGGGTTGGTTGGGTGTGGTGGGGTGGTGGGGGGGGGGGTGGTGGGGGTGTGGGGGTGGGTTTTGGATTGGGTGTTTGTTGGGTTGTGGGGGGGTGTTTGTTTTTTTGGGGGGGGGTGGGTTGTTGTGGGGGGTGTGGGGGTTTGTGGTGTTGTGGGGGAGGGGGGGTGGTGGGGGGGGTGGGTGAGGGTGGTGGTTGTGGGGGGGGGGTGGGGTGGTTGGGGGGGGGTGGGGTGGTGGTGTGTTTGGTGGGTGGTGGTGGGGGGGGGGTGTTGGGGGGGGGTGGGGGGGGGGGGGGGGGGGTGTGGGGGGGGGGGGGGGGGGGGGGGGGGGGTTGGGTGTTGGGGGTGGTGGTGGGGGGAGGGTTGGTTGGGGGGTGGGTGTTTGGGGGGTGGTGTGGGGTGTTTGGGGGGGGTGGGTGGGGTTGTGGTTTGGTTGGGTGGGTGGGATGGTGGTGGGTGGGAGTGGGGGGTGGGGGGGGGGGTTGGTTGGTGTGGGGTGGGTTGTTGGATGGGTGGGGTGGGGGGGGGGGGGGGGTGGGGGGTGGGTATGGGGGGTAGATTTGGTGGGGAGTTAGTGGTGTTATGTTTGGGGTAATTGAATTTATGTGGGTTTGGGATTTTTTTGTTTGAGGGATAATAGGGTATGGGGGTTTTTTGGGTGGGTATGGGGGTTTGGGTAGTAATGGTTGAGGGTTTGGTGAAGTGGGTTTGGGGGTTGGGGGATGATGGGGGAAATATGGTGGGGGGGTTGGTTTGGGGGGGGTTGGGGATAAAAGGGGATAGGGTTTTTGGGGTGGGTATGATTGTTGGGGGGGGGTGGGGAATGAATAGGGATTATTTTGGTTTTTTGGGGTGATATGAGGTGTTGGGTGGGGGGGGGGGGTGTTGGGTATGAAGTGGGGGAATGAATTTGGTATTATTATTTTTTGGGAGAGATTTATTTTGAGTTGTTTGTTTTGTGTTTGTGGAGGGAAGGGATAGGGGTGAATGATAGTTTGGTATGGGTATTTTTATGGATTGGGGGGGTTGGGGGGTGAGGAGAGGGGTATTGGGTGGGATGGGGGGGGGTTGGGATTTTTTTGGAGGTGGTTTGTGATGGGGGTTTGGGGATTTTAGGGAGTGGGGTAAGTTTAGTTTTAGTTGTTGGTGGTATGGTTTTATGTGTGTTGTAAAGGGAATTGGAGGTAGGGTATGGGTTGGATGATAAGGGGTGGTGGGTAGGGTGGGGGATGGTGATTGGAAGATGAGGAGAGGAGGAGGGATGGGGAGGTTGAGAGGGGTGGGGGAAGGATGGGTGTAAGGTAGTAGAGGAGTAAAGAGATTGTGTGTAATTTTTGTAGTTTGTTTTGTTGGTTGTTTGTTGGTTGGTTTGTTGTGTGGGTGTTTGTTGGATGGGGGGGTTTGGTTTTTAGTTTGTGGGTATGGTGTAGTGTTGTGGTAGAGTTTGTGTGTTTGGGTAGGGGTGGGTGGGGGTGGTGTGTGTGATGTTTGGGGGAAGGTGGTGGGGGAATGGGTGGGGATGTGTGGGTGGGTGGTGGAGTATGGGAGATGGTGGTGGTGGTGGGAAGTAATGGGAGATGGGTGGTGGGTGGTGGAGTATGGAGGAGGGTGGTGGTGGTGGGGAGTATGGGAGTATGGGTGGGTGGGTGGGTGGGAGTATGGGAGGATGGTGGGTGGTGGTGGAGTATGGGAAGGATGGGTGGGTGGGTGGGTGTAGGGGCGATATGGAGATGTGTGTTGGTGGGTGTGATTATGGGAGCTTTGTGGGTTGTTGTAGGGAGGGGCAGGTGGCTTTTTGTGGAGGGGAGGTGAGGTGGAGATTTAATTCTGGTTGGGGGGGATGGTGGAAGATGGGATTACGAATCTGGATTGATTGCTGAATTAAATTGTAAGAAAGGGATATGGGTGATGGTGGTGGGGTGGTGGTAGGATAGAGGTTGACTGTATGAGAGGGAGTAAGGGGAGGTGGGGGAATTAAGGAGTTTTAATGGTTGAGGGTGGGGGGTTTGGGGATGTGTGTGGTTTGTTGGGGAGAAGGGGTTAAGTAATGGTCTGGTTTAGTTTTTTTGAGGGAAGTGAGGAGTTTTAAGGGATGGGGGGAGAGATGTAAATTGATGTGAGAATTTGAGAAGATGAAAGATATATAGTGGTCAGTTTATTGTATAAATGGGATGGGTTGGGGGGGGTTTGGGGAAGGGGTTGGATATGGGTATGGTGTGTGGGGGTTGGGGGATGGGTGGGAATGTTAGAGTAGGGGATAGGTGGAGTGAATGGGGGATAGGTAGGGGGGTTATGTGAATTATTGGTGGAGTGTTGTGGGATGTATTGAATGAGGGGAAGTAATAATAAGATGGGAGGTAATATATGTGAGTAGGGGGGAGAGTTAATTTTTTGTGGTGAGGGAAAAAGAGTATGGATTTGTTGAGGAAGCGGATGGTGGTGGATGTTGAAGGAGGTATGGGATTGGGGGGATTAGAAATTAGTGTGGGGATGTTTTTAAGTTAAGTGGTGAAGGGGATGGAGGAAGAAGTGTGATTGTTAGGGTATGTTGAGGGGGGGGGGGGAGAGGGGGGGTATGTTTGTTTGAGAGTTGGGGAAGGGAGGGGGTTTGGTGGATAGGTTGGTTGGTTTGGTTGTGAATGTTTGTGTATGGTGGGGGTTGAATTTATAGGGTGGTTTGATGTTGGGGGTGGTTTGGGTTGTGTATGGGTTTGAATGTTTGTGGGTTAGGGTGGATGGAGTTTTGGGTTATGTGGGGTGATGAATGAGTTTGTTTAGTGTGTGTGGGTGAAGAGTGGGTAATGTTTAAGTTGGGGATTGGTTGTGAGGAATGAGTGAGTGGGTAGGGTGTGGGATGGGTATGGGGGAGTGATATGGATGGGGTATGAGTGTTTGGGGGGTTTAGGTGTGGGAGATGTTGAATATGGGGGTGTATTTTATATTGGGTTTTGGGGAATAGGGATAAGTTGGGGTAGTTTTTGTGGTTGGGGGAGAAGGGGGGGAGGAGGAGAGGGAATGGTGGATTATTTTGGATTTGTGGATTTGTTGGGTGGGGTTGGATGGGAATTTAGTTGATTGGGTGGGGTTGGAGTTTTGTAGGGGTTATTATTTTGAATAGGTAATGGGAAAAGGGAAATTGGTGGGAGTATTGGCGGTGTGAGTTTTTGAAGGATTTAGATGTGGGGGATGAATATAAGGGGATGGAGATATAGGATGTTTGAGGTTGAGAGGAAAGGGTGAGGATAGGGTTTATTGGGGAGGGGTTGTTGTTATTGATTAGATGGGGGATTTGGTTATGTAGGATAGAGAGGATAAGGGGGTTGTTTAGGGGTAGGAGGGGGTATAGGGGGGGGGGATGGGGGGTGTGTGTGGTGGGGGTGAGGGGGTTGGATGGATAGTTGTATTGTGGAAATAGTTTTAAGTGGTATATTATGATAGTATTTGGATGGTTTGTATTGGTTTGGAGATTTATGGAGATTGTGGTGATGAAGAGAAGGTAGATGTGTGTAGGAAGGGTTAATGGGATTGATATTGTGTTGAAGGAAGAGTAATGGGGTTGGTTTGAGTGTGATGTGATGTTGGGGGTGGTTGATAGGGTTTAGGTGGAAAGGATATGGGGGATGGTATAGGGAGGGGGTGTTGAAGGAGATGGATAAGTTGGAGTATTTGTAAAAGAGTATTGTTATAAATGTGGAATGGTATGTATGAATGGGGAAATGTAGATGTGATTTAAGAGTATGAAAGAGAATGGGTATGAAGATATAGAAGGAGTATAGTAGTGGAGTTTTTGTGTAATGAGTGGATGATAGGGTTGTTTTGTTAAGGTGGGATGAATGATAGTGTTAGGAAGAATGTATGGGGGGTAATTTGGATATTATAGTGTAGGGTGTATTGATGATAATTAGAGATAAGATAAGGATAGTGATAGAAATTATATATAAAGAGATATGGGGGGGGAAATAGAAAAGATTATTAAGGATAGGTAGGTTGGTATAAAAAAGATAGAAGAGAATGGGAGAAGAGATGGGAGAGGAAGTGGAGGGTTAATGAGGGAAGTAGTAGAGAAGAGTAGAAGAGAGGTGATAAAGGGGAATGAGGTGTGGGGTGGGAGTAAGAGGTTATAGGATAGGTAGGATGAGAGGAGTGTGGTGGGGTAGGGGGGATGGAGGGTTTTAAGAGTGGTTGTATAGATTGAGATAAGGATGTATAGATGGGGAAGGGGATTGGGTGGAGAGGGGTGGTGTTGTTGGGTGGTGTGGTTGGGGGTGTGGGGGTTGGGGGGTGGTTGTGTTGTGGGTTTTTGGTGGGGGGTGTGGTTGGTTGGTGGGAGTGGGTGTTTTGGTGGTGGGGGTTTGGGGGTTGTGGTGGTGTGTGGGGTGGTGGGGGGGTTGGTGGGGTGGGTGGTTGGTTTGTGTGGGGTGTTTGGTGGGGTGGTGTTGGGGTGGTAGGTTGGGGGGTGGGGGCAGGGAAAATGGGGGGGAGGAGGGGGGGGGTATGAGGTAAAAAAGTAAAATATGTGAGAAATTGAATTAGAGATAATGGATTAAGGGTATAGTATTTGTTAAAGAGAAGGATGAAGAAGGTTGGTAATGGATATATTTGAGTGAGGGAGGGAGATAAAGAGGGTAGTGTGTAGGTTTTATTATGGGGATTGTTGGGGTTTAGGGGGAGGGGGTTGTATAATAGATTTTGGGGGGTGGGATTGTTGTTTGTGATTTTTGGTTGTGGGGTAGGATATGGTGTTTGTGATGTTGGGAGGGAAAGGGGTGGTGATTGAGGATTATTGTGGAGGGTGTGGTGTGGGGGGGAGGGGGTGTGTGGGAAGGTGGTTGTGTGTGGGAGATGAGTGTGTGGTGGTTGTGGGGTGGTTGGGGGGGGGGGTGGTTGAGGGTGGGGAGGGGTTGGGGTTTGTGGGTTTGGGTGGGGGGGGGGGGGGGTGGTGGGTGGGGGTGGGTGGGGGGGTGTGGTTGGTTGGGGGGGGTGGGGGGGGGGGGGGGTGGGGGGTGGTGGATGGATTGTGTGGTGTTGGTGGGGGGGGGTTTGGGGGGTGGTGGTGTTTGGGGTGGGGTGTGGTGGGGGGGGTGGGGGGTGTTTGTTGTTGGAGGGGGGGGGGGTGTGGGGTGGTGTTAGGGTTGGTGTGTGGGGGTGTGTTGTGGGGGTGGTTGTTTTTTAGTGGGTTGGGGTGTGGGTGGGGGGGGTTGTGTAGTGGGGTGTTTTGTGGGGGGGTTGGTGGTTGTGGTGTTTGGTGGGGGTGGGGGGGTGTGGGGTGGGGGGGTGGTGGTGGGTTGGTTGTTTGGGTGTTTGTGGTGTGGTGGGGGTGGTTTGTGGGGGTGGGGGTGGGGTTGGGGGGGGGTGGGGGTGGGGGGGGGGTTGGTTGGGTGGGGGGTTGGTGTAGGTGTGGGTGGTGGTGGTGGGGGTTTTTGGTTGTGTGGGGTGGTGGGGGGTGATGGGTAGTTTTGGGGTTTGTTGTGGGTGGTTATGGTTGATGGGGGGGTTAGGTGTTTGTGTGTTTTGTGTGGGGTGTGTTGTGGTGTGTTTGGGTTGTTGGTGGTGTGGGGGGGGGTTGATGTGGGTGTTAGGGTGGTATTTATGGTGGGTTGGGGGGGGAGTGTTATGGGGGGTGTGGTTGTGTTTGTTGTGTAATTGTGGGGGAGAGAGGGGGTGGGTGTGGAGGTGTAAGGGGAGTGGGGTATGGGTGGGTTGGGGGGGGTTGGTGTTTTTGTGGGGGGGTGTGTGTGAGGAGTGTTGTGATGTGGTGGGTTGGGATGTAGGGGGTGGTTGTGGTGGGGGTGGTGTTGTGGGTGTGGGGGGGTGTTGGTTGGTGTGGTTGGGTGGGGTTGGTGGTTTGGTGTGTTTGGTTGTTTGGTGTTGTTGGTTTTGTGTGTGTGTGAGTGGTGGGGTTAGTGGTTTGGTGGTAGTGTTTTTGTGTGTGAGGGGTGTGTGTGGGTGGTGTTGGGGGGTGTATGGTATTGATTGTGGTGGGGGGGGGGTTGGGTGGGGGGGGTGTGGTGGGTGTGGGTGGGTGGGGGGGGTGGTGGTTGTGGTGTGGTGGGTGGTTGTGTGTGTGTTGGGGTGTGGTGGGAGTGGGGGTTGGGGTGGGTTGTGGGGTTGGGTTGTGGTGGGGTTTGTGCGGGGTGGTTTGGTGGGAGGGGTGGGTTTGAGGGTGGGGGTGGTTGGTGTTGGTGTGGTTGGGAGTGTGTGGGTTTTGGGGGGGGGGGGTGGGGTTGTTTTGGTGTGGGAGTTTAGGGGTGGGTGGTAGGGAGGGGTGATTAAGTTGAATAATGGGGTGGAGAGGTGGTATGTGATAGTGGGGGTTTTGGGGGGGTATTATTGGGAGTGGTGGGGTTTGGTGTGGTGTGTTTGGGGTGGGTATGTGGTGGGTGTGGAGGTGGGTGGTGGTGGGGTATGTGGGGATGGGTGGTGGGTGTGTGGTGGTGGGGGTTTGGGGTGGGGTTGTTTGGATTTTTTTGTAGGGGGGGGGTGGGGGTGGGGGGGGGTGGGTGGGTTGGGGTTGGGGTGGTTGTTGGGGGTTTGTTTTATTGTAAGGTTGGGGTGTGTGTAGGGAGTGATGGAGGATGATTGGGGTTTGGGATTGGGGTGGTTTTGGTTGAGGGGTGTGGGTTGGGTTGATGTGGAGTGAGGGTGATAATGGTTATAGGGTTTGGTATGGATGGTTTGTGGTTGTGTGGGGGGTGTGGGGGGGGGGGGGATGGTGGATTTGGTTGGTTATGGTGTTATGGGGGGGGGTTGTTGGGGGGTGGGGGATATGGTGGGAAGTGGATAGTGGGGTGGTGTGGTTGGGTGTGTGGTTTGGGTTGATTAGGATGAGGGTTGTTGGGGGGGGTAGGTAAGATAGGAAGGAAGGGTGTGTGTTGGGGGTGAATGGTTGGGGTATGTGGGTTATTTGGATTGATGGAATAGGGTGGGTGGGTTTAGAAATTATAATAAGTGGTTAGGTGGGGTGAGGGTATTAGGGGTTTTAGGGTATGGGGTGGGTAAATTGGTGTGTTTGTGTGGGGAAAGTATATTTTAAGGTTTGGATTAAGGAGAGGATTTGAAGATGTAATGTATGGGAGGGTAGTGGTGGTAAGATGTGTATTGTGGGGTGGGGAGTTTTGTTGTGGTTGGGTTTTTATGGGGGGAAGGAAAGAAATGTGAGAAGTTGGTATGTGGAGATTGAAGGGGTGTGGAAGTTATGAGTTTAGAGAGTTTGGTGTGGTATGGGTAGGTTTGTATGGGGTGTAGGAGTTTTGGGTGTTGGTAGGGGATATGTTTATATTAATTGGGAATTTTATGATATTAGGGGGGAGGGATGTGGGGGGGGTGGGATGTTTTGGGGAAGTGAGTGAGAGAGAGGAGATATTGGATTTGGTGGGTATGTGTGGATAGGAGTGTTGGTTTAGGTTGGGGTGGGTTAGGTGTTTGGAGGGATGAGTGAGTATATGTTATATTTATTAGTAGGGGGGATGTTAAGGGAAGATGTAATTAGGAAGAATAGTGGGTAGGAGGGGAAAGGGTTGATATAGTTTTAGATGTAGTTTTAGGTATGGTGGTTGGGGTGTAGTGTTGGAGGAGGTAGGGGGGAAAGGAGTAGGTAGGAAAAATGAAGAGGGTTGGGTGAGATTGATAAAAAAAGTTGGTATGGAGATTAGTTTTGGTATTTTGTTTGTTTGGTTGGTGTTGTGTATGTGTGTGTGTTGTTGTTTGGTATATAGTGTGTATGTTTGTTTGTTTGTTGTTTGGGTGTTTGATGTTTGTGGTTTGGTTTGGGGTTTGTAGGTTGTTTTTGGTTTTTGGGGTTTTGGTATGTTTGTTTGTTTGGGTTTTTGGTTTTGTTGTTGTTTGTGGTTGTTTGGTTTGGTATGGTTTTGTTGGTTTGGTTGGTTGGTGTTTGTATGTTTGTTTGGGGGATTTTGGGGTTGTGGTGGGTTTTTGGGGTTGTGGGGTGTTTGTTATGTGTTTTGTGGGGTTGGGTGGGATGTGGTTGTGGGATGTGATTAGGGTTGTGGGTGGGGGGGGGTGGGAATTTTGGTTGGTGGTGGTTGTGTGGAAGGTGGGTGGGTGGGGTGGGTGGGTGGGTGTAGGGTGATGGGGGGGGGAAGAATGTAGGATGTGGGTAGTGTGTTTGGATGTTTGGTATGATGGAATTGATTGGGTTTGTGAGTTTTGTGGGTTTGTTAGTATAGAGGGTGGGGTTTTTGTTTTGAGGGTGGTTGGGTTAGGAATGGTAGTAGGGTGGGGTAATTTGGAGTTAGGGTATGAGGGGTTGGTATGGGGGGTTGGAGTGGGGTGGTGTATGGATTTAGAGGGAATTGGGTTTTTTGGTGTGGGGGGTATATGGTAGGGGGGGGGTGTGGAGAATATAGAGTAGTTTATGGTTTTTTGTGTGATATTTGGTTAGTTGGTTGGGTGGGGTGGGTTTTGGGTTTTGATGGGGGAAGTGAATTTGGTTAAGTGTATATGGTTTTTTTTTGTAGTGTATGAATGAATATTATAGTTTGGGGTTTTGTGTGTGTGGAGGGGAAGGGGGGGATAGGGTGAATGAGAGTTTGGGTTTTTGGTATTTTTATGGAAGTTGGTGGGTTGGGTTATGAGAAAGGGGATTGGGTGGGGAGGGGGGGTGTTGGGTTTTTTTGGGGAGGGTGGTTGTTGGATGGGGGTGGGGATTTATGGGTGGGGTAAGTATAGGTAGTTGGGGTGGGTGTGGGGTGGGGTTTTTGGTGTGGGTAGGAGGGATAGTGGAAGGGTGGGGGTGGGGTTGATGTAGGGGTTTGGTTGGTAGGGGGGGGGTGTGGGTATGGGGGTGTGTTGAGTGGAGAGGGGAGGGGTGGAGTTAGGGGAGGTGATAAGATGGGGTGAAGTGTGAGTTGTTTTAGAGATGTGTGGGTAATTTTTGGTAGTTGGTTTTGTGTTTGTTTGTTTGTTTGTATGGGTTGTTTGGTTGTTTGGTATGGATGGGGGGTTATTGTTTTTTATGGGTGGGTAGGTGGTGTTTGGGGGATTAGGGGTTGGATTGGTTGGGGAGGGGGGGGTGGGGTGGTTGTGGGGTGTTTGGGGGATGGGTGGGTGGTAAGGGGTGAGGTTGTGGGTGGTGGGAGTATGGGAGGATGGTGGGTGGGGGTGGGTAGTTATGGGTGGATGGGTGGGTGGTGGTGGAGTATGGAAGGATGGGTGGGTGGGTGGGGAGTATGAGATGGGTGGTGGGTGTGGGGAGTATGGGAGGATGGGTGGGTGGGTGGTGGGAGTATGGGAAGGATGGGTGGGTGGGTGGTGGGAGGGGAGAGTATGGGAGGATGGTGGGTGGTAGGTGGGATATGGAGATGGTGTGGGTTGGTGGGAGGGGGAAGGTGATATTGATGGAGGAGGGGAGGTGAGATTGATTGGTGGTGGGGGGGGATGGTGGAGAATGGGATTAATTATTTGAATTGAGTTGAGTGATGTTGGTTAGTTGGTTAGGATATGGGTGGTGGTGGGGGTGGTGGTAGGATGGAATTGATGGTATGAGAGGATATAGGGGGGAGGGTGGGGATTTAAAGGGTTTATGTTGGGGAGGGGGTGGGGGTGGGGATGTGTGTGGTTGGTTGGGAGAAGGTTTAGTTTTGGTATGGGGTTAGGTTGTTTTGAGATGTTGAGAGTTTGAAGGGAATGGGGGGGGGATGAGATTAAGGAGTGATGTGAAATTGGGAGATGATGAAAGATATATATGTAATTTATAAAGGGGGTGGGGTGGGTGGTTTGGGGAAGGGGGGGGTGGATAGAGTATGGTGTTGGGTGTGGGATGGGTGGATGTTAAGTTAGGGATAGGTGGAGTAAGGGGGGGATATAGGGGGGGGGGTAATGTGATTATTGGTTTTTTTTTTTTGGTGGGGAATTGGTATGTGAAAGGGAATGGTAAATATAAGATGGAGGTAGTATATGTGAGTAGGGGGAGAGTATGTTTTTGTGTGAGGGAAAAGAGTATGGGATTTGGTAAGAAGAGATTGTATGGTAGGAGTATGGGAATGGGTATAAAATAGGTGGGGGAGTGGTGATAGTTAAGGTGGGGGAAGGGGATGGAGGAAGATGGGTGATTGTTGGGATGTTAGGGGAGGAGGGGATGTTTGGGTGGAGAGTTGGTAGAGGTTTGGTGGGGGTATATGTTGTGTTGGGTTGGGAGAGTTGTTTAGGGTGGGGGATGGATGTTATTGGTGTTTATTGGGGGTTGTGTGGGTTGTTATGGGTTGAAGGTTGGGTAAGTGGATATTTGGGGGTTATGTGGGTGAAGATGTGGTGTTTAGTGGTTGTGTGGGTGAAGAGTGGGTTATTTTAGGGTGGGTATGGGTGTGAGGGTTGAGTGTGTGGGAGGGTTGGGGTTGGGAGGGGGATGATATGAGGGGGGTTTAGTGTTGGGGGGGTTTAGGGTTGTGGGAGATTTGAATTGGGGGTGGTAGTTGTAGATGGGTTGGATAGTTAAGTGGTGTTTGGTTGGGGGGGAGATGGGGGGGTGGTGAGAGGATGTGAGTATTTGTATTTTGTGGAGTAGTTGGGTGGGTTTGAGGGATATGTTAGGTTTGGTGGGTGGGAGTGTGTGGTTGTTATGTGTGTGATTGAGTTATGGGGTATAGGATATTGGGAGTTGTGTGTTTTGTGAGTATTGTTGGAGTGATGGGGTTGGATGAATGGGGTGGATTATAGGTAGGTTTTGATGAGGAATGGTGGTGTATTGGGTGTTGGGGTGGGGTGGGGGATGTGGTTTGGGGGGAGTGGTGATGTTGAGAGAGATAGGGTTGTATGGGGGGGGTGGTTTGTATGGGGGTGAGTGGGGGGGTGGGATTGGGGGGGTGTGTGGGAGGGGGGGGGGGTTGGTTGGGATAGTTGTATAGGTATTTTGGTTTTAAGTTATAGTAGTGGAGAGGATGTTAGGGGTGGTGGTATGGTTGGAGATGTTTTGGTTTTGGTGTGTATGTGTAGGGGTGAGATGTTATATGGTTGATATGGTTGAGTATGTTTGGTGGAGATGTTATATTGGGTGTTTGATTGAGACTGTGGTGTAGTTTGGGGGGTGATGGGTAGGGATATGGTGTATGGGGTTAGGAATATGGGGTAGTGGTGGGGGGTTGTTGTGAATATTTATGAAGGAGTTATGTTTATAAGGTTGGGTGGGTGGTTAAAAGGGATGGTAGGAAGGAATGGTTATGGGATGTGATGAGGGTTATGGGATGAAATAGAGTATGTTTGAAAGATTTATGATATGTTAATGGTGTGTTTGTGTGATGTGTGTTGTTGTGTTTTGTGGGGGTTGTATGTTTTTTGAAGTGTGTGGGGGGGATTTTTATTGGGGTTTTGGGTTTTATGAGGTGGTTGTTTTGGTGTTTTTGTTTGTTGTTGGGGTTGTAGAGTAATTAATTAAATGAGATTTATGTATAGTTTTGGATGTGTGGGTGTTTGTTGGTGTTTTTATAAGTATGAAGTGATGGGGGTTTTAGTGGTGTGTAGTGGTGGGTTAATTGGGGTGGGGGGTATAAGGGGTGTTGGTGATGGATTTTGTGTTTTTTTTTGTGGGGGGGGGGGGGTTTTGAGGGTAGATAAGTGTTTTTGGTTTGTATGTGGGGTAAGATAGGTAAGTTAGAGTTTAGGAGTAGAATGTGGTATGGATAGTTGAAGATTTGGAGTTTTAGAATATGATAGAAAAAGAGATATAATAGAAGTCTTTTTTAGATTAGTGTGTAGAGCGAACAAACCAGGGATCAGGGCTTTAGTCTTGAAATTGTTAAGGGAATGGTTTAGGATGGGATGTTAAGTATGTTTCGTGATGATGGAAGTTGTATATTGTTAAGGGGTGGAGAGGTGGAATACGAATGATTGAAAAGTAGTAGGGGGGTAGAGGGTAATTGTTGTAGGGTTTATGTGGGTAGGAAGAGTATGAGGGGGAGAGATGTGGGGTGAATGAGTATGATGAAGGGTTAGTGGAGGGGGTTGTTAGTGGAAGGAGGGTTTAGGTATTGAGTAGATGTAGTGGTATAATTTATTGTAGTATGAAAGGGTGGTGGTGATGTATGTGGGGATGAGGAAAAGTGGAGGTTGGGGTATGAGGTGAAAAGAGTAAAATAAAAAAAAACAAAAAATTTTTATTAAAAGTTAGAAAAAAAGAAGAGATAATATAAGGGGTGGTATTAGGATTTATAGAGAAAGGAAGAGGATGGATGGTAATGGATTTATAGTTAGGAGTAGAAAGGAGGTAGAGTGAGTTTTTATTATGGGATATGGGGTGATGGGTGTAGGGGGGAAGAATAATGAGATTTGGGGGTTTGAGTTTTTTAGTTTATGTATGGTATATGGTTAAATTAGAGATTGAGTTGGGAGGGGGAAAGGGTTTTGATGATTAATAGGTTAGGTAGAGTAGGGGGGGTGTTGGAGAGGGGTTGGTATAGTGGTATGTGAGAGATTATTATTATTAGGTTTTTTGTGTGGGGGTATTTGTGAGGTTTGGTTATGTATTGTGTTTGTTTATGTGTAGGGGGGGGGGTGGGTGGAGTATTGAGTGTGTTGGGGGGGGGGGGGTTTGTAAGAGTTTTGGGGAAGGGGGGGTGGGGTGTGGGTGGTGGGGGGTAGGTGTTGTTAATGGTGATTGGTTGGTTGGGGGGGTAAGGGGGTGGGAAATTTTGTTTTTGTTGGATAGAAGAGGGGGTTTTGGTGGTGTGGATTAGTGAGGGGGGTATTAAGGGATTTTATTGGTGGAGTTGGTTTTTTATGGGTGTTGTTAATTATAGAGTAAAGTTGAGTAGGTTGGGGGATTGTTTATAGGATTAATAGGGGGGGTAATGTTGTAGGAGTGAGGAATTTGATTTGTGGATATTTTATTGGGTTTTGGGAGATGGGGAAGTGTAAGGTTAAATATGTAGATAGGTTAGGAGATGTGGGGTTTGGAGGGGTTTTGGTTGTTTTTTGTGAAGTGGGGTGGTAGGTGAATTGTGGGGAGAGGGTGAGGTATGGTTGGGATGGAAGGGGAAATTTGATAGTAGTAAGTTGAGTATAGTTGTTATGTTTTAGTTTATGAGGTAGGTAATGTTATAGGTGTTAATGGGTTGTAATTGGAAGATGAGTGTGTGAAGTGTTGATTATTGGGAGAGATTTGGGGACTCGTGTTGTATAGTGGTAAGTTAATAGGTGATCAAGTTGCATAATAACGTGCAGGTGAGAAGAGTTATATGGTGTGTGTAGGGGGAGGATAGATATGAGTAAGAGTAATAATGGGGAGAGGTAGAGGTAGTTGAGGGAGAGGGAGAGGAGAGGTAAAGGGGTTGTAGGGGATGTGGAAGTAGTAAAATGAGTGAGGAGGAAGGGGATTATGGAGGGGTAAGAGAGGAGAAGTGTAAGGAGGAAGGTTGAGGGAGAGATGGGTAGTGAAGAAATGGTGTGGGGGAGGATGGAATGGAGGAGGTGAAAAGGTGGGATGGGTGTGAGATGTGAGGGGGAATTAGATGTATGATAAATGTGAGAAAGTTTAAAGAGGAGAGGTAGGTTAGGAAGGGGTGTTATTGAAAGTAGGTGAGAGAAATATATTATGGGATATTGGATAAGATGGGTATGATGAAGGTTGGAGAAATAATGATAGGATTTTTGGGGTGTAGTTTGGGGGATATGGAATTAGAGAGGGTGTATTTAGAGGAGGATGAGATTGGGGATAGGGAAAGAGATATGAGAATTGGGTGGATAGTTGTGGAATGGGGGTGATTGGGATGGGAAGGAAATGGGAATAGGTAGGGGTGAAAGGGGAGTAGTGGGGGATAGAGGGTAGTTGGAGTGGAGTTAATAGTTGGTTTTAGTTTTTATAGATGTGTGGGTTTTTTAGTTATTGTTTTTAAGAGTTTTGGGGGTTTTGGTAGTTTTTGGATAATTGAGAAAGGATGTAGGAGTAGGTGTATTATAAGAGGGTGGTAGAGGTGGTATTTTATATTAGGGTTTGGTTGTAAGAATATGGGATTGTGGATTGGAAGAGTTTGAGATTTTGGGTGATGAAATTATTGAGTGGGGAGTGAGGTTGTGAGGATGGGGTAGAGGGGGTATTGTGGATAGGGAGTAGGAGGGGGAATGTGAGGTTATTGGATTTTGAATAAAAAGGAGAAGGTGGGTGGGTTTGTGATGGTTTTGTTGGAGTTGGAATGCATTTGTCGGTAGTAAGTATTGTGTAGTATTTCTATGAATTTGGTTTTGTATAGGGATTGAAATGAGGGGAGGAAAATGGGTTTTGGGAAGTGGGGCTGTTTTTATGGGGGTTGATGGTTTATGGATAGGGTTTATTTGTGGAAGATGATGGTCTGGATGGGTGAGTTATAGTATTGTTTAAGTGTATGTTTTGTGTGGTGGTATGTGTGGTTAGGTTTGGATGGGTGGGCGTATGTGCGGAAGTAATTTTTGTTAAGTGGGTGGGTGTGGAAGGGGTTTGTGGTGGAAATGTGGGTGAAGTTGTATAGGTTTGTGGTTGGTGTTTGGTGTGGTATGGTTGATTAGAGATGGTAGTTTGGGGGGGGGTTAGTAATCTGAATGGAGAGGGGTGTTGAGGATGTGTTGTGAGGTGGTAGTTGGGTTAATAGTAAGGTTAGGAAGTGAGGTGTTGGTTGGGGATATGAGAATTAAAAAAGGTGGGTTAGGTGGGAGTTATGGTGGAAGAATGTTTTAGGGTGTATATGTGGGTTGGAAATGGTGTGTTTTGTGTATGGGGAAGGGAATATTTAAGGGTTTGATGTAAGGAGAGAAGTTGAATGATTGAAAGAAGGGAAGGGTATGGATGATTATTTGAATTGTGGGGGTGGGGATTATTATGTGTGTGGGGGGTTGTTAGGTGGGAGGGAAGGATATGAATGGTGGAGGAGTAGGGTATTGAGGAGAAGAAGGGGTGTGGGGGAATTTATGGAGGTTTAAGAAGTGTTGTTGGTATTGGTGAGGGTGGTTTGTATGGTTTATGAGTTATTGGTGTTGGATGGATTGTTTATTATTGAATTGGGAATTTTAGAATATTAAGGGAGGGGATGTGGGTGGAGTGGTGTTAGGGGGAAGTGGATAGAAAGAGGATATATTTGATTTTGGGTGATTGTATAGGGAAGTGGTTGGTTTAGTTGGGGTGGGTAGTGTTTGGATGGATGAGTGAGGTATATGCTATATTTATTAGTAGGGGGGATTGAAGGGGAATATGATAATTATGAAAAGAATAGGTGGGTTAGAGGAAGGTTGATGATATTTAGATGTATTTTAGGTATGGTGTGGGGGTGTATTTGGAGGAGGAGGGGGAAAGGAGTAAGTAAGGGAAATAATTGAATAGGGGTGGGTAGATATAAAAAAAGTTGGTATGTTTAATTAATATGTTGTTGTTGTTTGTTTGTTGGTTTGG